CTCCTCCCCTCTCTTCTCCCATCCCACAGCAACACTGCCATGTACCACGCCTTTTACGGCATCCCCTCGCCCTCCTCACCCCCTCCTCTCTCCCTCCTCTCTCCTCATCTCTACAATCTCCACCCCCCTTACCTCCCCCCATCCCCCAGCAACCCTCCCATGTACCACGGCGTCTCCTAAGCATCCTCCCCCTCTCGTCACACATCCTCTCACCCTCTCCTCACACCTCCTCTCTCCCTACTCTCTCCAGCAACTCCCCCATGTACCACGTGTTCTCCTACGGCATGCTCTCCCCTCCTCACCCCTCCACTCCCCCCTGCTCCCCGCTCTCCTCGACCCCCCTCCCCAATCCCCCCAGCAACTCCCCCATGTACCACGTGTTCTCCTAGAGCATCCTCTCTCCTCCCCACCCCTCCTCACCCCTCCTCGCCCCTCCTCACCCCTCCTCACCCCTCCCCCCCCCTGCTCCCCGCTCCCCTCCCCCCGCCTATCCCGATCCCCCAGCAACTCCCCATGTACCACGTGGTCTCCTATGGCATCCCCTCGCCCTTCTCCCCTGCTCCCCCATTTCTCATTCCTCCTCTCCTCTTACCCCTCCTCCTTTCTCTTCCCCATCCCCCAGCAACTCCCCCATGTACCACGTGTTCTCCTAGAGCATCCTCTCCCCTCCTCACCCTCCTCACCCCTCCTCTCCCCCCTGCTCCCCGCTCCCCTCCCCCTGCTCCCCGCTCCCCTCCCCCCTGCTCCCCGCTCCCCTCCCCCCGCCTATCCCGCCCCCCAGCAACTCCCCCATGTACCACGTGTTCTCCTACGGCATTGACTGGCTGTGGGTGAGGAGATTAACTACCAACTCGCCAGACGACTCGCCCAACACGGACAGCCTTAAGCTCCTTGGCGTGCGCCACGCGCTCATTGAGAATTGCACCTTCCACGGGGGCGATGATGACGTGTCACTGGTGGCACGTGGCAGCCAGGCAGTGGCCAACGTGACAATCCGGAATCTTGTCGCCACGTCAGGGCACGGGATCAGCATCGGGAGTTTGGGGGCAGGGGGGGCGGTGGCGTGCGTGTCGGATGTGAGCTTCAAAGATTTGATATTATCAGATCTGTCGAATGGGTTGCGGATCAAGTCGTGGCAGGGCGGATTGGGAGTGGTGCGGAATGTACAGTACGAGAATGTGTACATGACAAACATCGAGCGGGCGATTACACTTGACCAGGTGAAATACTGATTCAACGCCTCCTTTCACAATCAGAACTCTCCACGCTGACTGTTTTCAGTCTCTGCACTGCCGTCCCCATTACTGTTTCATTTTGATCCTTGTCTCCTGCTCTGTAACTTAGTTATGGTCTGCTGCTTGCCCTCACTCACTCCCGTCCATGCTAGCAACTCTTCACAACAATACCAAGGTGCCAAGTCTTCACACTGTACTGTAGGGTCAGCAGAGGACTCACCCCCTCTGTGCGTGTTTTTCCCCTTTGCAACACGCGGCAGTTCTACTGTGACAAAAACCAGGACTTTCCTTGTGAGCCTTCGCCCGACAATGTGGCATTGGTCAACATCTCATACACCGATGTCTACGGCACTGCTTCCAAGTGAGTGCAAACCTGAGTCAAGTCAAAGCACACCTGTTCAGTCAAATAGAATACAAGCCATCTCCCCTCAACGTGGCGCTGGTCAACATCTGGTACACCGATGTCTACGGCACTGCTTCCAAGTGAGTTGCTTGACAGGTGACTTGAAGTGTACGACAACTCAAAGCTCACCTTCATTTGACTCGATTTTCGCCTCTTTAGTTAACAAGAAACTCCCCCACAATGTGTAGCTGGTGAACGTCGTATACACCAATTTCTACGTTGGCACTTCCAAATAAGAGCCTGCCAGCACCCTTTCATTCTTCCTTCCAGTCATTTTGCTGTTGCAACCAACACTTATGTCGTCACATGCAAGCCATTGACATCTGCTTGTGCTAAACTGATACAGTTCTCTTTCTTTCACGTTTCCCCTTTCCATTATTTTACTACAGGTATGCAATGGACATGGAGTGCAGCGATACAGTACCATGCACTGGCATCTCCCTTGACAATGTCAAGCTGGGTGGAACAAGCTCAAGCACCAGGGAACCTGTGTTCAAGAACATTCTGTCAAGCCATGCTGCGGGTGACGTGGCCCCATTGCCAAAACACATGACATCTTACGAGGAGTGGGGTGTAAGTACACCTACCGACGAGCAGGTAGCAAGCATAGAAGAGATGATGGCAAAATGCACGTGATCATGGTCTACGGCTATAGCCGTTGCCATGCTGTACCATAACATGGGAGCTAGGATTGGATAGGGTATACGAGCCATCACCACACTCTGATATGATGCAGGAACTTATGGACAAAGCGGAACCTGCAGTTAGAGCTGCAGGCACGTTCCTATACTCATTACACAGTTGCCTGGTTCTTGTTCGATTATACCTATATCTGAATCGGGATGGTTATTACAACCTTAACACTTGTGCAAGAGTCTTACCCTGTAAAATGTAATTCATGGTATGTAAAACGGAGTTCAAGCCCAAAAAACACTAGCTAGTCAAGCTGGGAGTATTTTGTTTAGGGGTATGTATCTTACTACACACCTTTCACATTTGCAATTGTATTTGCATAAAAACAATTGATTGAGCTAGCTCAACAGCTGGTGGAACACTCAAAAGAGAGTCAGCCTCTATCGAGGTCATCCCATCAATGCTGCAAGGTCGAACACGAAGCCCAAAAGCTCTGTCCCCCAAAACCCCCACGAAATTGGTTCATTCGCCCTCCCTGCACCCCGCACAACCCCTGACAGATCCCCTCCCCTTCCCCACCTCCGTGTGATTTTCCCCTGCATTGCAACATTTTCCGCATGCTGCGGGCAGAACTCCCGTCCCCCCAGCTTCCCCGCTTTTTCCCCCGTTGTCATTCCCCCCCCCCCCCCCGTCGCCTCCTACACATACCTCCTGCCGCATATTGTAGGATCCTTTCAGACCTTTTCCTTCCTCCCGGGTCTCCGTAACTCCCGCACGCGCAACTGGCGCTGCAGCAGCATTTTAAGTACCACTCGTAGCGTTTCCCTTTCCCAGAGTTAAGGAGGATCTAAGAGCCGCAGCCATGGCGGAAGCAAAGGCCTGCACCGTGCGGACGCGCAAGTTTATGACCAACCGTCTGCTGCAGCGGAAGCAGTTTGTGAGCGTCCTCCCTGGCCCTCGTCCTTACTTCTTTACGCGTTCGGCGTTAGATGAAATGCGTAGCAATCTTCGTTTGGCCTGTCGACGTATTGTCAACATAGTCGAACATAGTTCGCCGGCGCCTTGCCCGTTAGAACAGTCCCTGCGACGTTGTGTGGTTTGGAACTTAGGTGCGCTAGGCACGGAATGATCAGTGTTTGGATAGGCCGCGGGAGAGCGCATGATATTTCCTGCCCGTGTGATCGATCAGTCGACAGTAGCCTAGGCGTGGGTAGTGCAGCCGTGGAGTAGTTTTAGAAGCAAATTCAAATTCTAATCTGACCGTTTTTGCACGCGGGTGTGGCGCGACGGCTAATGGCGCTGGAACGCCAGCCTTACTTTTCTCGACGATTGTCGCGTAGTTTGACGAATAAGCCTCGCGGTCGCATCTTTTAGGGTTCGCCGTAGTCGCTGGAGCGTTCGTTGAGGTCGATCCAAGGCAGCGGCTTGTTATCGTCTGAAGGCACGCACACCTCGGTGTGACTCGTCACGGTCGAGGTTGGGGCGCGGCGATGCGAACGGAAGTAATGCTAGAGCTCTGCACAAAGAAGTGTGTATTGTTTGGAGCGCGACGGTTCGCCCGCAATGGAGAATGCGGTGGCTGGTTCAGCTGGGCAGAGCGAGAGCTCTGTACTCGACGCACTGTCAGGTTACAGATTTACGGACCGCGTAGTGGAATCGTCATTTAAGGCAGCTGAGGATGTAGCGTCGATGCGAGGGTGATTGTACGAGACGAGCACTTGTTTCGTCATATTTAGCCGGAATATAAACCGATTAGGGTTCCGTTGTCATGCGACCTAATACCGGAAGGGATTAGGGTTCCGTTCTTTTTTGCCAGCTCTGCGGTTGCCTGTCGTTCATTTTTCAACGCACCTCTTACCTAAGTCACATGCGTTTTCGCGACGTTTTCAAATCGGCTGTGTAAACCCCTGCCCATTTTTTAGATTGTCTCATGCCTGTGTTACTTTTGTTTAAAAGCTCACCAGAAGCAGGGTGGGAAGGCCAGATTTACCCTTTTGCAACGTGACTCTCCCTTTTTCGCTCGCCTTAGTAGTTCCAATCGCTGCACCCACTGCCTTTGCGTTTAGCAGACACTTTTTACCCCATACCCCATCCCCACTCCATTCCCGTCTCCTCCTTCCATTTTCCCGCTTCTATTCTCCCGCACTCTCTCCCTCCGTTTGCTGACCCTTCGCCTCTTCTCCCTCGTGTCGGCCCGCCCCTCCTCTCTCCCCGTCCTTCCTGCGCCCCATCCCGTGCGTCCGACGTGGCAGATCATTGACGTGCTGCACCCCGGCAAGGCCAACGTTTCCAAGGTACACTCCACCCCCGCTTCCCGTGTTCCCCTGTTGCGCGAATTACTCTCCCCTGCTCCGTGCGCCACTCTCACCAGCTGTGCACAGTGCCGTTCCCACTTTACAGTCCTCACCCCTTCCTTCCATTTATACCACGTCCCTACTTGCGCAGTTGGCCATTCAGCCCCCCTCTTTCACTGCGCTCTTGTTTCTCGCACCTTCTCTCTACTGCCCCGTCCCGTTTCAATGTTCGCCCCTCCCCTGATTCCCCCTCCCGTCTCCCTGCCTCTCTTCATCCTTCTCAACCCCTTCACTCCCCCACGCTCCTTGCACTCCTCTTTCTCCCCGCACCTTCTCTCCACTTCTCGTCCCCTTTGAATGTCCGTGCCCCACCCAATGCGCCCTTTTCCCGCCCTCTTTCCCTCTCTTCAACTCTTCTGTTTCCGGGAGTCTGAATTGATTAAATACTCACGCATCCTCGTGCCTCCGTTCCGTTCTCCCATCCCTCTCCCTACTTTCCCCTTCTCCCCCCACCCTCATCTTTCTCCCTCGCCTTTTTCCCTCTCGTTTCCCCGCCCTTCCCCCGGCCCTCCCTCCGCCCCTTTCCCTTGCTCCCCTCCCCCCCGCCCTCCCCCATCTCCTTCCTCCCCTTCTCCCCGCGCCAGGCGGAGCTGAAGGAGAAGCTGGGCGCGATCTACGAGAAGAGCGACCTGTCGTGCATCTTCGTGTTCGGCTTCCGCACGCAGTTCGGTGGCGGCAAGTCCACGGGCTTCGGGCTCATCTATGACAACCTCGAGGCCGCCAAGAAGTTTGAGCCCAAATACCGCCTCATCAGGGTGAGCATCCGAGAGGTCGCGGGTTCGAGTCCGGATGTGCAAGGGTTCGAGTCCTGCAGGAGAACAGTTGGGCAAGTTCGATTCTTGAAATGAAGGATTGCAGACAAGAGTATGAAGTTGGTCCAAATGCTGGTGCATGGCCATAGTAGGCAAATGCCTAAAGAAGGTGAAGGCTTTGTTTCTTTTTCCACTGCTCCACTGCTTCATGTTTGGGAGGTATGAGCTTTCATCATGCAGGAATGATCAGTGTTCACTTATTTACGAGCAGCAAACCCAATGTGGGCTCGCAAGTTGTCCCCCCCATTCTGAAGCTCTCAATTTCTTTTTAATGCAAAGTGATAACTTGGGGTACGATTTTGACACCCCCAATGACCTCTTATCCTTGTGGTTTTTTGCCCCTCGGCCCTCCAACTCCCTCTCTTCCCCCCCTCTTCATGTGTGTATGCTTCTTCGATGGTTATTGATGTGGTGTCCCCAGAATGGCTTGGAGGAGAAGAAGAACAAGGAGAGCCGCAAGCTGATGAAGGAGAGGAGGACAAGAGCCAAGAAGGTCCGCGGTGTCAAGAAGGTGAGTGCAGCAGCAAGTGCCCTTAAAAATGAAATTCTGTTATATGCGTGTTATTACAATTATGTTGGGTTTATTGAGATAAAACTTGCTGTCTACTAATATCCATTGTCGTGCTAATTATGTTTGTTGATGCAGACCAAGGCTGCCGCTGCTGAGAAAAAGAAGTAAGATAGTTGATACGGCCAGGGCGAGCCACACTTAGGGCAATCAAGGACCGGAGAATATGTCATGGGGTGACACAGAAGATATGCAGGCTGATCCTAGCATTGTGGCTTAAGTGGCCTTATTCCATATTGCTAGTTCTAAATTTCTTTGCCAGTGTTTCCCTATGTAATCCCGTGATAACGTAAATGGAGCGTCTGATTCAGAAAGTTACACGCAAATATCTGCTGCCTATATTCACTGTTAAGGTAATGCTTATATCAACTCTTGGGGTGCGCGTGACGGGTTAGAAGTGAAATGATCAGGATGAAGCCTCAAAGGAAGTTTCGAAAAGGGTTCAAGTTGATTTGTAGGATCGAAGAACGTTAAACACGGGTACAGTGCGGTGGCGATTCGATTGATATTTGAACCTCGAATCCCAATCTTGCCGTGACTGAACCGCGTCTATGCCACAGAGTGGTGTGGTGTGTGTGTGTGGTGTGGTCATGTCGAGCCAGAAAACGACGCGGAGAACCACCATGCTGGGCACGAACCGCCAGAAGTCAGGGCAGGGGGCAGTCAAATTAGGCTAGGTGATGAATCAACAGGCAGAATGACAACCGATGAGGCGACACGAGCCTCACTACACCTAGGCCGCGCTAATTTCAACGGCCGAAAAGAGACGCTTGTGGGTAGCTACCCTATTTCTTTCGGTGTCGAAGGGTTAAACAGATCGACATTCGTTTTAAAGTGCGTAGTGTTCCGGACCCTTTCGAATGCAGGCGAAACAAGGGTTGTTGCCACTGGAAAGATTGCTCGCGCAAGATTTTATTTTTAATACCGATCAGGAGATTTGTTTTTCTGGTCGTAACCAGTTTATAAGGGGTATCCACTCCTAGATGAGCACGTGCTAACCCCTACTTGGGGCTGGCAGAACACGCCTGCACGGGGGTGGGTTCGATCCCAGGACCTCATCTATCGGAAGTGCCTCTTTCTACTGACTAGGCCACTTCGGGATAAATACCGATCAGGATAACATTGCACTACCCTCTCGATTCGGGATGTCTGAAACGTGGAGCCGAATCTGGTCTAGGGTGGCTCCATAAAAAAAAAGTTTCCGCCGTTGAAATTAGCGCGGCCTAGGTGTAATTGCTTGAGCATTTCGTGTTCGTAGCTTTCCACAATCGAATGTTCTGGAACAGTGCGGTTTTCGGCTTCCAATTTAGAAGCCGGATCGCATCGCAACACCTCAGCGAATGAAGAGATGAGAAAAAACACTCGTCAGCTTTTGAGGCGAAGTCAAAGGTGAACTCCCGAGCTTTCACGCGGTGAACCGTCGCATGTGGATACAGCATGCGAACAGCGTTGTCACGCATCTGTAGGAAGGGTTGTCACGCAAGGGTTGTCACGCAACAGCGTTCCCATCCCAGCCGCTCCGCGAACTGTTTTCTGAATTCAGGGACTCGAATCACCCTGAACAATTCTGAGCATTTAAATATCCCTAGATCACGGTTTCTGTGAGTTGATGTAGTGTAGACTGTGTTCTATTTGAAATGCCCTAAAAGGCAAAGCGAGTTCTTTCGATGGCAGCAGCCCAACAAGGACAGTGTACAGTGATAAATAGCATCCGATTCGAAACACAGTCAGGGATCTGCAACATTCAAACGTGAGTGTGCAGTAGTCAGCACCAAACCAAACTTTCTCTAAAATTACTGTACAGTTCCAGACTGTGGGAGGGAAACCAGATAATGTACTGTACGGTACTGAAAGAATACGGGATGCAGATTCTCGCGTTGTGTTGCATTCTTGAGTCACTTGGTCTTGCTGTCGTTGCATTATGCACCTTCCTGCACGCCTGAAAGTCAGGGCACGCTTTTGCTTCTGTGATGGTCTGTGGTCAGCATCACGACGGAAGAAGTCGGTGCACAGTTCGGTTCAAGGACGGAGTGACGCACTGCGAGCCACCACTGCATTCGGCGCATCAGTCGACACGTCACGAAGGAATTTCCAAGCGGAATTTGGAGCAAAGAGGCAGTCCCTCCCCGTCCCAGTTCCCCCCCATTCCGTACCCCGCAAAAGCTGTGCGGTATTTAGTGAGGTGAAGGCATAGCCTCACTTTCTAAACTGAACAGTCGTGTTTCTGACTTCTAACTAGCTTCAAGCTTTCGGCGATCAACATTCTGAACTTTCACGTGCTGTAACCCTTTTCTACTGATTCAGCCAGCATGTCTGCCGCTGTATGCCTTCCACCGGCCACGGAATCACAGCTGTATCGTCGTCGCAAGCGCACACACAGCCTTTCCGTAGACCTCTCGCGAGTTCCAGGCATCGACCACCGACCATCACCCTCGTCGCACTTATTGCTCGCAAGACCCGCAACCATCCTTGAAGCTCCCGCGGCCTCGTCTCGCCACGAACATGAGCAGCGCAACTCCCGCCGCATCCCTCGTAGCGGTTCGGCCATTTCCAATCCGCGTGTTTCAAACGGCGCATGCGGCTCGCCGTTGTCCACGTCACCGACATCGTGGCGACCAAGATCCCCCACCGTCGTCCGCAGCCCGCACGCGGAGATCATCCGCCAGCAGGCGGAATCGGCGCAGGAGCGCGAGGCGGAGATGGACCGCGCGTGGGAGAGCGCGGAGCGCGCATCAGAGAGCGCCTCTGGCGCCGCAGAGCTCCCTGCAACCAGCCCTACAGAGAAGGAGCGCTACGGTGGTCAGCCTAACGTGAGCGTCTGCGACCGCGGCGATAACTACGGCGATGCGGGCGATTCTCTGAGCACTTCGCCGCTAAGGCAGCTCGACGGCTCTAAGTTTGCCGCGTGGCGCTCTCTTCTCTCGCCTGCTACATCCCGTCTCCTGACTCAGCCTTTAAATCTGAGCCGTTCGATTCAAAGACCTGGTAGTGCTCTTGAGCGACGCGGTTCGGGACTCAAGGATAATTCACGAAGCTTCCACGCAATGTTGTTGGATCTCCAACGAGGCATGGAGTCAGGCGCGCAGGAGGAAGCATCGTCGACCAGCACCGGCGCGGCGCGCTCGCCCTCGGCCCGAGGGACCGACGTGCCTCACAACGCGCACCCGCGCCGCCTTCATCGGCGCGCCCGGTCGCTCACCAGCATTTCTACCTCTCAGGAATTTTCCCTCGTCGAGGACTCCGCAGATGTTCTTCCCAAGCCGTCCGACCTTCAAAAGTGTTCCAGCAATGGCGAGGATGCGGCGCGCCGCGAGGGGCATGAGACGGAGAGCGCCGCAGCGGGAGCGGGGAACGGAGCGTCGGAAAAGGTGGACATTCATCGCGATGATCGGGCTCTCGCAAATTGCCGATCTGCTGTCGTCCCGTCGTCGAACGGCGCTACTCAGTTTGTCGCCCCGCGTGATCGTCGGTTGGTCAAGCGGTGGGGAAGCGGCGGCTCGATTCCTAGATCATCTGCCACGCAACTTGCTGGCCATTCCAATACGTCCTTGAGCCCAACTAGCCCAAACCCTCCTAACCTAAGCCCTAAAAACCTTCCCAAGGAGGGCTCCGCGTCTCCACTGTCGCCCGTCCCCTGCCTTGTGCGGCGACACACCAGCGCTTCCCCCTTTCACGGGCGTGGCGCAAGCGCTGATCTTTCTGCGCCGATCCACAGGCGAAAGGTGTCGTTCAACTCTGTAGTGCAGGTTAGAGTGTACATGTGTGCAGAAACATGATTCCGCAGAAGTTTGACTGCGGAAGTACATTTTTGAAACAATTCTGGGGGATAGTTTGTCAAAATCGTGTTATGTGGAATTGAACCTGCTCAAAACCTCGGTGCACTTCGGTTAACCCCGTGTCACACAGAAAGTCAACCTGTTCATTGGGAAGTCGAAAAGTCGGCCTGCAAGGTGATTGGATAACAAAGTAAATGTCGGCCTTTTCAAGCGAAGAGGTCGGATCGGTCAGGAGTGTCCATCCCATGAGAATATAACGTTCAGGACACGTCTGCCATACCGTCCTCGAAATGCATAGCTTGGGCCTGCTTGATTGGTCAGTGTTTACCTGCCCGACTGCAGTTTTGGGTTCTGGATGCCGTGGGTGCATCTGCTCGAATTGGTGCTTCAACTCGCAAACCGCTACAACGATGACGAGGCACAAACGATGCCCCGACGAGACAAGGCTCACAACAGGAGGGACACTGTATGCCTGGAACATACACCGTATGTGTAGTACATGTGGGGTTGCGAAGGGCAACAGAAAGGAAAAAGGGCCCCTTAGCGGGTTTCTATCCAACTCGGACGTGTTTTGCATCTAAATCGGTAGCCCCCCCCGCGCCCCTCCCCCCTACCCCCCTCTTAGGCCACCAGCTGGAAGGACAAATTTGTTGACTGGGTGGAAATGCAGCAGAACCACCAACAAGCAAGCGAAGCAGGAAATAGGGGTTGCTGGGGGGGAACGGGGGAGTGCAAGGGTAGCAGGGCTAGATTTCGCAAGTCACCTCTACAGAAATGGTCTGGATTAGAGAAGAAAGAGAAGGAAACCAAGCCGACTTTCCGCCAGGTTTGAGATTCATCTGCTAGAACTGTCTCCCCTGACTTTCATTTCCGAAGAAATGTGAGGTGCAAAACACGCCCTAGACTGTGATATAGCACTGCCTCACCTCCACACACAAAGCCCCTAGCCATTAGGACCACTTGACTTCAGAACTTCTCACAAGTCTCCACAAAAAACCACTTTTCACCACTGGCTTCGTTCTCAGACAAAGCGCTTGACTTCCTAGCCGCACGTCCAACCCGCGATTCACGCAGAAGAAGCCTCGCACGCACGATTCCACAGCCCGGTTCGGGACTGCTCCTGTACAGTACTCGCTTCTGCCGCACGGTTAATTTACACGTTGGTGGTACAGTCGATGCTCAGCCTATCACAAAAATTTGCTTATCACAATTAGAAAATCAGTCACTCGCGAACGTTTTGCCTGTGAGTGGTGATTGTGCTGATTTCGGGGTACAGTCACCAAGTCGAGGAAGAAAAACATCTACAGTTCATAAACAACGGCGGCTGCCTGTCATCAGAATTGTTTACCTGGTTACGAACTTAAACCCCTAGACTCGTTTCACATTCCAATTTCGTTTTACAATCACATTTTTGCCCGTGGCGACAAAGGCGAATGTGGCGAAATGCCCGAAACTCGTTTCACTCACATGCCGCCCGCCTACCTGGTGTTCTTGAAATGAGCACCGACTGTACTGTACACATTGCCGTTTTCTCTTGTTGTAGCGCACAACCAGGAATTCCTATCCTGTCCACGCGAACCGACACCACGACCCTCTGGTCTGCAGATTTATACCACTCGTCTGACAAGCACAAACATGATTCGACTTCCGTTCAACGGAACGGCAGCCAAACCCTCTCTCCGACTCCTCAAGCTCAACCCAAGCAAACTGGAGGCCTTTAGCCTTCGTGATTTTTTCCTTTCTCGGAGAAGGACGCCATTGCCCCGGGCCGCACGCAAACAACATGTCGCTGTCGCACCAAACCCGCCGTTCGCGGAGACCCAATCTCTCCCTAAATCTTTCGACCGTCCGCGCCGCGCCGGCTCTTTGGCGGGACGAAGATCTCGAGCCGCGAGACGGGACTGAGGCGCCGAGTGCGCGGCCCACGGCAGACCGGCGGCGTCGCGACGAAGCATTGAACACCGCCGCGGGCCGGCCGCCGGCCGGCGCGGCTTCACTTCACGCCACCACCACCGGCGCTGGTGACGGCGCACAACTCTCATCGGCCGCATCCGCCGGCTTTTTCCGCATTTTTCCGCTGATCTGGCGGGCGGTCCGGGGACCTCCGCAACTTCGCGCAAAGGCATTAAAGGGTCCGTCAGCGGCTCGATCATGCCGGCTCGACCGTTCTCTCGTTCCCTGTCCTCCTCCACGCTGGGAGAATCTGCTCGTGCCCCCTCCCCTCACTCAGTCTACTCACTATCCTCCGCTCAAAGCTCGGGCGCCAAATCGTCTTCGTCCTCGTTATTGTCACCTTCGATGTCGTCACCCTTCTGCGGAGGGAACCAATGCAAATATCTTTCGGACGAGTCACCTATCCGCAGCCAGAGTGCTTCCCGCGTGCCTTCCTGGTATGTTTCTCGCTCCGTCGGCTCTCCCTCACATGTTGTTCTCCTCCTACACCTGCGTGCTCTATTTCTGCTATACCGCTAGCGTTTTTCTAGCAGATTATGCCAGCTTGACTGTCAAGATTGATCCTCTGCGGGTTCGTTCGGTGTCAAACTGATCCTCTACACATAATGCCGCAATAATCTTATCCGCCTTACTCCTCTTCTTGCTTTCAACTTCCTTCTTTACCTCCCCCCCCACCCCTCTCATCACCCTCTCTCCCTTCTCGTGCTGTCCCATTTCATCCCGATAATCTCAGCTCCCCATTCCCTCTCCAACTCATCTTCTCTCCATCCGCTTTTCTCTCTCCGATCCCCGTTCACCCTGAATCGCACCCCGTGCAGCATTGCGCGAGTTACAACAGCACCTGCTACAGCCGGCACGAGTACCGCCATCCACGTCAGCACCCAAAGCAGCACCCAAGGCAGCACCCAAGGCAGCACCCAAGGCAGCACCCAAGGCAGCACCCAAGGCAGCACCAAAAGCAGCACCCAAGGCAGCACCCAAGGCAGCACCCAAGGCAGCACCCAAGGCAGCACCCAAGGCAGCACCCAAGGCAGCACCCAAGGCAGCACCCAAGGCAGCACCCAAGGCAGCATGAGCAACACGTTGAAGAGCCAACCACCAAGACACGGCCCAGCTGCTGCTACAAGCGACACCGGCGCTGCCCTTCCCAGGCCAAGCACCCGGCCCTCCCTTCGCCCTCCTCTCTCCCCTCACTCTCCGCTCTCCCTTCGCCCTTCGCTCTCCCCTCAACCTTCACTCTCCCCTCACCCTCCGCCCTCCCCTCACCCTCCTCCCTCCCCTCACTCTCCGCTCTCCCCTCACTCCCCGCCCTCCCCTCACACACCGCTCTCCCCTCACCCTCCTCCGTCCGCTCGCCCTCCTGTCTCCCTTCGCCCGCCTCTCTCACGCGCTTCTGCAATCGCCGCACCTGGAAACGACCAGCGCGCTGCTAGTAAGGCCCTTGCAGCAAGTGGCGACACGGCAGCGATTCATGATGAGACGTCTCAAGCATCGCTCTCACGGGGTTCCTCCATCGTGCCTGGACTGGAACAGCGCACCGCTACTAACAAGACCCTTGCAGCAAGCGGCGATGCTGCAGCACCCGTGCCTCGTCTGCGCCCAGCCTCCCCCACGCCTGTGTCCACATTGCAGCCGCCATCTCCCACGCCTGTGTCCACATTGCAGCCGCCGTCCCCCACACCTGTCACATCCACGTGGCAGACGCCGTCCCCCACGCCTACGTGGCAGCCGCCGTCCCCCACGCCTGTGCGCAGCATGCACGGGGAGCACATTCAGCGGCGCGCAGCGGAGGCCAAGGCGCGGCAAGCACAGATGGATGAGGCGTGGGATGCGCTGATGCTTCAAGAGGACGACCGCCATCCTGCTGCTGCTACTGCTACTGCTGCTGCTGCTGCTGCTACTGCTACTGCTGCTGCTACTCCTGCTTCTGCTTCTGCTGCACCGCTTGTGACAGAAACAACGGTTGCCGTTGCCCCAGGATGCAGCGACGGGTCAGGCGAGGAGGGTGCTGCTGCTGCCGTAGCCCTAGCCCAAGCCAGCCTTTCAACCAACGCGCCCTCTCCAGCCAACACTGCTCCAGCCAAGACTGCAGCAGCCAAGACTGTAGCAGGCGAATCTGCTGCTGCTGCGGGGAGATCTTTGCCATCGAAGCAGCGAGTGATGCGACCTCTGACTCCCGATGGTGCTACTAGGCCGTCCTGGGGCGTTTCATGGCGGCTTTTTATGGCGTCACGGCGAGGCCTCAAGGGGTGGAACAGCGGCTTGATGGCACTTAAGGAGGGTGACAGTAACGAGTATGCTGCTGGAGGGGATGAGTCGGGGAACCAGAGTGACGCTGGAGGTGCCAGGTCATCAGGGGGCCTGACTCGTGCTGTGGTGGCGCCTAAGGGAGTGAGCAGGAGGCGGTTGTGTCGGTCCATGTCTCTCAGCGATGGCTTGCTGGCTGCTGCTGCTGCTTCTGCTGCTGCTGCTTCTGCTGCTGATGGTGCTGGCACTGGGGGTGCTGCTGCTGCTGGTGGCGGCAGCTCTGTGAGAACCGAGACACTCGGAGCAAAGGCAGCACAGGAATCGGCCCAGCCTTTGTCGAGCCGTTCACCTCCCAAGCCTCGCGATGACTCTTTGGAGCGGCTGGATTCTCCACTGCTGGGCAGCAGCGAGTCTTCTCATCTCTCCACATGCACAACACGCGCCTCTGTCCACCCCGCCATTCAGCTGCCTTTTCCGCGGGGAGAAGAAGCAGCAGTAATCGGAGCAACGAGCACGAGGGTTGTAGCAGAAGGAGGGCTCTCCGGAGCAAGCGCAGGGACAGGGGCACTTGGGCCGTTTGTCGGGACAAGGACGCTAAGCGACAGCAACATCAACCTTCTAGCTAATGGTGGCCTGACAACACTGCATGGCAGCAGCAGCAGCAGCAGCAGCAGCAGCAGCAGCAGCAGCAGCAGCAGCAGCAGCAGCAGCAGCAGCAGCAGCAGCAGCAGCAACATCAACCTTCTGAGCGACGACCAATGCCCTTTTCCTGCTGCAAGCATGCTTTCCCACTTAGGGAACAGCACCCTTCAGGGCAGGTCGCCAGAATGTTCCTTAATCTACTCCTGTGCCATTCCCAGTCTTCCCAGTCCCAGTCCCGAGGCGGAAACCTCAGGCAGCCAATCAGCTCCCATGGGAAGGTATCATGCTAGGGCCACCGCCGCTACCCGGGGTTTGTACAGGAGAGGCACACCGCGACAAATCTCCTCCTGTTCAGACCTGCAGCAGCTGCAAGAAACGGCGACTCTCCACTCACCAGCTCTTTATGAGTCGACTCAAAAGTCAGCTTTCCACTCACCAGCTCTCCACACAGCGGCAAGGCCTCCCTACACACCTGATTCATCGGCCTTTAAGAACGCCACTAGCAGTAGCAGAGCCATGAATAGGGGTAGCGCGCAGAGGGTGAGCTCATCCTGCTGCTCAAACCTGCAGAATCTGCAGGTTCTCCCCCCAGCAGCCACTCCCGTCCCAGCCGCTCCCCCACCAGCCGCTCCCCCTTCAGCCTCTTCCCCCACAGCCGCCATCATCCCTTCCCGTGCTGGTTCGTCATCGGCGCACGGATTATCCAACAAAGCCACGGCTGCTGCTAGTAGTGGTGCCGTGGCCGGTCAGCAACGGAGTAGCGGCGGCACAGCGAGGCGGGTGGTGCCGGCAAACGGATTCTTCAAAAGCGCGGCTTATACCAGGTCGTCATGCTCCGATCTGGAGCAGCTGCAAGCTGCTGCTGCTGCTGCTGGCGCTGCTGCTGCTGGCGCTGCTGCTGCTGGCGCTGCTGCTGCTGGCGCTGCTGCTGCTGGCGCTGCTGCTGGTGGCGTTGCTGCTGCTGCTGGTGCTGCTGCTGCTGCTGGTGGTGGTGGCGCTGCTGCAAACATCCCCTTGGGGGGGGATCCAACGATGCAAGTCGTTCTCTCCTCCGCTGATGATTCCTCGTCTGCAGGTGAACTTCCCTGTGCATCGCTTCCGCGTCGCAGCTTATCGTCGTCCTCAGCGCTCTCCGCCTCGGCTCCCTTGCTGCCTGTCTCGCCGCTTGCTCAGATGGGGGAGGATGGAGTAAGGCAGCAGCAGCAGCTCCGAAAGAAGGTGTCGTTCAACTCCATTGTTAGGGTTAGGACCTTCATTTCCACGCATGACATTGAGCCTGCTGCTTATGAGGCACCACCTGTACCATGCTAAGATCATGGGGTTGGAACACGTAAGATGGTTGAACGGATTACGTGAAGGGGACGGAAAACGGTATGGGATCCTGGTTGAGGAGCCTCTAGGAGTCAATGGCGACGATAAAATAACCTACTGCCCCACGACCCCTTTCATTCCGCACTTAGTCTTTATTGACACAATTGTAGGTGATTATGTTTGTAATATTGAATCATTACTTGAATAATCACTCAACGATCAAACCGATATTACTGATACGAGGTCGGCACACCAACTGCACAAGCCGAAATCCCTATACGCGGCCCATAATACAGCGGTGAGACAGATTGCTCGAATTTCCAACGGTTGTTAGCGGCGCGCAAGCTGTTCCTCCGCTGGCTGGTCTCCATGAGAAGCAATGCCTCCTACTACCTACCGCGAAGATCAGAGACATCGTCGCATCGCGCTTTCAGGTGTGCTACTGAAAATCTCACGCGAAAGTTGACTGAATGACGCAGTGGTGAATAATCGTGGTTCAGAAAGTAGGCATATGGAAAGCGAGGGATGTGGATACAAATGCTATGCAGAGCAGCCATGGGGGAAGGTTACTAATCTCACATTCTATTGTGCCGACTCGTTATGTTTGATGTGTAAGCCGCAGCAAGAATGGTTGGCACCATGGCATGGGTTCGCTACTAGTGCAATTAAATCCAAATGTGCAAAACTACGAAGCCGAAACGGAACTTCCGACTTTTCCATGATATTAACTACAATCAAAATTCACAATATCGCGTTTTCCAGACCAGTGACCAGGTTCCTCCACCTGAATCCGCACGAAGTTGTTGGCCCGCAACCAACCAAGCCCCCAAACGTGCACTTTCTGCACTCGTGCCAAACTTTGGGCCCTTACGTGGCACTCTGCTGGCTTCCGAGCGACCATTTCAGATCCAGCGTCATTTCCCTCATCCACCGTCGGTTTTCCTCTTTTTGAGCTGTCAAATTTCCCTCGTCGAGTTCATTTCACGTGGAAGTGTCCACCCCAACCTTCCGTCAGCGTCGCCCACAGCCTTCAATCTCCCTCCTTCCGACTCGGCTACCCGTCATCGACCGGCGCGGTACGATGGCGTGGCAGGTCGAGCCACCCCAAACAGCGCATCAACTCGCGGAGATTCCGCATGGTCCGATTGCGGTGGTCCCCACACACAGTCCACCGTCTGTTGTACAAGCTACTGCCTTCCCCTTCGTTCTCCGCCAAACCACCCCCTCGCGGCGTCTCACCCACAGCGAACGCAAACACACACCCACCTCTGTTGTTGAAGCTCAAACCACCTGGAAATATTTTACCCACCGTTGACTGCACTCTCCATTACATATTGAACCTGGACTGAGTTGGAGCGCAGTTCACTGATCATATAACTTCGCACTCCTTCGTCTGCTCGGAAGCTGTCACCTGCTGCTGCTCACCGTCTTCTACGCCGTCTTACTCGATTCGCCCGTTTTGCGAGGCCGTACTTCCTGAGCGTCACCCTTATTCACGCTAACGTCACTATCATGGCGGAGACACAAGACGTCACCATGATCTTTGTTCACATGAGCAACCGCAGCCTTTCGGAATCGACGACTTCATCGCAGCAGGTGTCGTCATTGATGAGACGGAGTCTCGCTGACGGATCATCCTCGTTATCCAACGAAGGCCACGGGTTTCAATCCACCGTGAAATCCATGTCCTGCCGCATTGATACTGCTCGGCGTAGCATGCTTGGCGACTCGTGGTGGGTTTCAGCCTGAAGTGCCATCTTGTGGTATCTTGTCTCACTGCGTGCGTGATCCTGCATCCAAAGTTGCTTCTCGTTCGGCCTCAATGTCCAGAAGTTGGTGGATCGCGTATGGGCTCACGCGAAGGCGGTTGATGCCCACTGTTCATAGAGATTGTTGCGGATTCGTCGCGGATGATTTAACTCTGCTGGACACTACCTACCTCGTGGGTTGTACATGTGGTAGTGTGCTTCCAGCCACCATTTAGATGGGGCAGTGTATAGGCAATGGCCTGAAAGGCCTTGCGGTCCAGTTTTGTGTCTTTCAATGCAAGTTGTACATGAGCTGTGTATATCTCCATTTATTTCAGTTATTGTCCTAGTGAATGTATTGCGGGTAGCACAGCCAGCCAAACAAGTACTCCGTGATAGCAGACTGTTTACCACCCAGATAAATACTAGCTTAGAGCAGCCATGTCACATCCTGGTCCGTTGAGTACCGAGGAAGATATAAGCTGGGAAAAATAAGTACCGTACAGGTATGTACAATGGTTGTAAACAATTATACTGTTCTACCCACAAACCATGTGGACGGTGTGTAAATACCGTAAGTGGTCAAATAACGGTAATCGCTATCTACCAGAAACAAATGTGCTCCGTATGGCTGTGGTAGTCACTGGTTGACGCATTGAGTAAACTAAACATCACGAATCTTCAGAGTCGGTGTCGTCTTCAAGTGGAACCTCATGACGGGGAGCATTGTACTTGTCCCGAAGAGGCTTGCACGGAATGAAGTCACCTTTAGAGTCAGCTCCATAAAATAAAAGGTACAGGTATGGGTGGATCATTTGCTCCTGCAACGAGAAGAGGCGACATGAGGATGCTAGCAGAGGAATCTGAAAAAAGGCATGGTATAAAAAAGTACCTTATCAGGCTCCTCAGGGACTTCAAGCAGGTCCTCCGCAACTGCCAGCCAAACAGCCCAACAAAGGTACACCAATTTCCATCAATTCCATGGTAAGTGATGAGTCTGTTGAGCACTATAGAGGCTGCAATCACGAGTTGGCCAAGAACCAGAAAACACACTTACCATATGCAACTGGAAACCTAGCTCCATTGCCCAAGTCAAGTAAGATCTGCGAAAAGGGTATAAAAGAAGGGCAATGAGGTTTACAGCCATTTTGCGGACGTGAACAACACACGAACGAGCCATGACAAGCCAGAGCGAGGTGGCAATTCATCACTACACGTCCATCCAGACCAGACGAACCTGGTAAAAGGGCTGGTTAGGACCCCGAGTAAGTCGGCTGATTTTAGCTCCCGACATCCACTCCTCTGTCTCACAGCACATGGGGTCCATCCCCGCAACAATGCCTCGATAGCCTGGGAGGAACAGGTAAGGACGTGGAGGTTCAAGGAGAAAGTAGGCTTGGGCTAAGAGAGCAGGGATTGGATCCAGGCACAGTAGAACGAAAAGCCCCCAGGACCAATTTCGTCAGGCATTCACAGTCGAGATAATAACACAAACCAAGCATTTTCTTTTACAAGGACTCACCAAATTCTTTGTGAGTAACTTTCTGCCCTAGCCGGAGCTTGTAAGTGACATTGCCCATAGCCAACGCTGCAGCAGAAGCTGCCAGCGTGTCACCCTGCAAAATAGAGCACTACTCCATCAGAGGTTTGGAAAAAAAGAGTAACTAGTGCTCAATAATGTGACAGTGAACTTTCCAGTTGGTCCACTGCTGCAAAGCCACTACTTTTGCAGCCAAGGAACGCACCTCTAGTTGGCCCATTTTCTTTCTGATCTCAGCTGCTTCCTCGTACAGCTCCTGCTCCACTGCTCGCTGCAGCGCTGCTCTGTCAGTAGCATCCAGAATTCACAGAATAAATTAGACAACACCAAGAGAAATCATGGAGGAAACGAAATTTCTAATTACGCAGAAGATATTGTTACAGATGAATCCGTGTTCGAAGTTCCTGACAAATGATATTACTTGAGGCGTAACAAGGCTAAGCCCTTGTCTTGAGCTGCTTCTTTGGATGAAGTGCCCATCTTTGCTTCTCTCTGTCGTGCGATTTCACGATCAAGCTGCCACAGCAAGATAATCAGACAATAATGCGGCCGAGAGTAAGAGTCGGATCCGAAGAGAACGATATGCGACCTTCACCTGAATTACTCAGGAGTTGAACAACATCAATTGTCTTACCTCTGCAATCTTTTCCCGAAGTAGCTGTGCAGGTTCGTATTGGTCCAAGTTGAGCGCTTTCTGCGGAACGAGTAAGGAGGATCGAAAGGACCATTTCCAGCTGAAACAATGGCATTGGTCTAGTGGAATCAAAATAGATGTAATTCTCGCATGATGCTGCTGGCACGTAACGGTTCCTTGATTAAAAAAACAGCGAACAGCTCCCTCACCTGAAGCCTGGTGTTAAGATCGAGTTGGTAGAAGAAGAGCAGCAGCTCCTCATTCACCATGGTGCTGTGCTCAACTGATGGATCTAGACCAGCATTCCCGCTGGTCGAGGACGCTCGTGTAGCCGTTCGATGACGGTGTGATTCAGGTGGCGCTGAACGATGCGACAATGCACCAGAAAGACTTTGATTTCCTTGAAATCGATCGTTTGTTGGATTTGAGAATGCATGGCTGAAACATTGGCGGAGCGATGCTGATGGGACGAGAGTTCGTCTACAAGGAACTCGAGATTCCAACGACTCAATTGGTTGAGAGGTCCGACGCTTGCGACTGTGATGAGCCGTGCCCTTTAGAAGTGTATTAGGCCGGACATGGCATACAATGCAATATTGCGACATGTCGATATGTACTAATTGTTATTGCTTGGCACGATGCAAAAACGCCCGGGGTCCACGAGGAAGAGACGATGCGCACAAAATAAGGCTGGCCCTGAAGAGCGGTTCAAGTCTACGGGGCCTACGAATTCTGAATGCGCCTGGGCTAGAAACCTTCGCTTTCCTGTTCTAGCGTTCCTACACGAATAGGGTCACTTTTCCAGCCATGGCTTCCGTCGGGATTTGGACCAGAATAACTAGCAGGAAGGGATGTCGGTAAATTGTAGTGGAGGCATCACCAAAGTCACAGAAGTTCCAAAAGCTAGGACTTTTTACCCACGTTTCCTCAACTTTTACTCTTCTGAAAATCAATCTGCTTGGGGTATGGGTCAACTTGTGGCGTTATAGCATTTCGGTTATCAAAGTGAAAGACGCGGTTGAGTATGACGGGGATGTAAAAGGTTCCCTCCCTCGATTTTTGCGTAGCGCAACGCTCATAATTGGCTGCTTGACTTAGCGAATTCCATTCGCGAAAGTGCACCTGTCCAGGAAGAAGCCCTATTCGTCAGTCGCAGAAGTCATCTGATCATCTTGGGGTTGTCGTCGTCAGGAATCTTGGCTCGGCCATCAACCGTCAGACACAACCTTCCCCTAATATTGGTCGCCACCAGTCTTCAAAGTTTCCTGCTGATTCTGCTGCATCTTGCTAGTGTTCTTTCGTAGCTCTAGCATCGCAGCCATGGCTGAAGCTCCTGGGGAAGGCGCCATGAAGTGGGCGATTAAGACAGCAGATGCGGTGCCGGCGTCAGAAGGGGTGCTTTCCAAAGGTGAAGCTCCTGAACTTTTAGTATATGCACAGAGTGCACCTTCGCCTGTTTGAGTTTAGAGACGACAATGCTGTTTTGAATCATGACAAATCTGTTTGGTGTCTTATACTGATGCAGGACCAACGTATAAAAGTTTTTACGCCAAGGATGGGTATGCAAAATTGGACGGCATCAACACCGTCTGGGAGCTTTTCGAGTACGTCTCAACCCTTCGAATTGTGTTTACTATCTGAGCATTACAGATTCAGAGATCTTTCTGTCTTTGATTTTCAACATATTTTAGGTCAGTCGTCTCGCACAATTTGCTAACCTTCAGAGTGTGATGATTTCAGCAATTCCGTCAAGAAATTCGCGAAGAACAAGTTCCTTGGAAAGCGATCCGTCGTCAACGGCGTGGTGAGCATTTGACTCGGCTTGATTGATAGACAATCTCCCTATCGCTGTTGCTATCGCTCTATCGTTCCAGCAACCTTCAATAATATCAGCGTCTACAACAGGAAATTGTGTTTCATTATTTATTTGATTCTCGTGTAATAAGTCTCTGCTCGATGTGAATATCCGTTCAGGCGGGTCCGTACGAATGGCAAACGTATGAGGAGGTTGGCGCTACGGTCAAGAAGGTCGCGTCTGCACTTCGCTTCAACGGCCTTCAACCTGTAAGTTGATGCTTTTTTACCATCTCGCATACTCTTTTGTTCTGTATTTCGTTTGTTCTCACTATGGAATACTAACGACGTCGTTTCTCTCCAACTGGTTCTGAAATTTTGCAGCAAAGCCGCGTAGGCATCTATGGGATCAACTCGCCAGAGTGGTTCATGACCATGGAGGTGCGCCTGTTTCTCACACGCATTTGTAAAGCTTGCTCATGACTTACGAGTTGACCAAAAGTCACCTGCTTCTCACACGCATCTATTAATCATTGCTCGTTCACCATCACTTGGGCTTCCGTTTCTTGATCCGAGACGATTTAGCCGAATCAGCTGTGCCTTAGATTCCTGCTGAGCTGGTGTTGTCCTGGACATGTTTTGTACCTTTTGCAGGCATGCAACAGCCAATCGATCCACTGCGTGCCACTCTATGACACCCTTGGTACGTGTCCGATTTGAGGTTCCCCTGCATCGCAGAAGGAAGCTTATCTGCTTCTCCTCAGCATCCTCCAGTCACGTGCTTCCGCCTATCTGCATCATTTCACTTCAATCCCCTCTCATATCATATCCCCTCCGTGTCCCCTCTCTCTTATCCTCAGGCCCTGAGGCAGTGGAGTTCATTCTGAATCACGCAGAGGTGTCTCTGGTCGCTGTCATGCCTGCCAATCTCCCTGCGGTGAGCTCTCAAGTCCAGCGCGATCCAACCAGCTGGAAGAGTTATGGCTTTGACACTGTTTCCTAACTTTGTTGCATGTGACTAATCTTCACCTGTGCGCTGTTTTATGTTTCATCATTTTTGCATCTGTTCTGATTCGACCCCATGGCTCTCTTTCTATTTGCAGCTTCTCAAGAGTCTCCCCAAGTGCACAGAGCACGTAAAGAGTGAGTGTCGTTCTTATCCGGGTGTCGCCTTTTGACAAACTGATATTTTTGAGCCGCAATTTGCAAGAAACCATCTCGAAATTGCTCTTTCTAGAGCGAACCACCGCCACCACTGTGTATGTTTGATTTCCTTTCTCCTTTGTTCCTGGCAGCTGTTATAAGCATGGGAGCCGTGGCTTCATGAGGAGTCGAGCAAGGCGCTGAAGGACCTTGGCATCAAGGCGCTTTCATGGGAGGACGCTCTTAAGGAGGTACCACTATCACTTAGTGAGATTGCTTTGTGGGCCTTACGGCTGTTATGGTTTACTTAGAACAGGTAGCCCAGCCTAGTCTCTTTCAGTGAGCACATGTAGACCAGCTAGGGGGTGTATTCAATAGTTCCTGAATGCGCCTCTACGACAACAAAAGCAGTCATAGCAGGAGAGCGCTCATTGATGTTGGATCGGCACATTCAGTGCACACCACTTGTTGCCTTCTTTTGGATGTCTTCAGGGCGAGTCGAACCCTGCAGAGCCGACCCCTCCAGTGCCAGAGGATATCTGCACGATCATGTACACTTCAGGTACTTTTTGCTGCACCATCGCATGGAGCGTGTTGAGTTTCAACTATGCCCGTTTGTATTGTATTGAGTCAACACAGAAACTACCACCGTTGCAACCAAATTATGTTTTTGTTCATTTCGGGTTGTATCTTTTCGGCCTAACCTTTATCATCACTGTGTACACTGCAGATTCTTCTCCACAAGAGCCATGTTTTAATTCTTTTCGATACAATTTGTCATACCTTCGTACCCTCCCTAAATCCACCTCTTCCCACTCCAGGCACCACTGGCGAGCCCAAGGGAGTTCTCTTGACACACAGGGGTGATTTTTTAGGCGCCTCAAGAATTCGTCATGCCTGCGTGCCCTCCCTAATTCCCCCTCTTCCCACCCCAGGCACCACTGGTGAGCCCAAGGGAGTCCTTCTCACACACAGGGCATTGCTGGCTGCCATTGCCGGGAATAAGGATTTCGTTGCATACAATAACATCAACGTAAGACCCGGCTGCATACAGCTGCAGCAGCACATGTGTAGCTTCTAACGCGATCTTCCAGTATCAGCCTTTGTGCCCGTCTACATATCCGTTGATTCGACTTGGAAGTACAGGTTGTGAGATTAAAGCTTGTGGTTTCAAATGTTGGGCTTCATTTTTCCCCCTATCCCTCCCTTCCCCCCCCCCCCCCCCCCCCGCCCCCTTTTCACAGTTTGGCGAAGACGAGATGTACCTGTCCTACCTGCCCCTGGCGCACATATTTGACCGCTCAGCGGAGGAGCTCATCACCTACTTCGGTGGTGCCATTGGCTTCTGGCGCGGGGTAAGCCCTCATTCACGCACTTGCATGCAGGGTGATCCTCGGGATTATTTTGGAATTCTCAAAAACAATCTGGCACTGAATAAGCCCTCATTCACGCTCATTCAGGGCGATCCCCATTCGTTTGCCGTAGCAAGAGATTCTGCAGTTAGTATGCGTGCTTGTAGTGTGCGCTTGCTGCTTGTATTGGATGCTCTGTGTGGATGGTGGGTTTGTGTAAGTCCACTAACAAGCTACGACTTGTACTTATGTCCCTCTTGCTCTCCCGCTGAATTGTTTCCTCCTGACCTCTCTTCCACCTGCACACCCCCAATCTCCCCCCACTCCCTCCCCCCTTTCCCCGCACTCCCCGACTCCTCGCCAGGATGTCAAGTTGCTCAAGGAGGACATTGCAGAGCTCAAGCCCACCTCTTCTTCTGAGAATTCTCAGAAGTGAGAGTTCTCAAAAGTGATTCCCGCCCACCCCCCTCCCCTCCTCTCGCCAGGATGTCAAGTTGCTCACAGAGGACATTGCAGAGCTCAAGCCCACCTTCTTTTGTGGCGTCCCTCGCATCTTTGACCGCATCTATGCTGGTCAGGCCCCCACACTCCCCTATCCCCCGTTTCTCTCTCCCCTCTCCCCTCTCCCCTCTCCCCTCTCCCCTCTCCCCTCTCCCTCTCCCCTCTCCCTCTCCCCTCTCCCCTCTCCCTTCCCCTCTCCCTTCTCCCCTCTCCCATCTCTCCTCTTCCCTGTCCCCTCTCGCCTCTCCCTTCTCCCTTCTTCCGTAGCGTTCCTTGCATCTCTGATTGCATCTGCACTGGTCAGCTCCGCTGTCGCTCCCTTCTCCCTTCCCCTCCTCAGCCTGTCCTGCATCACACCTCCATCTCAGTTCCAGGGGCTCATAAAGACTGTTTGACCTGGTATACAGTGCTAGCACGTCCCTAACACTTTTTGTCCTGATCCGGCCATCCTCTGCACCTCCCCTCCCTGCCAGGCGTGAAGGCGAAGGTGGAGGCAGCAGGGGGCATCGGCAAGTTCCTCTTTGACCTTGCCTACAGCCGCAAGCAGGCTCGCATTCGAGCGGGCGTGGCGGTGCAATTTGCTGCTCCAATCTCAGATGCGATTGTCTTCAACAAGGTATGCAATAGCCTTTGAGAACGTGCTCTGCTCTGCCTGATGTTGTACGCTTTTAATTCGAGTCAAATGCAGTTTGCCGCTCCAATCTCAGATGCGATTGTCTTCAACAAGGTATGCAATAGCCTTTGAGAACATGCTCTACCTGAGGGCGTATTCCTGGCTTCGGGTCATCCCGGCTTCATGTCATCCGAAATTTGCGATATCCAATCGAAAAATTCAGATTTCGAACCGCGTGTTTTTCGATTGGCTACCACAATTTTCAAATGACACAAACACCGGATGACCCGAAGCTAGGAATACGTCCTGATGCCGTAGCATCATCTACGTTTGTAACCTTTTTTGTGTGTCCCCTGTGTAGATCAAGGCGCGTCTGGGAGGGCGGGTAAAGGCCATCTGCTCTGGTGCTGCACCTCTTGCTGCACCTCTCAAGATGACTGTTCAGTCCATTCAAAAGTTGCCCCCTCATCCCCCTCGCCCCTTTCCCTCTCGTTTCCCCTGTGCAGATCAAGGCGCGTCTGGGAGGGCGGGTAAAGGCCATCTGCTCTGGTGCTGCACCGCTCGCCCCCCACGTGGAGGAGTTCCTGTAAGATCACCATGTGCTGCCCTGTGGTGCAAGGATATGGTGAGTTTACTGCTCTTTTGCTGGGTTTACGGTGGTGCAATGCGGTACTGCATCTTTGTCCCCCACGTGGAGGAGTTCCTCAAGATCACTATGTGCTGCCCCGTGGTGCAAGGATATGGTGAGTCTCTTTACTGGATTGTAGAGTGGTGCAATGCGGTGCTGCAATGCACCTCTTGCCCCCCATGTGGCATCCGCACAATCACCATGTTCTTCCTCGTGGTGCAAGGATATGGTGAGCCCAGTCATACCCCTTGCCTCATTCCCTTTCTTCCTCCCAGCTTCTTATGCCCCCTCACCTCTCCCTCTCTGTCCTCCCCTCCTCTCCTCCCTCCCGCTCTCTTCACCTCCTGGCCTCTCTCTAAATCCCGTCATTTCAATCAGGTCTGACTGAGACCAACGCCAGTGGGTTCATATCGTACACGGAGGGCATAGAGCAGGCAGGCACGGTGGGCCCGCCCATGCCCACTCTGGAGACACGCCTTGAGTCCGTCCCTGGCATGAACTATGACGCCCTCGCCACTCCTGCCCGCGGGGAGATCTGCCTCCGCGGCCCGATACTGTTCTCGGGGTACTACAAGCGGGATGATCTGACCAAGGAGGCAATTGATGAGGAGGGATGGTTCCATACAGGTGCGTGAGGGAGCGTGGGAGGGAGGGGGTTGGGAGAAATAAGGGGGTGCTGAAGTGTGGGTGGTGGAATCATTAGGGGGAGATCTGCCTTCGTGGCCCGATACTGTTCTTGGGGCACTACAAGCCGGATGATCTGACCAAGGAGGCAATTGACGAGGAGGGATGGTTCCACATAGGTGAGAGCGGGAGAGGATAGAAAGCAGGGGGGTTGGGAGGAATAAGGGGCCACTTAAGTTGGGGTAGCGGATGGAGATCTGCCTCCGCGGCCCGATACTGTTCTCGGGGTACTACAAGCGGAATGATCTGACCAAGGAGGCCATTGACGAGGAGGGATGGTTCCATACAGGTGAGAAAGAGAGGGAATGGGAGGAGGGGGTGCTGGGGTTTGTCAGTAGAAAGGATTCAGAAACGATCTGCCTCCACTCCACAGCCCAGTAGTGTTCTCGGGATGATCTGACCAAGGAGGCCATTGATGATGAAGGGTGGTACCATACAGGTGCGCGAGAGGGGATGGGTAGGAGGGGGTTGGGTGGAATGGGGGTGCACTGAAGCGTGAGTGGTGGAATGGTTGGGGGGGATGTCTGACGTGCTCTGTGGCCTGATGGTGTGTGTGTTGCTTGTGAGCAGGAGACGTGGGCGAGTGGCAGCCAGACGGCTCAATGAAGATAGTTGATCGCAAGAAGAACATCTTCAAGCTCGCTCAGGGCGAGTATGTGGCCGTGGAGAACCTCGAGAACGTGTATGGCAACTGCTCTGCTATAGACATGGTGAGTTGCTCAGCATGGTGTACGTATGAATATATCAACTCATACAGGTGTGATTTTGCTCTTGTATGTGGCCGTGGAGAACCTGGAGAACAAAAAAGGCAAGCAACTGCTCCGTTATACAAATGGTGAGTTGCTAGCTGCTGAACTGAAACAAAGATAGTATGTGTGTGTGTGTGTGTGTGTGTGTTTTTTTTTTTGTCCTGTTTTACCCCACTCTACATCCACTGTAACCCACTCTACCCCTTTCCACTCCATTGCACCCCACTTTACCTCACTTTTAGGTGTGGGTTTACGGGAACAGTTTTGAATCGGTGCTGGTGGCGGTGGTGGTGCCAAACCAGGCGGCTCTAGAGGCGGTGGCCAAGGGCGCTGGTGTGGAGGGCGACTATGCTGCCCACTGTAACTCACCGTACCCCTTTTCACCGCATTGTACCCCGCTTTACCCCCACTTTCAGGTGTGGGTGTACGGGAACAGTTTTGAATCGGTGCTGGTGGCGGTGGTGGTGCCAAATGAGGCGGCTCTATTGGCGTGGGCCAAGGGCGCTGGTGTGGAGGGCGACTATGCTGCCCACTGTAATTCACCGTACCCCTTTTCACCGCATTGTACCCCACTTTACCCCGCCTTCAGGTGTGGGTGTACGGGAACAGTTTTGAATCGGTGCTGGTGGCGGTGGTGGTGCCAAACGAGGCGGCTCTATTGGCGTGGGCCAAGGGCGCTGGGGTGGAGGGCGACTATGCTGCCCTGTGCCAGACACCCCAGGCCAGGAGCTTCATACTAGAAAAGCTTGTAGAGACTGGGAAGAAGGGACAGGTGAGGGAAAGGGGGGAGGGGGGATGGGCAAAGGCAGAGAGAGGGGAAAGCCAAGGGGAGAGAGAGGGTGCGGGTGTTACGGGAACAGCTTTGAAAGACACCCCAGGCCAGGAGCTTCATCCTGGAGAAGCCTGTAGAGACTGGGAATAAGGGGCAGGTGAGAGAATAGGGATGGGCAAGGGGAGAGGCGGGGAGGAGAGCACGGGAGAAAAGAGGTGAGGATGGGAAGGGCAAGGGGAGAGGGTGGAAGGGAATAGGGGGAGGGGGAAAGGGGAAGGGAAAAGTGGGAAGGCAGTGATTGTGATAATCCTCCTACACCCACTCACCCCTTCATCACTCTCTCCTGCACCATCTCCTTCCATTGACTGTGCCATTCCCCCTCTCTTTGACGCACCAAAGGATCCCTCACACCCACCGTGGCTATGTCCTTCCTCCCTCCTTGTTTATTCGTCCTGAGCAACACAAGGGCTTTGAGATGGTGAAGGCAGTGCATCTGGACATTTTGTCCTTGGGCGCAGCAAGGGACATCCTCACGCCCACCTTCGCTTTGTCCTCCTCCCTCCATCAATCCCTCCTTTGCTTGCTCGTTCCTTTTGCTCTGAGCAGCTCAAGGGCTTTGAGATGGTGAAGGCAGTGCATCTGGACAGTGTGCCCTTGGGCGCAGCAAGGGACCTCCTCACACCCACCTTCGCTCTGTCCTCCCTCCATCACTCCCTCCCTCCCTTGTTCTCGTGTTCCATTTGAGTTGAGCAGCTCAAGGGCTTTGAGATGGTGAAGGGCGTGCATCTGGACAGTGTGCCCTTTGATGTCGCAAGGGACCTCCCACCTTCTCTCAATCCTCCCTCTCTCACCCCCTCCTCCTTCCCTCCTTGTTTGATCCCCCTGAGCAGCTCAAGGGCTTTGAGATGGTGAAGGCAGTGCATCTGGACAGTGTGCCCTTTGATGTCGCAAGGGACCTCCTAACACCCACCTTCAAGAAGAAGCGGCCTCAGCTCCTCAAATACTACAAGGTGTGTTTCTTTGCGATTCTGTGCCAACCCTAGCAGCCCTGTCACTTAACAAGTACTATCAGGTGCGTTTCTGTAGCAGCCGTGCCTTTTGCCGAGCCTCCGAACAAGATTCTTCCACAACTGGTTTGGACATGATGTGCCTTGTTTATAAGAGCCACTTCACACCCAACAGAAGAAGAAGCAGCCTCAATACACATGTAAGTCAAACACTACCCAGAGAGGGTCATGCTTTTCAGTTGTGGCTGCTGGAGTCAGTTGTGGCTGCTGGAGACAACTCATCCTCTGGGGACTCCTGTTGCAACAGGCTCGCGGTGCGCGGTGCGGCCTTGTTTGTGCAAGCATACAGGCACTCATCAAACCTTTCCGCGCGGCTTTACTCTCTGTTGCCATGTGTACAGGAGCCCATTGACGCCATGTATGCTGCACTCAAAGCATGATTGTTTCCTCGTCAACAAAACCATCCCGCTTCATCCTTTTTCAGCTGTGACATCATCGCTGGTTCTGTATTTCAGCATTGCAGTGGTCTACAGTTTTTTTTCTTTGCTGGAATGCACCTTCTTATGTACCAATGTAGTTCTTCGCAGGGCAGGGAGCACGACCAGAAATTCACATTAGGGCCAGTCTAGAACTTGTGCATACAGAGTTGAATTCAAACATCCTTACAGTAGATCACACAACACAGTAAATGATACAATCTACCATAAGCACAACCACTAATGCAAGCCAGGCACGGAGACTCGCTCCCATTGCTCCCATTCCTGCATCAGGTTCTGTTCCATAAGCAGCAAACCTACTTCCATAAGGTTCATACAGGAACGATCACAATTCGGTCGGTCCCATCAAATCACCTGATGAACATGCTTGCTTAGAATGTGCGACAGAAAGCCTGTACCTAACAACTGCACCTGAACTGCCAAACCTCTAATGGTCTGCAATGCGGACTCCGCTCCGAACTGTATCCAACGGCAAACATTGAAATGGAGCAAACCTACTTGGACTCATCTGAAGGGGACCCGCAGGCCATCAGAGCGAGCACTTTTTAGGCATGTCATAAGGGAAATAGAAAAAGCAACCCTACTTGGACTCGTCTGAAGAGGACCCCCCATCAGAACGAGCAGGGGAGCGACTAGGAGACCGCCCACCAGGGTGACCCCCAGAACCTGCCCTAGACCCTCCTTTACAACCCCCCCTAAATTCCCCCTTAGAATCCCCCTTAGAGTCCCCCCCAGATCCCCCTCCCGATGCTGCAGGGGACCCCTTGCTCGTGCCCTCGTCCCTGTCTATATCCACCTCATCCTCCTCGTCCCCCCCTCCAGACCTCCCTCCACTAGTTTCGGACCGTGCCTTCTTCTCTCCACCCCTCGCCCCGCCTTCCCTGTTGGTCGCTGCACTCCTGTCCTGCTCGCTCCTGTCGCCCCTATCGCCTCCAGATCTGGCTCGTTTCGGGCTGCCGCTGTTGCTGCTCACACTCCCTCCTCTCTCTCCTCTCTTCCTTTCGCTGCTCTCTCTACTATCACCCCTCGGGGGTGCCCCACCTGCTGCTGCCTTTCTTCCGCCCTCATCTCCTCCCTTCACCTCCCTCCTACCACTCCCCTTCTCATCGTCACTCCTATCCCCTTGGCCCCCACTCCTCCCACTTTCCACGCTCCTCCTCTCCCCGCTCTTCCCACTGTCAACGCTCCTCTCCCTGCTCCTTCCCCTCGGCCTATCACTCCCTTCACTATTCTCCCCGCTCCTCCCACTCCCATCGCTCTCTTGCCTCCCTCGTGGACTATTATTTCTGCCCCTCGGGCTGCCCGGCCCACCTCTCAGGTTATTTTCTTTCCTGCCCGGACTGCCCCTGCCACTTGCACCGCTGCGCCTGCCTTTGCTGACGTCATCCTCTTCATCGCTGCGCCCCTTGCTGACATCATCATCCTCATCATCCTCGTCAGACGACCGGCTGCTAGAAGACAATTGAGACCGCCCACCTCCCTCTTCCCCGGCTCCTGCTCCCCTCTTACCTCCTGCTTCTTCCCCTCCCCTTCCTCCTCCATTTCCTCCCCCTCTTCCCCCTCCCTCTCCCCCTCCTGCTCCCCTTGCTGCCCCCTCTCCGCCCTTCCCACTGGCTGTCGAGGGTTCAGAAGCAGACAGGGAGACTGGGTGGGGAAAAGAGAAACAAAAAGGGAGGGTGGTGGGTGGGGAGAAATAAAGGGAGAGGGGTCCCGGGTGGGCAGAAAAAACAGGGAAAAAGACGGTGGTGGGGAAGCAGGAGAAAGGCGAGAGAGAGGAGCAAGTTGGAACCTCAGCATGCGAGTGCGTGAGAACCATGGTTTGCTTGCGAGAGGAGAGGGGAGAACAAGGAGAATTTGTTTGTGGCATGTAGAAGGAGGGACGGAAGTGGTGGCCATGGGGGGTAGCTAGTTCTCTCACTGTGTTTGAGTCGACTCAAAAACACGCTCTCTCACTCCCGCTCTCACACCTCTGGGACGCACCTGACTGCTTGGAAGAGCCTCGTTTGACAATGCCGCCCTTCTCCCTCTCCCCTCCTTCCCTCCTCCTCCTCTTCCTCCTCCTCCTCATCCTCCTCACTGTCCTCTCCTAGAATTGCCAGCGCCCTTCTCAGCTCATTCTCCCGCTCCTGAACCACAGGATTGGATCAAAGCAAGGATGGATCGACGGTGGAGAAATAGATGGCGCCACAGCTGAGGTGAATTGATGGCAGAGATTGATTGATGGCAGTGATGCTTGAAGGAACAGACAGAAGGTGCCTTCCATGGACTATGACGCGTGCTGGGGGCATATACAGGAGGAGCACTCAAAAGGACTTTTTTGAGGAGGGTTTTTTAGTCGACTCAAAAAGAGACATAGACAGAGCAGAGCAGAGCTATGCCGTGGGAGCAGCATACCTTGATCAGCCTCTTAGCGTCTGCCAGCTTGGCAAGATTATCCTCCTCCTCCACATTCCCCAACTAATGCGGATGCAGGGGTGACATCGATACATGGATATATGGCACAGCACCAGACCGCAAGGGAGGGGAGCATTGAAGTTGTCTCAGAAAAGGAAGAGAAAGAGGCACCTTGCAATGGAAACAAACAAGCACAAAATGCAAACGACCCCCCCCCCCCAAAAAAAAAAAAAAAAAAAAAAAAAAAAAAAAAAAAAAAAAAAAACTTTAACTCTCAAAGCTCAAAGCTCTCACTTTGAGTATCTCCACAAGGGGTGGAAGGCTCGCCACTCGCCTCAACCACCCCGCCACCCTCTCCCCTCCCTTCCTCCCCTTCCAGGTAAACTGCCACCGTCAAGATTCGAACCCTCACCTTCAAACCTCACAACGACTCACCTTGAAAATCTCAACTAGCAGTGGCAGGCTCGCCACTCGTCTCAACCACCCTGCCACCCCCTCTCCTCCCCCCCCTTCCCCCCCTCTCCCAGGTAAACTGCCACCGTCAAGATTCGAACCCTCACCTTTCAGGCTCAAAATTCTCACCTTGAGAATCTCCACAAGGGGAGGCAGGCTCGCCACTCGCCTCAACCACCCCGCCACCCCTTCTCCTCCCTCCCCTTCCCCCACTCTCCCAGGCCCCCCTCCTGCCGTCACCCCCACAACATTCCCGTAATAGCTCGCGCCAACCCCTCCCCCTGCTCCCACGCCCGCCACCCCTCCTGCCCCCGCCCCTCCTGCAGTGCCGGCAGCGGCAGCAGCAGCAGGTCCTGTTTTCCCCAGTGCGCGTGGTGCAGCGACAGGGGGGACATTCAATGCCATTCGTGCCGCTGCTGCTGCTGCTGTTGCTGCAGCTGCTGCCTTCTTGCCATCTTTATCCCCCGCAGCAGCCATAAGAGGAATGGGGGCAGCAGCAGGGGCGGCAGCGGCAGCAGCAGTGGTGGCGGGTAGGGGGAGGGCGGGTGGGCGGATAAAGTCGAGCACGGGAGGGGCATCCACCCATATGATGTCTTCCTTTGGGATCTGGGGGTTGGGAAGGGAGGAGAGGAGGTGCGGAGAGGCACAGGGGTAAAGGAGCGTCTGTTTTGAGTCATAAGAGGGCGGGAGGGCGGATGAAGTCGAGCACGGGAGGGGCATCCACCCATATGATGTCTTCTTTGGGGATCTGAATGGTGTTGGGGGGAGTGGGGGAGGGGGAGAGGGAAGGGAGGAGGTGAGAGATAGAACGGAAGAGGAAAAAGGAGGGCGGGTGGGCGGATAAAGTCGAGCACGGGGGCCCTTCCACCCATACGATGTCCTTCTTTGGGATAGGAGGTGTGGGAGTTGGGGAGAGGGAGAGAAATAAGAAAAAAAGGGACGGGGGGATGGTAAGGTGCAACCCAACCAGCCCAACCCAGCCCAACCGAACCCAACTCAACCGCACTCAACCCACCATATTGAGGTCGACCCATTCGAAGCTCTCGTTGGGAGTGTTCAACTCGTACACCAGCGAGTACATTCCATCCTCCGGCCTCACATCCGTGATCACCGACTCATAGAACCCCCTGTAACTCACAACCCAACCGAACCCAACCCAACCTCTGCTCACCATGTTCAGGTCGACCCATTCAAAGCTCTCATTCGGTGTGTTCAGCTCGTAGACTAGAGAGTACATGCCATCTTCTGGCCTCACGTCTGTGATAACCGCCTCATAGAACCGTGACCCGCCTCTCTCCCAGCAGTACAGCAGTACAGCAGTCCTCACCTGCCCCAGTTCATAGCCCACCCACTCCTCACCATGTTCAGGTCGACCCATTCAAAGCTCTCATTCGGTGTGTTCAGCTCGTAGACTAGAGAGTACATCCCATCTTCTGGCCTCACGTCTGTTATCACGGCCTCATAGAACCGCGACCCGCCTCCCTCCTCCACCCACCGCGTCTTCACCCGCCGGCCTATCAGCGGGTCTATGGCTATTCCCCCCAGTGCCCCTGCTGCTGCTGCCCCCGCCACTCCTCCTGCGCCCCGCCCTGCTCCCGCAGGTGCACCCGCGGACTGAAGGGGCGGAGGGGGGAAGGGGAAGTGGAAGACGATTTGAGGGAAAAAGAAAAGCGGAAGTTGGGAAAGGGTGACGAGATGGATGTGATGGGTGGATATGCGTATGTATCGCTGTTGGCAAAGCAGTCATCATGGCCCCCCCAATACACATCCCCCTCTCACTCACCCATCGTCCGCGTCGGCCCTTTCCTTTCCCCACTCTCCTCCCCGACCCCACAGCCTCTGTAGGTGCAACTGCAAACGGCGCGCCCACCCCAACCCCCCCCTTCCCCCACCTCCGGCCCCCATGTAAACATCCCCCACTCACCCATCGTCCGCGTCGCCCCTTCCCCTTCCCTCCTCTCCGCCCAGACCCAACAGCCTCCACAGGTGCCACTGCAAACGGCACACCCACGCCCGCCCCCACTCCCCCAACCGCCCCCACCGCTCCCACGCCCTTCCCCAACGGCGCGGCAGAAAGGGCGGCCATTTTTGGACGTTTGCGGGAGGAGGCTGGGGGGATGAGCTCGGGTGGAGGCGCAACTGGGGGAGGCGCGGGCGCAGGTGGAGGGGGGGGCGGGTGGTGCACATATGCCCCTGCATCCCTTGCTGTCTTCCAGTTGCTGTGGGGAAGGCGGAACGGTGGGGAGAGGGGAAGAGGGGATGGGGGAACGGGCAGGAGAGGGGAAGAGGGGATGAGGGAAACGGGGGGGAAGTGGGGAGGGGAAGAGGGGATGGGTGAGAAGGGGGTAGGGGGGAACAGGAAGAAGGGATGGCAGGGGAAAGAGGGGGTGGGGGGTGAGAGGGGTTTGGGTGGAAATGGGCGGAGGGTGGGAGAGAGGCGGTGGGGTGTGTTCAGGTGATGGCAAAGACGTATATTCTCATCGTCATACACGCCTGCGAGCAAGCACCAGGCATTGCACGGGTGCGAGCAAGCACCAGGCATTGCACGGGTGCGAGCAAGCACCAGGCATTGCACGGGTGCGAGCAAGCACCAGGCATTGCACGGGTGCGAGCAAGCACCAGGCATTGCACGGGTGCGAGCAAGCACCAGGCATTGCACGGGTGCGAGCAAGCACCAGGCATTGCACGGGTGCGAGCAAGCACCAGGCATTGCACGGGTGCGAGCAAGCACCAGGCATTGCACGGGTGCGAGCAAGCACCAGGCATTGCACGGGTGCGAGCAAGCACCAGGCATTGCACGGGTGCGAGCAAGCACCAGGCATTGCACGGGTGCGAGCAAGCACCAGGCATTGCACGGGTGCGAGCAAGCACCAGGCATTGCACGGGTGCGAGCAAGCACCAGGCATTGCACGGGTGCGAGCAAGCACCAGGCATTGCACGGGTGCGAGCAAGCACCAGGCGGTGCACGGGTGCGAGCAAGCACCAGGCATTGCACGGGTGCGAGCAAGCACCAGGCATTGCACGGGTGCGAGCAAGCACCAGGCGGTGCACAGGTGCGAGCAAGCACCAGGCATTGCACGGGTGCGAGCAAGCACCAGGCAGTGCACGGGTGCGAGCAAGCACCAGGCGGTGCACGGGTGCGAGCAAGCACCAGGCGGTGCACGGGTGCGAGCAAGCACCAGGCGGTGCACGGGTGCGAGCAAGCACCAGGCGGTGCACGGGTGCGAGCAAGCACCAGGCGGTGCACGGGTGCGAGCAAGCACCAGGCGGTGCACGGGTGCGAGCAAGCACCAGGCGGTGCACGGGTGCGAGCAAGCACCAGGCGGTGCACGTGGTCCTGAATGTGCCTTTCTAAGATCCCTCAATAACCACCCAACCAGCCAAGCCAACCCTACTTCCCTACCAACCAACCCACCAGATGAGGCGAATGTTTTTGTCGTCATGCACGCGCGCGAGCAGCATGCGGTGCACGTCGTCTGAGATGTTGAGCTCCTTGCGCAGATCCGACATCAGCGCCTCCTTCGCCTGCCATGTCAGCATCCCGTGCCGTGCCATGCAACGTCATGTCATTGCATGCATCACGTTGGGTGCGGCAGAGGGGGAAAGGGGTTAGACGGTGCACGTCGTTTGAGATGTTAAGCTCCTTCCGCAGGTCCGACATCAGCGTCTCCTTCGCCTGCCATGCGTTGGCATGCAATCATGAGGGCACATGTAATGCATGCAACAAGGGACGTGCAGCAGAGGGGCAAAGGGATGTTGAGCTCCTTGCGCAGATCCGACATCAGCGCCTCCTTCGCCTGGCATGCCATGCCATGCCATGCCATGCCACGCCACCATGCCATGCCATACCACCATGCCGCCATGCCACCATGCATGCACCAAGGGACGGCTCAGCTAGTGTGGAAGCGGGGCAATGGGATTGGAAGATGTGTGTCTATGTACTGGAACGCGCCTACGCGAATGATCGCCCCTACCCACGTAATCGCACCTACCCACGTGATCGCCCTTACCCCAAGATCGCACCGACCCAAATGATCCCCCTACCCACATGGTGCGCTACCCACGTGATCGCCCTTACCCCAAGATCGCACCGACCCAAATGATCCCCCTACCCACATGGTGCGCTACCCACGTGATCGCCACGTGATCGCCCCTACCCAGGCCATCGTCCTGCCAATGTGAACGCCCCTACCCACGTGATCGCCTCGCCATACCCACGTAGTCACCCTACCCACGTGGCCACCCAACCCACGTGGTCACCCAACCCACGTGGTCGCCCTACCCAGGTGATCGCAGGGGACTGCGCGCCGAACGCGCGGAGCACGGCGAGATACGAGTCGCGCTCCAGCTGCTGCAGCATGGCCTCCCACCCGCCGCCCCCCGCGCCCCCCTCCTCCACGCCCTCCATCCCCGCGGGGCCCCCTCCGCCCCCGCCGACCATCCCCGCGCCCGCACCCGCCGCCGCCGCTACCGCCGCTGCGGCAGCTGCGGCTGCTGTTGTGGAGAGGTTGGAGCCTCGGACGCTGCTGCCTCGGCCGAGCCTCTTAGGCGGGGATGGGTACGCGTCGTCGTCCGAACCTGCGGAAGGCGTAAGGACGAACGTCAAAAAGATCGGTAGGGTTACACGACCGTGGGACGAAGCAATGGCAGAAAAGCTCATCCGCTAAAGATGAATTGCGGGAAGCACGGCCTGAACAAGAAGGGAAGCGTCAATTATAAAAGGGCAACTGGCGAAAGGTACGAGGGCCAGCGCGGGAGACGAGGCAATTGGAGGTGCCAATTGGTACAAGTCTATTTAACGAAAGTTGATCAGGTGAGTGTGAGGCGACGAGGTGCCAGGGAAACGCGGCGAGGGTACTACTAACGACTGTTTCAGCGCTTCTAGGGGAAGGTGGGGAGGGTACTACTGACCGTCATGGCCTGCGGCCGGCACAGGCTTGCTGGCCCCTCGCTGCTTTGCCTGCATACATCAGCGCGACGCAACAAGGACATTGGAGGATAATCGAAAAGAAAAGGGTTGGATTGTCGCTTTCGGCGCGGGAGAAAGCCAAGAACAGTACAGCGTTGACACGACCACGGCAAACTCACCATCGTTGAAGAATGACGATAACCTGACGGAAGTGATAAGAGAGTTCGGAAAACCTAACCCTAACCCTAAACTGGCTTCTGCGGTCTCCTGAAAAAATATTCAGCAACGAGAATACTTTTATTCACGCTGTTTGCTCGGAAGGATATTCCAGAAGGAAAACGGGTCTACAGTGATCGCGGATGAAATCTCAGAACCGAGCTGTGTTTGGCGTGCGACGGACGGTTCGGAACCAAGTTCGGTTCACCTGCCTCCCTGGATTCTCCCCAGCTTCGTGCGGGTCGCGCTGTCAGGAGGGCTGCTTGTTTTCTGCGATCCCGTTCCCTTCGTTTTGTTTCGCATGTGGGTTCCTGACGAGTCGTCGTCCAACCAGAGTCGTCGTGAATTGACAGGCTGTAATCGAAGCTGTCCAGGAGTGGTGGGCGACGTTCGATGAAGGTCGTGAACAGCTTTCTGACTTACCTCCCACACACCTGTTCCTCGTTGTTGCCCCTCGAATTCCACGAACTGTTCCGCCGGCTACCTCCTCTCGCGCTCCCGCGCGCCATTCTTTCGAGTTTGCTTTCCCGCCGCCCCCCGCGCTCCCCGCCTTTACCCCGCCCGCCCTCCCCTCTCCAGCCAATCCCCTTCAGCATTTCTGCCATGCCGTTCCTTCTTGCATCACACACCCCCGTTTCTTCAGTCAGAGTTGGGAGTTTTTCCAATCCTACTCACCGACTGACCTTTCACATACCTCCGTGTCTTACTTATGTGCTGGTCTGCCTCGGCACAATATCCTGCAGACCACAGATTTCTTTTAGCCCCTCGCCTGAGACGCCGAGTTTCGTGTGCGTTATGGCTGACATCGTCTCTTGCTAGCTTCTCGGCAGAAGCCTTTTGATAGCTAGCGTGGCTGCAATCTCGCTACTGCCGTTAGCGGACCTTCGCCGCGTCCTGGTCTCATCGAGTAGTTAGAGAGGTCGACTAAGTGAAGCCATGGGCCCGGTTCGATTAAGTCGAATAAGCCATGCTTCCTGCTCTCTGTCGTCCATAACGTCATGTTGTAGAGTTTCCTCTACTCCAGCTCGCCAACATCCTCCACATCTCCGCGTCGTCCACAGTCCGACCCCCAACATCCCACCCCGCCAACACCGACATCACCGACCGCACTACCCGCAACCGTTCCGCCTCCTCCTCCTCCCGGTCCTGCTCTCCATTGTCAGCTCGTTCTCCTCCTGCTCCGCCGCGAAGTCCGCTTCATTTACCACGAAACCTCCCCGCGCCGCCCTCTCCGCGCATTCCGCGCCCGACCCGTTCGGCAACGCCGAGGTGCTCGGCTTCCCCAAGCCTCCTAACCTCATTTCCGACGGCACACCCGCAGCCACCGTACCTCAACGTCCGGCTGACGATAACGATGACGGATTCCGTCAAGAGCTGCTTTCCGTCAACCCGCCTAAATCACCCGTTTCCGTACTGACCGTCAGTATCCTAACGGTGCTAATGGCGGCAGCGACAGGCCTCGGGTCGCTACCGTTTTTCTTCATGGAGATGGAGGAGGAGTGGGCCGGCGTGTGTAACGGCGTGGCTTGCGGCGTGATGATGGCTGCTAGCTTCGACTTAGTCTCCGAGGGAAGACTGCACGACAGCGGCTCAGGCGGCGCGTGCGTGGTGGTAGGGATAATTCTAGGCGGGCTGTTTATCGTTCTGAGTCAGAGGGTATTGGAGCAGTTCGGGGACGTTAAAATGATGGACTTAAAAGGCGCATCGGCGAACCGCGTGGTTCTCATCCTCGTTATAATGACCCTCCACTCCTTCGGCGAAGGCTCGGGAGTCGGTGTCTCCTTCGCCGGCCCTCGCGGCCTGTCGCAGGGGCTGCTGGTAACCATCGCCATCGCCGTGCACAACGTCCCCGAAGGCCTCGCGATGACTCTCGTCATGGTCGCGCGCGGCGTGCGCCCGCGCAACGCCATGCTCTGGAGCGTCTTCACGAGCCTCCCGCAACCGCTCGTCGCCGTCCCCGCGTTTCTCGGCGCGAACACCTTCACGCAGTTCCTCCCGCTCTGCATGGGCTTCGCAGCGGGGTGCATGATATGGATAGTTTTCGGCGAGGTTCTCCCGGAGTGCATTAAAGAGGGCGCGAATTCCTCCCACGTGGCCTCAGCTGCTACTCTCTCCGTCGCGTTCATGGAGGCGCTAGGAGCTTTCCTCGAAGGCGCGGACGCGCCTGAAAGCTGGCACCGCTTAGTACCGATCGCTTGGGCGCTTCTGTTCTTCCTGGGGCCGCTCATAGGTTCTGTACTCCCGCTTCTCCTCTCCCATTCACTCCCTGCCCCTGTCTCGCCGCCTCTGCTATCCGGCCTGGCGGGAGGGGCGCTGCTTGGTTTGGCGCTGTGGCAGCCGGTGCAGCTGCTGGTAACCGGGCAAATGGAGGTGCTGCCGCTGCTGTCAGTTTTCTACGTGGGCTGTGTGCTGCATTATTTCTGTGCCAGTATGGGCCGGGGCTTGGGGGGTGGGTGCGTGGGTAACGCGCAGCAGAAGGTGCAAGGCGGTTTTAGTGACGTTCAGTATGGTCATGGGCTGCAGCAGTGGGTCGGGGACGGGGATGAGAAGGAGGTGCTCCGGGCGTGCAAGCCGAGCCTGCAGCTGAGCTACGGGATCCGAGCCTCCATGCTGGTCTGTGTTGCTGTGTCAGGCCATGCGTTCGCGGAGGGGCTTCTGCTGGGGCAGAAAGCAGTGCCAGGAGGGGACCTAGGAGGCGAATTAGGAGCAAGGGGAACAGGAGGAGGGGGAGTAGGAGAGATGGGGATGCGCATGCTGCTTCCAGCAGCCATTCACGGCGTGCCACGTGGCATTGCTGCAGCAGCCGCTGCACTGGGTTCGTTCTCCATCACTCGGTCCACCCCGGAGCTTCCCCTAGCAGCTGTTCCCTTAGCTCTCGCATCTGCGGCTGTAGCGGGGCTGGCTGGACCCATCGGTGCTGTAGCATCCTTCTTTTTGCTTCATAGCTTTGGAACTGGGCTGCTGAACTGGCTTGTGCTAGCCTGTGGGTTACTGGCCCCTGCAGGGCTGGATCAACTGCTGCCTGGAGGGTTGTGGGTGGCTAGTGGGAGAGGAGTTGCGGGTGGAAAGGGAGGTGAATGGGGATGGAGTGTTTTGGACAGGAGACGAGTGGTTGTGGGGGCGGTGTTGGGAATCATGCTTGTGGTGGTGAGTTTTATGGGGAAGAGGACGATATGTGCGCACTCTAGTTACTGTAATTCGGCTCCGGTGGCGCTGACATGAGTTGATGTGTTGAATGTAAGTGGCATTGCAGCATACCGTATGTGTCTGTGTCATCAGTGCCAAATTCTGCTAGGTGTACATTGTCTCCACGTTTTTGTAACTCTAGGTTCTCAAAAGAATTGTACATGTTGAGTTGAATGCTATGTGACAACATTTTCCTTCAATTTGTAATAGCGACACAACTATTGACTACTGTAGCCTTGTGAGGTGAATTATGCCGCCTAATCGCTGATGTCAGGGAGGCATCCATTTCAACAGGCGACATTTTTGACATGCCGCCGCCTTTCTCTGCTCTTCCTGGAACCCCTCGCCTTCCTCGGTCTCCCTGACAAGTTCCGAATTTCTACGCCCATTTCCTTCTGGCCTTGGGGTCTGATGTAGGGAGAATTCTGAATGGTGCTTCGAGAATCTAGACCCCGCGTCGCCCTTGCTCCAGAGCTTCGAGACGCTTCGCTGACCCCTTTCCGCCGCCAGAGCAGCAGCATGGCTCGAAGCTTGTGTCTGCTTGCTGCGGTAGGAGAGCGTTCATGGAGAATGCTCACCATGAGAGGCACCTTTGAAACGCATGATTCTTGCTATACTAGGAAGCGAGTGATTCAAGCTCTCTTTTGCTGTAGTACAGACCATTTTCAACAGGGGATATTAAAACGTTCTGACTACTTTGGGTAGTAGGAAAGCGCTCGCACATTTTAGTCAATCAGGCTTCTGAGTCGATTCAGAAAACCTTTTCCCAAGCCCAGCTTTAAGCTGTAGTTGACGTTTGTTGTTGCCAGAGCAAGCTTCAGTCATGGCTTCCGCTTCTTCTCAGGCTGGATTCTTAGCGAAACAGGGTCTGAGCTTCTTGTACAGCGCCACTGTAACGGGGGTGAACGCGGTGTCCACGGGAATCAGCAAGGCATGTAAGCACTACGCGGATCTGCACGAACGGGAGAAGATCGAATCTATGCGAAAGTCAGGGAAGCGTCCAGACGACGTCATTTTTGCAGGTGCGACATAAGATCCAATCAGCAGATCCATTTAAAAAATCCATCAGTCTGATGATTAATGTAGTTACGCGTTTATGGATTCCTGATATACATTTTACGGACCTCGTGCTTTCTCCTCTCTCGCAGCCCTTCAGCGGCTGCTTCACCTGGATATGGCGGGTTACCACCACGAAGTGGCTGCGGTTTCGCAAAAGATCGCTACTAAGCTGGTATGGTAGTTAGAGATTTGCCTAGCCACACTTGCCTTGTATTTGAAGCTGTACTCTCTTGCAGCAGACAGTGTAAGCGCATTAGGACTTCCTACATGATCTCAAGCTCTCGTATCACTTCCTGTATGATCCAGATATCTCATAAAGGCTCTCTTCCTGTGTGTCTTCAATTCAATGTCTGTGTGTTTCAGGCCACAGCAGACGACAGGAGCAGCGTGGAGCATCAGACGCTTCAGGCGCTCAGCCGGACCCTCATGGAAGCATGTCGTCAGCATGGCATGGACGTAACGCCATCAGTGAAAGGCGGGAGGCTGGGGTTTCAGGGCCTCGAGGACTTTCTGAATTCGTCGCGAATGGGAACTGACCACTATGATCGCGACAAGCTGGTTACTGACCTGTATTTCGCCTTCCTGTTCGCCCAAGATGTGAGTCGCCTGCCATGGTTCACACATGTCCTGCATGGGATGCACCTCTTTGGTTGCAGGCATGTTTGTGAATATTCTCCTTCCAATTTATATTCTATCTTTCGAAATTCACAAGTGCTTATCATTTGCCTAAGACGTTTTCTTCTCTCTTTGTCTGTCAGGTCGCTCAAGGCAACGCTCAACGCATTGAAGCAGCAGTTAACGAAGCAGTGGAGAGGCTTATATCAGGACCAGCTCGGGACTGCCTGTCGCCTGTATCCCCCCTGAGCCCAGCATCCAGTGGGGGTGCTCCTTCTCCTGGCAAAAGCGTTGGAGGCTTCTCCTCTGGCTGCGTCCGTGCTGCTTCTGCCAATGACCTCCCTGCATACGCTCGTCCAGACGCTCTCAAACTGGCCCAGGCCCCTCCGAAACCTACGTCCTTCTTTTCCGCCACGGCCACTACCAGCAGCAGCACCAGCGGCGGCAGCAGTGGGGGAAAATGGGGTTCGTCACCCTCTTCATTGAACAAGCCAGTACCTCTTGTGGGCGTTGGGTCAGAAGATGATAAGACGTGAGTGCCCCATGAGCTCTTTCCACCTCAAAACCGATTGGCATGGGAAAATTGCAAGCGTTTCGCATGGGTTCACTCCTTGTCTGACACATGTCCATGTTGTGATTGGCAGGTCTGGTGGGCTGCTGGTTCTCAAGCGGCTGGCATGCTGCGTGGCAAGGGCGGCAGCAGAGGCAGAGGCGCGCAGGCAGAGAGGGCTGCTGGACGCTCAGGAGGTGCTGAGGAGAGAGCAGGAGAAGGCCAGCAGAGCAGCAGCACTGGCTGGTGGCGGAACAAGTGGGGTTGCTGGAGTGGGTAGGGGTATGCCCATGGGTGGGGGAAGGCCGATTCCTGCTGTGCCTGGTGGTGGTGCTCTTGGTGCGTGGGGCTCTGCCTCTGCATCTCCTCTCAGTGCAGGGAGCGTGGGCGCCCCTCCTGCTGCCAGAGCTGCTGCTGTGTCTAACTGGAAGGGGGGCAGCTGCAGTGCTGTGCCTGGTGATGCTTCGGTTGGGGCTTATGGTGGGGGGATGGGGGGGGTTGGGGCAGGGAAGAGCAGTGGAGGAGGTTGGGGTGGAGGAAGGAGTGGTGAAGGGTGGTGAGTTGGGCTGAAAGGCTGGGTGAAGAAGGAAGGTGCGGATGTCAGGAACAAAGCTTGTACAGGCATCTAGCGTTGAAGAGGTACAATTGGTAGTAGTTGGTGATTCTGGCAAGCAAGTTCAGGACAAGGCAATGTGGCATTGTGTGACACGGGGATGCTTTCAGAGAGTATGTCAGGTTATGAGAAAGCAATGGATACATAAACCAATACTGCCACTGATACCAGTAAATCTGAGCCAATGCATGATGCTACATATATAAATATCGTGTTCCTAAGCAGTCTAGCCAAATAATATCTCACGTTCTTTTGCACTAATGACGGTGCAAACGAACTACGGTGTTCTCACAAAAGGCCCCTCGGGATTGTGTTTGGCACCGCAGGCCCAGTCTCCCCAGCACACCGCTAAGGGGTCACGGTGTTTGCCTCTACTGCATAGGTGTACCGCTACTAGCCCCCATTCATACTTTTTGTGGCAAGGGCTGTAGACGCGGGAGGAAATGCACCTAATCCTGCAACCTACAGCCCCTTCCACACTTATTTTGCTCATTGTTGCGTATCAAGGTAACGGAGTCCCAGAAACCGTTAATACCGCGCTGTGTTTGGCCAGATCAGCATGTGGCCGACGGAACCCAACGCCGGAAGACCTGGCCGCGAAGAGCGCCGTCGGGAAACGCCTGCGTGTTTATCTGCACGTAGAAGCCCCCCGGATTTGCGTCGATCTTCCTAACCAGATCGTATATCGACGTGCCGTCTTGCATCGGCTTAACGCTCGTCGTCGTGCTGAATCCGCCGCCGCTGCTCGCGCCCGCCGTGCTCGACGCGTTAGCGGGTTTAATGACGTTCGCTTTCCCGTCGGACGGAGCGCGCGTGAACGCCGAATCCGGCGGGGTGACGCCGCTGTTGCTCGCAGTGGACCCGCCCCCGCCCCCGCTCCCGTTATTGTCAACAACGCCCAGGCTGATGTACTTGTTCTTGGCATCCGTAATCCACGTGTCGACCTTCAATTCGCCAGGGTCGTCGAGGGTCCAGGGGTTAGGTAGGCGCCAGACGAGAGTGCCAGTGCTGCCGCGGCGCCCGTCGTAGAGCGTCTGGCCGGTCGGCGGCAGCGGCGCGGTGAGATACTCGAGGTCGAAGTGAAGCTTTATGTTGATCTTGCTGCCTTGCCTGCAAAGTGTTGCGAATGTCGCAGAGTTTACGCAATCGTCGCACGTCAGAGACGGTCGCAAACTTCATAGAGCAGAAAAAGGACGGTCGCCCGATTCGAGCGCTCGGAAACTGGCAATTGCTTTGACTGCAAGACGACTCGATACAAGCCGAGGGCATGCACTGCAACACGACTCGATAACGGCGAGCGGCACTCACTGGAAGACGAGGATGCGGAAGTAGCCATACGCGCCGGAGTCGCCGCCGAGGTTCGAGCTGAGCACCTTGTTGGGCTTGAGATTCGCGATCAGCGTGCCTGGGCGTGCAAACAGAGGAAGGGTCACGAACGGTGAGTTGAGGTGGGGAGGGTTGAAGAGAGGTGCAGCCAGCGGCTCTACAGACAGGCGGAAGATCGAACGTGAGGGACTATTGGATGGCTAAAGCCTATACGGCGAATAGATACACACGAGATGGGCGACGAGAGGCGACAAAACGGCGGGCCATAAGACGCGTGCGACAAGGGGCGTGCGACAGGGGCGTGGGACTGGTGGGCGAGGCTCACATCTTGGAACCCCAGGGAAGGGGACTGCTTGCGCGTCTGCTGTTAGCGAGGATGCTAGTACGAGCAGGGCTGAGAGCAGCACCGCGGACACCATGGCCGTCGATGATTTCAACCTTAATAAGAAGCTGGACGATAAGCTACGCGATATGGGTTGCGAAGTCCTCGTGGAGTGAGACCTCGAGAAGCTCAAAGAACTCAAGCTACGGGATGTGTAGTGAAAACTGAGTGGTGTGTCCGTACATGCGGGAGGTGTGAACCAGAACTAACTCTAGCAAACTGTCGTTTGAAGAAATCTGTGTTCAGGTTAGGGTGATTAGGAATGCCGACTGTGCTTCAAGGCCAGCTTACGACCAGCTTACGACCAGCTTACGACCACCGACGTTTTTTCCAGGTGACGCATGCGCGCGCGCCCCTGTGAACGAGTCTGCCGACGAAGCTAGGAAGGAGGGGCCACGCACTGATAAGGGGTTGACCGACCACGGCGATGCTGGGATGACGACAGCACGCAGGGGCAAGACTAGGTGATGAATGTGGACCGTTATGGAGAACGGGAGATGGCGAGGACACATCGAGATAAATTTCCACGTCAGGTACAAGCAAGGAAAGTGAAGTCTAGTGCAGGAGGAAGCGAGCGAGGGGTGGTGAGTGAAGCCTTGAGCACATTCGAAATGTCGGAGTGGGTGGGTAGGGGAGGAGGAAATTCTTTGGGCCAAGGCGCGGAAATTCGCCCTCCACCAAGTCGCACCCCCGAGTCGCCCCACAAATTTTGAGCACGACGGGGCTCACTCAAGCCCCGAGCTTCAATCCGCCGTCGATCAACTCGTTCGTTATTACCATCCACATTCCGAAAGAACGCGAAGCCCCCGCAAAAAGCGCAGATGTGTAACAGTACTCTGATTACACACTATACGGCTATAAGACATTTGCTTGCAATGTCAGAATTCACTCAAAATGTGAAACGCCAGTGAGACATACATCATACCAGGTGTGATAAAGTGAGGGAAATTAGGCTTGATCAGGGTTGTACTTAATTCAGCTTACAGCGCTGTTCATCCCATCTTTTGACCATCCGTTGCATCACCACTTTTTGGCTGTATGCCCATCCAGTATGAATGGCTCCATCGCCCCTGCAACATGCCACGGCTGGTGTTCAGTGCTGCTGCCTGTGTGCTCTCTGACAAGCATACCCAGGAGCATCGACGGATTCTGCCCACTAAGCTTAACCCAGAGAGCCTACACAAGTGTACCACTAAGCTTAATCCAGACATGCTAACTCTGCAGTTCATGTGCTCAGCCTCTGCAGTTCATGTGCTCAGCCTCTGCAGTTCATGTGCTCAGCCTCTGCAGTTCATGTGCTCAGGCTCTGCAGTTCATGTGCTCAGGCTCTGCAGTTCATGTGTTCAGGCTCTGCAGTTCATGTGCTCAGGCTCTGCAGTTCATGTGCTCAGCCTCTGCAGTTCATGTGCTCAGCCTCTGCAGTTCACGTGCTCAGCCTCTGCAGTTCATGTGCTCAGGCTCTGCAGTTCATGTGCTCAGCCTCTGCAGTTCATGTGCTCAGCCTCTGCAGTTCACGTGCTCAGGCTCTGCAGTTCATGTGCTCAGCCTCTGCAGTTCATGTGCTCAGCCTCTGCAGTTCATGTGCTCAGCCTCTGCAGTTCATGTGCTCAGCCTCTGCAGTTCATGTGCTCAGCCTCTGCAGTTCACGTGCTCAGCCTCTGCAGTTCATGTGCTCAGCCTCTGCAGTTCATGTGCTCAACCTCTGCAGTTCATGTCGATAAACGTTAATCAAGTTCCCTTGCATACTGAAGTGCCTACCTGTCAAACAATATGTTTAATATATACCCTGCGTGCTGTAGTTACTGTAGTTATTATTATTAAGAGTTGGTGGTGCACCTTCTTTGTTGCTTTGCTATAAGTACCTTGTGTGCTATAGTGAAGCCCTCCTTCTTTCTCGTAACTCTCTTGGCACAACTCCCTCGACACCCCTTGGCCTAGGCTCCTAAGCCTAGGCCCTCCTAAACTCATACGTCCCTATCTTGACATGGTACAGAGCTGGTTCTTTCCCGGAACCTTCTCTTTTTTTTTAAGAATCATGGGCCCGCCCGTACTACAGCGCGAAATGCGCTATTTTTTTTTTTCTCCCCGTTCGCCCGTCACGCGCGCCCTGCCCGTCCCCCCGAACGTGCCACGTCGGCTGCCTCGCGGACGCCCCGTCGGCTGCCCCGCGGACGCCCTGCCCGTCGCCCGCTGCCCCCCCGTTTCGTCGCCACGCGGCCCCCATTTCGTCGCCACGCGGCCCCCGTTTCGTCGCCCCCGTCACCCCGCAATCCGCCAGCGCGGAGGCCAGCGCCGCGGCCAGCCGCCAGCGCCAGCAGCAGCTACCGCCGCCCCACCCCCCCCGCCCTCCCTTCCGCGGCTTCCGTCGTGGGGAGGGGGGAGGGAGGGGGAAGGGGTTGTGGGGAGGGGGCGGGTGTGAGGAGCCTGCCACTCCTCCCTCCCTTCCCTCTTCCTCTCTCCCTGCAGCAACTGTTGCTGTAGGGGGGGGGGGGGGGGGGAGAGAAGTGCAGAAGGGTGAGGGGGTGGCGGGAGAAGACAGGTGCGGAAGGTGTGAGGTTGACGGGGTTGAGTGACGAGGGGGGTGAGGACTAAGGGGTTCTTAACGGGGGGGGATCGCATTGAGCGTGCGCGCTCATGCCCGCCTAGCCCACCTCCTCTCCTCATCGGGACTTGGGGGTTCTTAACGGGGGGGGATCGCTATGAGCTTTCGCGCTCAAGCCCGCCTAGCCCACCTCCTCTCCCTTCCCTCTCTCACCTCCCCTTTGTAAAAGGAGGTTCGTAAGCGGGTCCGCCGGTCCTGGCCCCCCACCTCCTCTCCTCTCCTCTCCTCTCCTCTTCTCTCCTCTCCTCTCACCTTCCTCACTTCTCTGCCTTCTTCCACAGCGCTTGGTTTGCTCGTTCAGGGGGTGCTGGCTGCACCAGTTTCTACCGCACGCAGGCTAAGGGGGTGTGTCAAACAATATGTTTAATATATACCCTGCGTGCTGTAGTTACTGTAGTTATTATTATTAAGAGTTGGTGGTGCACCTTCTTTGTTGCTTTGCTATATGTACCTTGTGTGCTATAGTGAAGCCCTCCTTCTTTCTCGTAACTCTCTTGGCACAACTCCCTCGACACCCCTTGGCCTAGGCTCCTAAGCCTAGGCCCTCCTAAACTCATACGTCCCTATCTTGACACTACCCACTAACTTAGATGGGCATGAGAAGGTGCCTTTTACCTATCAGCTACCTGTTGTTGTGTTAATTTTCAGCGGCATTTCTGAAATGAGTTTGATAGTCAATCATCATGATACGGTAACAAGTATAGAATGGGGCATCGCCGTAATGTGATGGGTCCTCCCTTGTAACAAGGAATCCTAAAGCACAGCCATTGAGTCTACATGGCTTGCACTACTCACACAAGGTGCAGAAGGAAACATCACATCCGCGCTGCTGTGTACTCCAAGTATAACCTGCTTTCGTCTAACCCGCTGTGACAGTCTCACAAGCGGGCAGCTTCCCGTATACGCTTCAAGCGGCCCCCCTCTCCCGTGTCCACTTTCACAAGCGGGCAGCGTGGTTCCCTTTCCCTGGTATTCGTTATGCGGGCAGCTTGAATATCGAGGCGCCTCGGATTTTGCTCTACGCGGGCAGCTTGGTACCCACGGGGAACTGCGGGTTGTCAACTCCGTGCGCGACGAAGTACGGACCGACGTACATCTCGGGGTCCATCACCGTGCTCCACGTGGCCTTCGCCAGCCCCTGCTGCCCCAGCACCACGCTCGGTCCCGCCTTGGACATTTTCACGAGGCTCACTCCGCTGAGCTGCGTCGGCAGCAGCTGGCCCTTTTTCACCGCCTGCAGCTGCGGCAGCGTGAGGCGCGTCGCGACGATCTGCACGGCCGTGAGGTTGTATGCCACGTCGTTGGAGATCTTCTTGCCCTTGAAGCGCAGCGCCAGGCTGTCCGCAACCGCGTCGCTCATCAGCAGAATCGTGGCGCTCTGCAGGGCCGTCAGGTTGTACTTGGAGTTCACTGTATCGCGTATGGGGAGGGGAGGAGGGGAAGTAGGGGGAGGGGGGGAAATCCACACGGTCAGGGAAGGAAGGATGCTCGAAAAAGTCTCAGGCGAATCTCGAGTGCTTGTCGAATATAGAAGGTTTTGAAAGTCAAATTTGGGTGCTTTGGGTTCTTCTAGGCGTTTTCTGACGGGACTCACGGGCGATGTTGATGGCCTTGTTGACTTGCGTCGAGTACTTGGCGTATTTGGGGTACTTCGCCGTGATCGCCGCTGACAGCTTCTTCAGCTCGGCGCGCAGCTGCGCCTTCGTCGGCGGCGGCGCTGGCTTGGGCGCTGTTCCGCCCGTCGTCGGGGGTACCGGCGCGCCCTTCGCGGACGGGGCTGGTACTGTTGAGGGCGAGGGGGTTACTGCGCTGACGGATGACGCGGCGCAAATGACGGCAGCCAGCGCGGCTAAAACGACGGCGATGGCGACTGAACGAGCCATGCTCCTATCGAATGGCGTCGAGTTTAGCAGTGGATGGAAAGGTCTAGGCAGCGGGTAGTAGTGGATACTCTATCGGTGGCTGGTTAGAAAGGCAGACGGATGGAGAGCGATCGCTCTCGAGACAACTCTAAATGGCGGTGTATTATCAGTCGCCGTTCTACGACGTCGTCAGTCGATTCGAGCAAACTTGGCAGAAGTGAGAAGATCGAGTTGCTGAAGAGGAATGTGATGTGCACATGACTTTCAATTGCTTCTACGAGCTCAATTTATGGAGCACGGGATGGGATGCAAATGACGGTCCAAGCGGCTGTTTTCATTTCGTCTGTTCGTCTGAACATTTTTGCGGCGAGGGCTCGATCGGAAGGTACATACAGCCTTGCACCGAAGGAGCGTCCAACTAGCCGTTTCTACACGACTCGGCGGTGGCATCACGACGATTCGCTTGTAAGTTCTGCGGGTGACTAGGCGCCTACATTGACAGTTCCGTCCGTCCTTTCCCTTTCGACTTTCTTATGACTGCTGTGGTGGGGAGTTTAGTGGGGGGATTGGGGGTGGTGGTGGGAGGAGAAAAGGGTGGGGCGGGGAGGATGGAAGTGCAAGGGAGCTCAAATTTTCGCGCTCCCCCATTTTTTTCTGGCGGTGCATTCATTCGCGCGTGGCTGTCGGTGTCCACTGGGGCTGCGCCTGCCCGTGGTCTGGGTCCGGGTGGGAGTGGTCGGGGAAAATGGGAGAGTCGAGGCTAGTGGGATGGGAACGAGTTGTGTTTTTGACGCGCCTTGAAATTTGAAAGCGAGGCGCTTGCGGTGCGGGAAGAATTACGAGACTTGGGAAATGCGGCTCGATGGCTCGCGGAAGCAGTGTCTTCCCTATGAGCATTTTTTATAAACCTTGAATTGTTTTATGGAAAGCGACACTGTTAAAAGAATTTCAGCTAACAAGTGAAGGTTTCTGCTTTCACCCAGACATAAGGTAGGTTGATTGAGTGTGGTGACCATCAATGATTTGTGCACTTCAGAGAGGATGTGAAGCTCCTGTCCGTATAGTAAATAATTATCAGCAAACAACCTTGGGATAGTATGGTTATGCGGTTATGCTGGCACATTAATTGCAGATGCTTGTAACCTACGCTGGTGAAACATAAAAGTGGGCACACTGGTGAAAGGTCTGCGGACATAATCACCAGAGAGAATGCTTTTCCCTTGTTTTGAGGCGCGGCTGCTATCACTAGAGAGGATCGGGTACGGCCCCACCCGAGACCTGAAGGAGTGTTCACGAGCGCAGGTCTCTCCAGAGTCTCACCCGTCCTACCCTCTGTATCCGTCTCGCCGTCAACTCACACGACCAAGAAAGGCCTCAAGAATCTCCCAGCTGAATCCGTTATTAGCATGTATGCTTTCCCGTTACTAACACACTGGCTTGGACGCCCAGCGCACCAGCGAGGGCCGTCCCATCTGCCCGCGAAGCGCTCCGTCTGGGAAAGCCTCTGTCCGAATGATAATGTAGAAACTCCGCGGAGTCGCGTCGATCTTCTGAAACAAGCTGTAAAACGTCATCGATGTCCCGGGAACGAGCTTGCGCGTCGCGTCCGTGATCCACGTGTCATATTTCAACTCGTCGGGGGTGGTACCGACCGTCCACGCTTTGGGCATCTCCCAGATCGGCGTGCCGTTGCTGCCCCGACGGCCGTCGTAGAGGGTTTGGCTAGTGGGCGGCAGAGGGAGCGTGAGACCGTCGACGTCGAAGTGAATCCTGATGTTGATCGTGCGGTTGCCCTGTCTGCATACACACACACGCAACGCATGCACACATGTCAGTGACAAGTCCGACGAATGCACTTGCAGTTTTCTGTCCCGAGCAGTTTAGTGACCCGCGCAGGATTGCGTGAGTCGGAGAGGGTGGGTGCCCTTTTTCGGTGCGGCGCGGCTTCAATAAGGGTCGAAGGCACATGGAACTAACGACAGTCAAGGCACTCACGAGACTCGCGACACTCAGGATATTCAAGAAATTCACGGCGCTCACGATACTCACTGGTAGACCAAGGCGCGGAAGTTGCCTCTGGCGAGCGAGTCTCCTCCCAAGCTCGCACTGAGCACGTTCCTGGAGCTGAGGCTGGACGTGAGCAGACCTGGTATGTTCAGGGAGAGAAGAGGGAGACCGAGAGTTGACTTCTGAATGGAATCCACTTCGAATACACTTTGTGGCGCCGAGACTGGACGTAAAAAGTTACTTTTGACTCGAGTCAAGATGCGACTATCGAGTTGATTAAAGATGTGACTGTTGAGTCAACCCAGGAGTTGACTTCTGGGTGGACTCGGGTTGACTTGAGATTCAAGTGACTGTGTAAGGAAATGTTTAGCGATTGAGAGGGCATCATGGTTGATACAGAGAGGTGCGGACGAGTGAAAGAGCTTCGGAAGAGCGAGAGGGGTACGGCAAATGGGATGATACGCAGGGGAACAGTGGGGAACAGTGGGGAAGGGGAGGTTAATGTGATCGAGAGAAGGGAAGGCGCGTTTATCTCACATCTTCGAATGCCGGGAAATGGAATGGCGGTGATATTGGGCATGGACGGGAGACTGGGGACTTTGGGTTTCGAAGGGGCGGCGAGAGCGCATGATGCGGCGACGACGAGAAGAACGCACGCAAAAAGTGCTGCAGCAGGGGACGAGACAGGAATGGAAGAATGGGACGAGTGGGGGGAATGAGAGGAATGAAAGGATTCAGTTTTGGAGAGGAGAAAACCATAAACGCCTGAAAGATCATTGGGATGTTTCCGCATGATTACGTAAAAACTAGCCCTAGAGATGAGACGTTCCCAAGTTCTGAATAAATCAAGATGGCAGACAGCATGGTATAGATTCTATGGGTAAACTAGGAGAACATGGCGCCCTAGACGAGTCAAAAGGGAGTAAGGTGCATGTTAAAGCGCACCTGCTACGCATGAACGGTTTACGCGAGCCATGGTGGTGGGTTCAGTATACTGGGCTTGGAAGTGTCTGAGTTGGAATGGTCGCGCCTGTAAGTACGTGTTGGTCAAACTGTCAGTCACACGAATCTAGAAGCTAAATACGAAATGAAACGGAGGATGGTGTTGATCGGGAATCTCTGTGACGGCATGCCACCGTTTTTATCTCGTGTCGGCGTCCAGCGAGGGCCATTTTCCGAAATAGCAGCCGACGCTGCAGGTACAGCGCGACAGGCACGGGAATCCACGTTCTTCAGGGTTGTTCGATGGTGCTGTGGCGAAAGAGCCGTTAAAAGTGACTCACCACACCACACCACCACACAAGTGCTTTTGCTTGGGGGTGTTGGTTGGGGGTTGGTTGGTGGTGGAGAACCGAAGGTTCGGTTGGACTGGTTAGACGAGGTTGGGAAAGGGATGGGGAGGGGTGTGTGGTTGGAATCACGCAGACAATCAACGACACCCCGAAACCCAAAATCGAATTTGTCTGTCGGCCGCCCCGCGCAACGCGAAAATTTGGCCAAATGTTGGCACGTAGCGCGGTCTTTCTTTCCCGCCTTCAACGGTGATGGAAAGCCACTTTACTGGTGAGACATCGTCTTCCAGATGCAGAGAATGCGTGAGTTTGTGAACTGTTCAGTACCAAAAAGCAGTTTTTGAATACATTCTGCCTAAAATTGCGTAATGAAGGTGCCTTTTTTTTCAGAAAGCACGACAATCTTACAGAATTTTACATAATACAGTTCACACAGCTATACTGAGCACAGAGGGAGTGCTCAATAATAGCATGTCATACAACTAGGCCCTAGACACAGCCTTCCCAGTAAAACCAGCAGCAACACAGGCACAGAGGCAAGAGTAGACCCCACCCACTCTACTCTTGGCCCTGTGCCCAGCTTCGAATTCCCAAACCAACTTCCATACAAACAAAATACCCCACTTCACGCCGTCTTCTACAAGCTTGATCGCCATACATTGCTCTGTGTGCCCTCCTCACCCAAGATCGAAGTCTGGGCTGTTGCATGTTTGAGAAATAATCTTCCCACCTTTAAGCACGTACATAACATAACATGTGGTCCTGACCTGCAGGAGGGGACGAAAGGTGGATGGGGAGAAAAGGGGGGGTTCAAAGGCGCAGCAGAGGGGAGCAAAGAAACTCAAGGAAGAGAAGCGCAGTGAAAACAAGACTCTTCTGCTAGAGATGCGTGAGACGTGAAAACTGAGAGCAAAGCATGGGAATCATGGAAGCACTCACACTTGCGCTAGTGAGAAAGCTTGACTCACCTGCATCACAGGACTTTTGATTCCGAAGCCTGTGAATCTTCCAAATCCCTGGATGTCGATCTGGTGGGTGCCAACAGCAAGAGGAAAGGTACAAGGAACATAATGTTTTCAGCTGCAATGACAAGGGCTGATGGTGAAACAGGAAAACATTAGGGAATTGGGAACCATAGGGAGGGGATGGACAGCAATGCGACTGTGCTGGGAAATTAACATCCACACTTCTCTAATAGCATTGGTTGCAAACAGTGCAAGCATTGCAGTAACAGTACCAGGATGAAGTAATGGAACTGCTGGCATGGTTACTCGCAGGATGAAGCAAGGTGGAGGCACGACTCTCCTCTCACCACACTCACCTTCGTTGCAAGCACATCCCCTTTCTGGTATATGTGCCATCCTTTCTTCATAGGGATATTCACCAGGTTGAAGGGGGCTTTTACTGGGGACGACTTTAACGGGTACACGTTCATGGGGGGGAGCTGGGGCATGGCACAGGGGAAAAAGGAAGTGGGAAAGAAATTCAGGCACTGCTACAAATTAGAACCGAAGGGGGTGAATGAGGAATCTTGCAGAGCCGGTACATCAAGGCACAAGAGCGAATTTCACCTAGTGGCTGCTAAGGAAAGTGTGCCAGAGTTGCACGCCTGTACGGGGCAATTTTCCTTGGAGTTGCCGAGAAACGTGTTGTTGTACTCCGCGTGCACGTGAGCGGGTTGATCTTCTAACAGGTTGAACTTTCAACTTCTAACGTGAGCGAGATTCACCTTGGAGTTGCCAAGGAATGTGTTGTTGTACTCTGCGTGCACGTATATCGCGTTGATCTTCAGCCCATACGCATTAGGGTTGTAGATACGCGCGTTAAACGTCAGCACGCGAGTCAGGAACACGCATCCAGCCAATTCAAGCTTCAATTTACCTTGGAGTTGCCGAGAAACGTGTTGTTGTACTCCGCGTGCACATATATCGCGTTGATCTTCAGCCCGTACGCGTTGGGGTTAAAAATGAGCGCGTTGACGGTGAGCACGCCCGTCAGAAACACGTCGAAGCCGTTCAACGGGTCGCCGCCCAGTCGCGCGTGCTTCACCACCCAATCCATGGTATCGATCTTCAACTCCGGTTGCTGCGGAGCCGGAGAGGAGGAGTCGAGGCGGGAGGGGGTGTTAGTGGGGTAAAAGAAATGAGAGAGATTTAATTGAGGGAGCGACGTTCGTGCTTCACGGACCACCCATGGTGTCGGTCGCCAGCTCCGGTTGCTGCCAAGGGAAGAGGGAAAGGGGGAAGGTGGGGGGGGGGGGGGAAGAGAGAGAGGGGAGAGGGAACGGGGAACGGGGAAAAGGAAGTGTTTGTGGGGCGAAAGAGGGAAGAGCGAGAGTTGAGGGAGGGTTCGTGATTCACAAACCACTCCGCTCCGGCTGCTGTGAGTGGGTGAGGGGTAAGCTGGAAAAGGGGGAACGAGAGGGTCGGAGGGTGGGGGGTTACGAGCTGGGAAGGATAAGCAAAGAACAGGAGGGGCGGACAAGGCGGATTCCGCGTGCTGGCGTGCCGTGTGTAGGGGGACGCACGCACCTTGTATGAGAACGGGGAGCTGGCTTTGCGCTGCGCTGATGCCAGAACTCTCTTCGTCCACAACACCCGTGCCGCGCCATCCCTGCCGCGCCAAGTATCGTCAGGCAAGGTCCACAGAACCTTCTTGGATTAGTAGGGACTTTACGGACGGAACCCGGAAAACCCGAATGGGACGTCTGCTGTCAGAACGTCTCAACATAACACCACCCAGCGACGGTTACACATCCCGCGAGCGCAAACTCCTCAGCACCTTCGCCCCTCCCTCTCTCGTCCTTCCCCCCCCTCCCGTCCTCCCCTCTTACCTCCCTCCCCCTCCTCCCTTTCCCACTTCTCCGTGGTTACGTCAAAAGAGTCCCATCGCCTCATCTCGTGCAAACCTCACCTGATCGTCGTTGGTCTCGGCAGTTGTTGCGAAGATTGTTTAGTTCCAGTCAAAGCCGTAGACGTAACCGTGGTCGTAGCAGTATCCGTAGCCGTAGGCTTAGTCGTAGCGGGTAAACTGGGTAGACTGTGAACCGATCTACGAAGAACCGAGGGAGCTGCTGCAACCTGGCTTCTAAAGACTAGGTTTCTAATAACGTGGCCTCCAGTAGCGCTTTGGACGGCTGGGCTAACCGGAGCAGCAAGAGCGAGAAGCAAGAGAGCCGTAAGTACTGTAGCTACAAAGGATAACGACGCGCCGATCCCGGGGGAGGAACCTGCCATACGGATCGAAGGCTATAAAGTCTCTTCTAACTCGTCGCCGCCTAGAGCAGGCGAGGAGCCAATAGGAAGGAAAAGCGGATAATTTCTGTGTACAAGATCCCAGCTAATGATTTCCTTACGGTGAACAATGAATAGAAGCGACGGTGCTACCATCTAGCCTTGGGGTTGAGAGATCCCTACTGAGCGATCGTTGAGCGACGGTTGAGCGACAAGTGTGATCGGTCGGTGGTAAAATTGACGATCATCTAGCGATGAAGGGAAGTGCTGCCTGCCACTGGTGAGCCACTTATTACTGGTGAGGGAGGGCTGCATGTGTACTCGGGATCGAATCGCTTTGTATAGAGTCACAAGTCGCAGGTACTATAGCCGGAACAGGGGGTGCTGGTGAACTGACAACAGGCTCGCCTTGTCGCGACGTAAATCGCGTGCCTGCGTTTCAGTCACCAGCAGAAGCGACGGCTGTCTACATGAGAGAGGACAAGTAAGAGGCTGCTTTCAATTGCAATTTGCATTGCGGTAATCTTGAATGGAAGGTAGATGGAAAGACTGACTAGGTATGTGGACCCGAAATCACAAACATATGCATTTCGTGGGGTGACCTAGGAGGCTACTAACTGATATGACCGCTGACTGCCCAGCTCTGTACGGGCTCCGGTCAGCAAGTGACTGGTCAACTCGGCATTTAGGAAGGAGGGCTTACAATGCGGTGAAGTACGTTGTAGCGCAATCATTCGCGGTATCCTGGTGTTATGTAATGCGCCATCGTGTTCCTTCTTGAATCTTGGGCCCTCGAAATTGGTTCCCCTTTCTCGAGGGCAACATCCGTCCGTCCGTTCGTCCATATCCATGCTCCCAGAGCGTGTCTGCGGTAGTATCGAGTTTCGCGTCGCCCTTCGCACGCCTGGCGAAAAGGGTGCAGCGGTTCGGTTTTGGCCGTCGCTGCGTGTGATCCCGATGCAACGCAACGGCCTCGGGTCGAAGACCCTCGTTAGAAGCGAGAATGTATTAAAACCCTACAGGCACGCGCCCGCTCTTGTTTTCAAATTACCTCGTTTGAAGGTAACCTGGTACAAATTTGAAAGAGTGTTTTGGAAGTCTGCATCAAAGTTTACACATTTCTGCACCACATCAAACAGATATGACACTTATGAGGGGTGAGTGCGAAAGCTTGCGTTAAATATAACGACCCTTTACAACTACTTCACAAATTCCTGCTACTCCCTTTTCCTGTGCACCCCTGATTCCTCTACAGACGGAGCGCCAGATTGGGGAGATGATAGAGATGCATGGTTGGCGGGTGGGAGATCGGGAGAAGAAGGGGCATCGGGCAGTGAGGATAGTAGGGATTGAGGAGGTGAGGAGGTGTGAAAGTGAGGCGAGGAGGGGTGGGAGTGGAGGCCTTTAACGAGGTGCGAGAGCGAGACCACCTGATACCCCTGCCGTCGCAGCTCTGGTAGCATCATCCGTAGAATCTGCCAAGAAACAGGGAATGCTGTTTATATCATTTCATGAGCGACAAAAGCAGACACGAGCCATGATAAGCAGTCGCAAGAAAAAGCAGTTGCAAGAGGCCTGTGCGCTTCACCTCTGAAGTTAACAAAACTAGAAGCAAAAGGCTTGTGGCCTCACCTCAACGGTTTGTGTGCCCTGCTGGGGACGGTCATGCAGGATAATAATAGCACCTGGGTACACCTGCGTGCAGACAAGTTGGAAGGGAAGGCAAGTGGAGAAAAGTGAATTGGCGCCTTGCTGTGGGCAGTCGTGCAGGATGATGATGATGTAACGGTGCCAAGGGGATGGATAAAGAGATGGGGATGGTGGGTCGTGATCTGAGTCGAATCAAAACACGACTCACTTCACGCTGTCGTGCAGGATGATGATGATGATGATGGCGCCAAGGGGATGGGTGAAGAGATGGGGATGGTGGGAATGATGGGTCCATGAGAAACACAGCACCAACAGCCCTCATACTCATAGTATACCTTCGCCAAGCAGTAGGCAGCAAGAGGACGACTGCTGTCCTTGAAAAGCGGATCCATGGGAAACACAGAGCCCAGAGCCACAGGTACATGCATCCATAGTCCCCCACGCCACACATAGCCGAACTGTACCTTGGACAAGCAGTAGGCAGCAAGAGGGCGGCTGCTGTCTTTGAAGAGCGGGTCCATGGGAAACACAGAGCCCAGAGCCACGTTGTATCCGTGCTTGCTAACCCGCCTCACGCACCCGTTAGACATACCTTTGAGAGACAGTAGGCAGCAAGAGGGCGGCTGCTGTCCTTGAAAAGCGGATCCATGGGAAACACAGAGCCCAGAGCCACGTTGTACCCGTGCCTCTGCGCCTGCTGCCGCATTCGCTTGGTGTACCACCCATGGCCCTGAGGGGAAGAGGGAGGAAGAAGATGATGAGGAAGATGTGTGGTGGAGGCAAGATGGGCATGCGAGGGAAGCGCATGGAAGCTGTACGGCTGCGCCTGCTGCCTCATGCGCTTGGTGTACCACCCATGGCACAGAGGAAATGGGAGGAAATTGATGAAGAATGGGAGGTGTGATGAGGAAGATGTGTGGATGCGAAATGGGAGTGAGGAGACGCATGGCAGCTGTGCCGCTGTGCCTGCTGCAGCATTCGCAAACTGACCAGTTGGGACCACTTGACCGGGTTGGCCCCAGCGCCCCTTTGGAAATATCGTTGAAGCAAGCGAGGCAACATAGTGGAATGAAAGCAGAGTACACTGACCGGTCTGAACCACTTGACAGGGTTGCCTCCAGGATCCCTGCGGAAGTAGCGGTGGAGCTTGGCATCCACCGCCAGCAGCGACGACTCAAAGTCGCCAGCTGACAGGCGCCAGCTGGGCTCGTCCTCTGTCATGTGGTTGCCCATCTCGTGGCCTGATGGGGGAGAAAGGGACGGGATGGGAGGGGGAAGGGGGGAAGACATAGGGAAACAGATGACTGGAGGTAGGGGGTGTAGAGAGAGGCAGCTGGGTGCGTCTTCTGTCATGTGCTTGCCCAACTCATATGGGCGGGAGAGACAGCAGTACACAGATGACAGGAGACTGATGTCTAGACCAACATCCTTCGAGGGTATAAACAGCTGAACACCCAACACTCAAATCCGCGGGCAGACAGGCACCAGCTGGGTTTGTCTTCTGTCATGTGGTTGCCCACCACGTGATGGGGAGTGGGGAGAGGATGGAGAGAGGTGGGTGGCTGCTCTGTCAGCATGAGAACCAGGCAGACAACCGTCAGCTGGGTTAGTCTTCTGTCATGTGGTTGCCCACCACGTGATGGGGAGTGGGGAGAGGATGGAGAGAGGTGGGTGGCTGCTCTGTCAGCATGAGAACCAGGCAGACAACCGTCAGCTGGGTTAGTCTTCTGTCATGTGGTTGCCCACCACGTGATGGGGAGTGGGGAGAGGATGGAGAGAGGTGGGTGGCTGCTCTGTCAGCATGAGAACCAGGCAGACAACCGTCAGCTGGGTTAGTCTTCTGTCATGTGGTTGCCCACCCACCTCGTGGCCTGGTGGGGAGTGGGGAGAGGGAGACAGCGGTACACAGATGGCAGGATGAACATGCCGGGGTATCTGTCCTTTCAAAGTTGGAATTGTGGTGCCTATGGAATTGATTTTGAGGTAACCTCTTTCCAATGCCACACGACTGCACACTACGTACCTTCAGCGTGCATGCGATCCACGATGCCCGGGTATCTGTCAATGTTGGACCCAATCAGGTGATTTCTGCGTCGACTCTGCCGCCATTCTTTTTTCCAGCAGAGAATGGCACGTTACCTACCTTCTGCATGCATGCGATCCACGATGCCGGGGTATCGGTCAATGTTGGATCCGATCACGAAGAACGTGGCCGTGCACCCGTGCTCCTTGAGAATATCCAGCAGCTGCGAATTCGTGGAGCGAGAGGTGCGTTGGGGAGGGAAGGGCGGCGGGGCAGGAGAACTGAGTAAAGACGAGGGAGGGAAAGAGGGAAAGTGGAGTCAGGTTCGAGAGCAGTGTGGTTGTGCAACCGTGGTCCTGAAACAATCTCAAGTCATTGTGTCATCTATGCACGCACCAAACGTAATTTGAAAAGTTCCAAGCACCATTCAGCAATATGTTGTCACTCTAGTCAGCTAAAACATCATACCTCGTGGGTCGTGTCTCCGTTCGGCCCATCATCGATCGTCAGAGCAACCAGACGATCTGATTGGTCAACAGAAAAAGGAGGGAGGGATAAGGAGGATGGATGAATAAACGGATGGAGTGGAGGGATGGGGTGCACAATGCATGGTAGTAATGGAAGGCAGGGAGAGGGAAGGAGGGGAAGGTGATGCCAGGTGCTCTTAGTGACATGTACCATTGCTAACGTGTAACTTTGGTGACATGTACCTCTGCTGACGTGTACCTCTGCTGACGTGTACCTTTGGTGACGTGTTCGAAGAGTATGTGTGGCTGGTTCTGCCGCACCCAGGTGATAATCCACCGAGGCTGGAACAGCACCCTGCACGCAACCCAACGCACAATGGTCGTGATTGCGCAGGGACAGCAAAGTTTGGTAAAGCAATCCATCCCATGCACGGCACAAGCACCGCCCACTCCATGCTGCTGCCGCTGGGTGAGCTCGCTGTAGTGGCAGTGAGCGCAAATGCTGTGCAAACACGCAACCCAGCACATGTGGTAACCCTACCACAGTAGGGTTAACAAACATGTGCCCCTGCAAACTCACCCCACAGCGATGAACAGTGCGAAGCCGAGTCCCAGCGCGCCTGCAGCGGCAGTGGCGGCGAGGAGGGCGCTAGAAGGCGTGACCCCCACCAGCGACGGCACCAGCACCTTCCACTCCACAAGTAGGGTTACCACACATGTGCACCAACAAACTCACCCTACGGCGATGAACAGTGCGAAGCCTAGCCCCAACGCGCCTGCAGCAGCGGTGGCGGCGAGGAGGGCGCTAGCAGGCGTGACTCCCACCAGCGAAGGCACCAGCACCTCCCACTCCACGCCGCTGCCGCTCATTGGCGATGCTGTAACGAGCGGAGGAGCCTCGGTGACTGTAGCGAGAGGTATGGTTGAGGCTGTAGAGAGTGGAATTGGAAATGCTGTGACGTGAGGAATGGCGATCTCCCGAGAAGACGCGGCGGGAGCGGGAGCGGCGAGCGCGGGTGAGCAGCAGATGACCAGAGCGAAGGCTGTTGCTGCTGCGAAAGCCGCAGCGGCGACGGCAGCTGCGGCAGAGGATCCAACCGCAGTGGCGGTGGTGGCGGCGACGAATTCGCCTGCGGCAGACGATGAGGCAATCCCCCCAGGAGGCGTTGCGGTAGGACGTGCTGGGTGCGACCAGCTGGCGACGACTTGAGCGACGGTTGCGACAGGAATAATTGCAGACTCTACAGCCAATGAGAGGCAGAAATTGTCGGGGGCTTTGTTAAATTGAGCGGAAGGACCGGCGGGAGAAAATTTGCGGGAAGGGATGAACTTGACGAGGGGCAATGTCAAGGGCGAACGAGTCTTGATTATGACGGAAGTGGGGGGCGTAAGGGTGCGAATAGCGCAAGCGAGTGACGAGTAGCCTGGTCGTATGCGAACGGGGAGGCGACGGTTCACAAGGAGGGCTGCAGAGCACGGTGGGCGACAACTACGGTCTGCGAGTGCGACGGGTGCGACTGGCCGTGCGATGACACCGGCTGCTCGCATGGGGCCAGCGACGCGTTGTGGAGAGAAAATGAGGCGAGAGGCGAAGGATGTGAGCAATGAGATGAGGAGAGGCAACTAGGGGTGGCTTCGTCTTGCCGTTGATCGACGCGTGTCGTCGAGTCAAACGAAGCCAACTAGCAACCATCAGCCATCAGCAGCGCCTTGGTTTGATGGGACTTGCCTTGCCAACCAACAGAGGCGAGGGAGTTGAGGCCTCGGTTGAGAGGAGTGAGCGCGGGGGACGAATGGGTTGCGGAGATGTTGGAAGTCGCGGAGTTGGTTGGTGGTGCCCTGGCGCTGACGAAATGCTGACGAGGGGTGTGGTGGTTGCGGTGAAAATGTCCAGGTCGAGGGTTGCGCTGGCTGGTGTGGAAGTGGAGCCCAGGGGTCACTTCAGGCATCCTCGCTAATCTGCGAAGCAGCGAAGTTATCACCTTGGATCTCGCAGTGTTACATCTAAGCCAATCATCCACCGTGCTACCTACAAGTAACTTCACCAGAAACCTTCCTTCGCCCTTCCCGCTCACATGCAGGCTCCAACCTGCAGATGCAGCTGCTTGCAGTCAGAAGCGATCAAAACATTACATCATAAAAAGAAAGATCTCTGTATGTTGCAACCTAGTCATCTATGCCGCCACCACCACTGTCTTCTAGCTGAGCTTGGCATGTGCCTCATACAACTTCTCCAGCAGCACTTCACTCATCTTACTGCACCCCACCACCTCCTGCAACAAAACAACATGCAAGCAGTGTGAGCGGCGATGCTGGGCATAGACAGTAATGCTCCAGCTCTGCTGACAGAAATGCGTAACAAAAAAGCACCAGCAAATGGCATGCTGTAATGTCACACACAGCTGATAACTAAACAAGTGTACACTCCAGGAGTCGTGAAAAATACAGGCTATTCAAACTCACAGTGCCAGGAGACGCGATGTCGCCAGTCCTGTACCCGGCCTCCAGGGCACTCATGACAGCAGCCTCCAATAGGTCAGCGCCACGTGGCAGGTTGAGCCCGTAGCGCAGCATCATGGCGGCTGAGAGCACCTGTGCCATCGGGTTCGCCTTGTCCTGCCCTGCAATGTCCGGCGCTGACCCATGCACCGGCTCATAGATGCCTGGGCCCTGGGGAGTGGTGGAAGAGTGGGGAGAGGGGAGCGGGAGAGGGGACGTCGAGGTGGTTTGTATTGGGCAAGTGGGTGCCGCAAAAATAGGGAGGATGCGGGTAAATCCTTGACCATCATGCGAGGAGTCCCTTTGCAAGTGAGTACTGTGCCAAATCAATCTGTCATGCCAGCAACACCCCCTCTCTTCGTCCCTCCTCTCCCCTCTTCCCCCATCCCCCCCTCCAAGTGACTCACCTCAGAGCCAATGCTGGCGGAGGGCAGCATGCAAATGGAGCCAGTGAGCATCGACGCCTCGTCCGAAAGAATATCTCCAAAGATGTTGCCGGTGACGATGGTGTCAAACTGGCGCGGGTTGCGGATGAGCTGCATGGCGGCGTTGTCCACATACATGTGCGACAGCTCCACATCAGGGTACTCCTCCGCCCCGATGGCCGTCACTCACTTTCCAAGGCATTACTGCGCTACGTCATGCCGTTATGCCGGCACCCCACTTTCCACAATACCCCACTCACCCCTCCCCACCCCAACCTACGCCGTTCCCTTTCCTCCGCTCACACCTCCCCTCCTCCCATCCTGGCTGACTCACCTCAGAGCCAATGCTGGCGGAGGGCAGCATGCCAATGGAGCCAGTGAGCATGGACGCCTCATCCGACAAAATATCCCCAAAGATGTTGCCCGTGACGATGGTGTCAAACTGGCGCGGGTTGCGAATCAGCTGCATGGCGGCGTTGTCCACATACATGTGCGACAGCTCCACATCCGGGTACTCCTCTGCTCCGATGGCGGTGACGCGCTCGCGCCACAGCTGCGACACCTCCAGCACGTTCGACTTCTCCACCGAGCACAGCCGCCCGCTGCGCTTGCGCGCCGCCTCAAACCCCACTCGGGCAATGCGGTCGATCTGGCAGGCCAGGGCAGGGGGAGAAGAAGGGGAAAATCGGTAAGGGGATGGGGGGGGATGGGGAAAGGGGAAGCAAAGAGAGAGAATTTAGGAGAAATTTTGGGGTGACGGTTCAAGTGTTTTGGGAAAGGCGTGGGTGGGGAAAGGGGTACAGGGCGGGGTGGACGGAAGAAATGGGAAAACATGAAGGGTGCGTGGAGGACAGAGAAGGAAGGGAATTGGGACGGGGAGGCAGAGGTAGCAGGTCAAGGGGGGAGGGAACGTTCCAAAGAAATACCTGGCAGAACATACCTCAGGGACAGAGTAGATCATGGTGTTGAAGCCTGTCCTGTTGCCCTCTGCATCGTGTCCGAATCCCTTGGGCTCTCCGAAGTAGATTCCTGCATCATGATGCAAGCAGCAATCAACGCCGTGAAGGGAATGGTGGGGTGTAACATTAGTTTCTGAGAATGAAACTCAACCGCCACATTACATGCACTGTGCACAAACACCACAGCCTTACCGGTTGGCCTAGAAAAATTCCCTTTCCTTGCCCTCACATCCCCTTCCTTGGCTTCACTTCCATATCCTCACCTCAGTTTCACTTCCTTCCCCTCATTTCCATTTCCTTTTCCACTTCCTTCCCCTCACTTCCAATTCCTTCGCCTCACTTCCACTTCCTTCGCCTCACTTCCACTTCCTTCGCCTCACTTCCACTTCCTTCGCCTCACTTCCACTTCCTTCGCCTCACTTCCACTTCCTTCGCCTCACTTCCACTTCCTTCGCCTCACTTCCACTTTCTTCGCCTCACTTCCACTTCCTTCGCCTCACTTCCACTTCCTTCGCCTCACTTCCACTTCCTTCGCCTCACTTCCACTTCCTTCCCCTCACTTCCACTTCCTTCGCCTCACTTCCACTTCCTTCGCCTCACTTCCACTTCCTTCGCCTCACTTCCACTTCCTTTGCTTACTTCCATTGCATTCGCCTCACACGTCACGCATTGCCCGACATTCTGTGCACCACCATGATGTCAACCTCCTCTACCACCTCTTCTCCAATTCCTTCGCCTCACTTCCATTTCATTCACCTCATTTTCAACTCCTTTTCCCCACACCACGTCAGATCTCGCACCACAATGACTCACCGCCCGTCAGTTCGCGCACCACCATGTTGTCAACGCCCTCCACCACCTTTGCCTCACTTCCAAATCCTTCGCTCACTTCCATTCAATTCGCCTCACACGTGACTCACCGCCCGTCAGTTCACGCACGACCATGATGTCAACCCCCTCCACCACCTCGCGCTTCAACGACGATGCCTCGATCAGCTGCGGGGTCGTGGAGAAGAAATGAGGGGAAATGGACGGCGAAAGTGAACCAGGGGGGAACTAGGGTGACGGGGCATGCCAAGCAGCGGGGTACACCATGATGCAGGATCGAGGAGAAGCTACGCTAGTTGCGCCTGGCGATGCAGAAAGACCTACCTACGCCAACGTTTCGTCCACGATTCCACGAATCCCACCATACTGCCGGCCAGCATTTCAAGCGCCATCCCACGACTAGGCCATCAGCCTGTTACTAGCATGCCAACGGCAGAGGACGCGAGTACACAACGAGTACGCAGCGAGGATACCATCTTAACTTTGCGTGCTAGTGCAAAGTATGCGATGCGACTTACACCTACCAGTCTGTTTTTGACTGCAGCCATTTCAGGACTAAAATGCTAAGCGTGAAATGCGCCCAGCTCGAGACCGCTACCAGGAAATGCCGCCGCACCTGGGGGAAGACGGTGGCGGGGCGCAGATTGGCGAAAGCGCCGAGCCCCGCGCGCAGTCCCAGCAGCCCGCGCTCAGGGCGGAGATCTGCGGGCAGGGTGTCCCACTTGTACCTGCAGAGCGAGCGTGGGATATTCGGGCAATGCAGAGGGTGTTACTGGAAGAAAGTTGGGAGCACAGCAGGAGCATAAATAGCTATGACGGGACACCAGCAACGCCTCATTTCTTGAACTGGTGTTCCTGCATTGGTAACATTCTATATATACAAGCCAACGATTGGCCAATCACGGCTCCACCCACCCTCCAATGGCAGCGAGGAGTACGGCGTCGCTGTCACGGCACGTGGCGAGGGTTGACTCGGGCAGAGGCACGCCGAATTCGTCGATCGCCGCACCTCCGACCAGCGCCTCCTGAAACTCAAAGGTGATGCCTTCCAGTTCGCCGAGAGCCTTGAGCAGCTTCACAGCCACCGCCATGATCTCAGGGCCGATGCCGTCGCCCGGCAGCAGTGTGATGCGACACTTCTTCGTCGCACCGTCGCCCGCCGCCGCCATCACTGGCTGTCTTCTGCGACTGCTGCTCCCATTCGCACAGGTCCTGCGACGGTTAGCGACGGACTTGCGGCTGTTAGGGACCGCGGAGAGACCGTTCGACTTCACGGACTTGGCGAAAGCCTTTAGAGAGGAAGACTCTCCCTCTGCGGAGGAGAGTTGCGCGGCGGTGAAATGCGCGCAGACCAACGAGCGAGCAGTCGCAGTCGCCATGGAGGATGCAACAAATAACTCTGGTCAGCAAAGTTGATGGCAGGGGATTGCAGAAAGAGAAACCCTCAGCCCTGCGAAATGTAGCTGAATGCAAAATGAGACGTGGAGGGAGTTCAAAGTGCAGGAGTGGAGCGCGCAAAATCCGACCAGCAGGGCGGACTTTGATGGAAGGATGACGTTGACGTGACAATGTGCCAGCGTTTCGGGAGCCAATAACAGCCACGCTTTGATAAAATGCTGCTTGGTGGAGCCACGTCAGCCAATTTGAACTTTTAGAACAATGCTACACTTACAAAAATCATATGGCCTTAGTAAGCTAAGCCTCATCCACTTCAAAATCCTCCTCCTGTGGAGCAACAAAGAACTCTACAAATGATGTCCTTGCACTCCTATTCTGCTGAGTTTGGCTCCTAGCCCCATCCTGGGTTGGCTGAGAAAAGGCAGGAAGGCTGCCCACACCAAATGGATCTGGAGCATCATTAGCATTTCTTCCACCAGGCCCAGTGGCTCGCATGTTCACAACATGCTGCACTCTCAAGAGGCCATGACGGTCGATTGTCAGTTTACTCGCATGGTTTTCCTTTAGAACAGCAGCAGGAATGCTAGCAGTTGCTGCACTGAGATGCTTGTAGCGATACCTGCAGCACAGCGAGGCATGGGAGATTCAGCTGTTGCTAAAATTGAGGGGAAAAAAACCAGGGAGTAATTGCTTACAAGAATGAAACCGGCCTTTGACATTTGAAGTCAACAAAAGGTTGTTGCACCGCCCAACAAGGAGATCAACCTGAAAAGAACACAACGTTACAATGCAAAAAAACGTTATGGATTAAAAAAAAAACACAGGAAAATGAAAAGTAGCTATGTCAAAGTGTGGCATCCATCAATCACCCCTAAATGCTGACCTGTAAGTCACCATGGCCTTGTGCCAAAAACGTCACTCCTGCTGGCTGAGGGCTGATGGAAATTCGTACACTCGCACCAGGCCATTCCAAATCTTCAATCAACTCCTTGAGGACGCTGGACTGGGAATAACACAAGGAAAACCGTTATCAGTCGCAAAGGAAAAAGAGGAATTTTGTGAAGCGGCAGAGGATGCTGCGGTATAAAACTCATACTCGAATTGCAAAGCTGACAGGTGCGTTTTGTGGAGTCGATGTATCAACATCCAGCGCCCATTCAGGCGGGTTCATATCAGGAAGCAGAGTACGAATCTCCGCTCCAATGCTGCTGTTGCTATTGGAAGGATCCGAAAGCCTGAAGACGCCTGATCGCAAATCCCCCGCCACACAGGCAGAAGAAAGATTCTCTAAATCACGATAAGAGCTGTATCCCGCAGAATGCACGCAAAACTGCTGCAAGGTAAGGCTTACTTGAGCAAGAGCTGGTTATCAGGCCCAGGATACCGCAGCGTTAGAACATGTCCTGTTGTAGCTGACGCAGAGAATGCTGACAAGCAGTCGATTAAAAGAGACAAATTGATGCCGAAACGATAACGGACATCTGGTCGATAAACGTAGTCCATAAAGAGCTGCAGGGACACATCAATGAAGGTGAGAACATATCATAGAATAACCATTTGACCGTGCTGCAAAAGGGTTTTGATTGGTTCAGGTGACAAATTCAGACCTCTTTCCTGAAGAAGGCACGTGCGTGCAGGCAATTAAGCTCCTCAGCTACGACCACAAGACCCGTCTCGGACATCTCAACAACCGCTTCCTGCGATTAATATTTGAAGAGAAAGCTCTGTAAGTAACGCGGTCTGTGACCGCACAAAATGCAAAAATGGTTCTGACTCTTACCTGCTGACGTTTCCATTTGATCGTGGTAAGCTCGTCAACGAGACTGGACGTGCTTACAAGGGTACAAACTAGGTCGAAATCCATGGCCACGACTCGAACAAAAGCGACTAGATTGCTGAGTCAACGTAGAAGGCGACATAGGGACGTAGTTTGCCAAGATTCACCCATCTTCCGGAGTGACTAGCAGGAATGGGTGACTCACGGGTGGGGGAACAAAAGCGTCAGCTTCACCCTTTCCCCCAATTAGGACTCGGGAATGGGAAATGGGTTTGTTGCGGTGAATGAGTGGAAACTGTGCGGAAATATGGCGGAAACTGCTCCACGGTTTGCCCTGAAATCTTCCCCAGGTTCCGCGCAAGGATGCTACGTCCTGAGCCGCGCAAAGTTTGCCCTGCGACGCGCGACCTCGTGCATTGGGGAGCTGTGTTGGATTTCGCGCGTGAATCTCTGGGTTCTCGCGCAAAAAGGCGGACGGGATGCCCTCCTGATTGGAGGTTTGGTAGTACAAGCCAATGGTCAGCCTGGTGGAGACCCCGAGGTTTTGTGCAGACGGGGCGAGCGGAGGTGGCTCGGAAGCGGGTGTCCAGCGGAAAAGCGGGGCAGCAGCCAGCCACATTTGCGTGCGCTGTGATGGCTCTTCCCTCCAGCCAATCCCAAGGCGAGGTCCGAAGGAAAACGTCAAACAAATGGATGACCCCGAGGCTGGTTTCCTGCTCTGCACCTCTGCTCTGCACCAGACGAGGCTGGTCTGGGGTCTGGGCTGGGGTCCGTGGTCTTGCAATTCTGAGGAAAACATCCCCGTTCGAACTGTGCCGTGGCTGTGCTACAGTTTTGCGTTGGACCACCAGCCAGACACTAAGTAAAATTTATGTTATAGCGCTTTATAGCGTGAATGAAATCGAATAAAAACATAGCCATCGAGGGTTAATAACCACCGAAGGAGAACAACTGCCCGCTTTTCGCGATTTGCTCGGCTCCCATCTTCGCTCCCTTGGTCGTCATCGTCGCATCCTCATCTTCTCCATACCCATCGCCTATTCCTTCATTTCTCTGGCTCTTGTTTGCTGGTCTCTCATCTATCCAGTCAGCCTGCAAAACTCTCGCTGTCATTCCCTTTACTACGAAACCCTTCCGATGGTGGACATGGAGAGGTCCTTACTTCTTTATAGTTTTCTGGATCTTCATCGCCGTCGACCGTGTCCTTGACTATAAACTTTACTAGTGATTCGCGGGATTGTAAGTTGCATGACGACCTCAGCATCTCGTTTCGTGCATTCTCCTTACAAAAAGAGAAGTTGTTGTCATTAAATACAACAGTATCCAATTAGTGCGACTACCCATCGTGCCGTTTTTCGTCATACATAGGTGAAAGGGACACGTGAAGTGTTCTCGAGATTCATAAATAACTTCCGCCTTGGCTCTCACGTGGAAGCTTGATAGATCTTATTTGATTATGTCACGCTTATTTAATTTCTACCTTTTTGTAACGTCAACGACATCATTTGACCTGGGGTGCTGGGATCTGTAGGTTTTCCCCTTTTTTTGTCTGTCTGCTTGTATCTTGCCTCAAAAATTTTCAAGTCGTCTTTTTGTTGTCTCTCTTGCTTGAATTTTCTTTTCTTCTCTTCTCAGGTCACAGAGCGTACTGGAGAAGCTCGGAGGAGTCCGGTCTCTCAACGTCCCTTAATCTTCTAGTAAAAAGCAAGAGCGATGCAGAATCCGAACCAACACTTGCAGCCGGACCAGTCCCACCAGCAGCAGTACCCACCCCATCCCCAGCATCCCCAGGGCCCTCCCTTATCACAACCTCCACCCACCCTGCTTTCAGGCCCGCAGCAGCCGCCGAAGCACCTTGGCACTTCCCAACAGATCCCATTGACTCAAGCATTAGGGGCTCATCCAGGCTCGGCTCAGCACGGAATCCCCCCTCATCTCCTGCAGCAGCGGCATCTGCAGCAGTCCGCGCAGCCTCCGGTACAGGCGCAGCAGAGGGCAGTGCAACGACAGCAGCAGACGCTGCTCACCCAGCCGCAGCAGCAGGGGCCTCTGTCGCAGCCTCAGCATATGCCGAAGCAGCAGCCGCTGTCGCAGCAGCAGCATAAGCAACTGAAGCATGAGCACGCAGCGCAGTCCATGCAGCCGAAGCAGCAGGGTCCGCCGCAGATGCAAGCCATGGCTCAGCAGATGCAGCCGCAGCTACAGGCGCAGTTGCTGCAGCGGCAGCAGCAGCAGCAGCCACAGGATCAGCGGCGGCAACAGCCGTTACACCAGCAGGTTCCACCGCATGCGCTCCAACAGCAAGGGATGCACCCAGGCCAGCCCATGCACCAGCAGCAGCGGCAGGTGCAGCAGTCCCCAGCGTTGGCGCCACGGCAGCAGCTGATGATGGCTCAGCAGCAGCAACAACAGCAGCAGCAACAGCACGTGCCTTCAGGACTCATGCAGCCGCAGCAGCCGCCGCAGTTGCAGCAGCAGCATCAACAACAGGCGGGAGTCGCAGCGCAGAAGCATCAACAGCATCAGCAGCAGCATCCGAGGCCCTTAGGCCAGATTCCCGCTCAGCAGCAGGTGCTGATGGGACAGCAGCAGGCAGCAGCGCACGGGCAGAAGCCAGTGCAGCAGCAGGGTGTGTTGATGCAGCAGCTGGGTATGGGGCAGCAGAGACAGCTGAAGCCACAGCAGCCAGTACAACAAGCAGCGCATGCGGTGCAGACTGGTGCACAGCATCCCGCGCCTGCAGCGCAGCTGCAGCAGCATCAGCATCATCCGCAGCAACAGCAGCAGCAACATCAGCAGCAGCAGCAGCCGCAGCAGCACCAGCAGCAGCAACCACAGCAGCACCAGCAGCCGCAGCAGCAGCAGCAGCAACAGCAGCAACAGCAACAACAACAGCAACAGCAACAGCAACAGCAACAGCAACAGCAGCAGCAACAGCAACAGCAGCAGCAGCAACAGCAGCAGCAGCAGCAGGGCGGTAAACTGACAACAAACGACGCGTTGGCGTATCTGAAGGCTGTGAAGGAACGGTTTCGAGATGAGAAGGACAAATACGACGAGTTCCTTGATGTCATGAAGAACTTCAAAGCACAGCTGTGAGTCCCGCACTTGCAAGGTCGCTACACGTTTGCATGCATTTTTATGAATCGTTGTATGAATTGTATGATTGTAAACACTCTCTCCCTTTTTGTCTCCGCCTTTTCTCCTTTCTCTTATCTCATCCCGCTCTCGTCTGCCCTTGCTCCTCTCTCCGTCCCCTGTCAGGCTGTCCCTGTCTCCATCTCTCACAGTTTTTTTTTGGCTCTTTCCATGTGTTGTTTCCCGTGTGCCAGGATCGACACAGCAGGAGTGATAGCGCGCGTGAAAGAGCTCTTTGTGGGGCACAGGCAGCTTATTCTCGGCTTCAACACTTTTCTGCCCAAGGGCTACGAAATCACCCTTCCACCCGAGCCCACAACTCCAGTCCCCGCCCCCGCGCCTGCACCTCCGCCCCAGCCTCGGTCCGCGCCTCCTGCGGTGGCTCGGCCGCCCATCACCCCATCCGGACCTGCAGGACCCATGTCGGTTGCTCCTGCTGGAGGGATTCCGCTTGGGCCTGGAGCGACCAGTGCAGGTCCCCATGCCCCCCCATTGGCAGTGCCGCATGGGGGTGCTGGGAGTGGGGCTGTAGCACCCACGCGCACTCCGCCCCTCCCTGTAGCGCCAGTGGGAGCAGCCGCAGGAGGAGCAGGAGCAGCAGCAGGAGTGGGAGAAGGAGCAGCAGCGGCTGCTCCTGGTGCAGGTCATGCTGGGGGAGGCGCACCTGCCACTGCTGCTGCTGCTGGTGGTGGTGCTGCTGCTGTTGCTCCTAGTGCGGCTGGTGCTCCTGGTGGTGCTGGTGCGGGTGCTACTGCTGGTGCTGCTGCGGCTGGGTCTGCAGCAGCAGCGGGAGGAGCAGCGGGTGGGGCTGCTGTGCCGGCTGCGCGGAGCAAGATGGTGGAGTTCGACCAGGCCATCAGCTATGTCAACAAAATCAAGGTACTGTACTGCAACGTTAACAGCGATGCCAACGCGAGTGCCAGTCGCTGTTGACACGGATTACGTGGTCCGCCCATCGCATAATCCCTGCCTTTTTCCTGCTGTGATGCCATGTCAGTCAGTCTGCAAGCAAATGTATAACCCACGTTCAGGTGCTGAGCTCATTGGCTTGTCCTGCCATATGTTTCTCCCTCTGGCTCGCCCTCCCAGGCCCGCTTTGCGGACGACGAGTCGGTGTACAAGAGCTTTCTGGAGATCCTCAACATGTACCGCAAGGGCAACAACAACATCGGAGACGTCTATAAGGAGGTCAGTGGTTGTTGTTGCGTTGTGTTGTCTCTGTGCAATGGATCGTGATTTGTCGACTTTCTAGTCAACTCAAAAGACGTCTATAAGGAGGTCAGTGGTTGTTGTTGCGTTGTGTTGTCTCTGTGCAATGGATCGTGATTTGTCGACTTTCTTCCTGCCCAGCTCTACTGCTGGCCATACGCCAGTTGGTTCAGCGAAGTTCTCTCCATTTTCCATTCCCCCCCACACATGCGCACCCACTCCCTTCAGGTTGCCACGCTCTTCAAAGACCACTCGGACCTGCTAGAGGAGTTCACCTTTTTCCTGCCCAACTCTGCTGCTTCTGAGCATGTAGCAGTTCCCTGCATTGTTCATCCGCCCCATGTCTAAACTCCCTCTCTACAGGTGGCCACGCTCTTCAAGGACCATTCGGATCTGCTAGAGGAGTTCACCTTCTTTCTGCCGGACTCTGCTGCCAGTCACTTACCCCAGTGGCGTGGGGTGGGCCCGCCCCCTCCCGGAACTGCTGCTGCTGCTGCTGGCAGTGCGGCTGGAGGGGTTGCTGCAGGGGCGGCAGCAGGCGAATCAGGGGTGTCAGGAATTGAACGGATTCCTTGCGTCTTTCGTCCCTGCCCCATGCGCACCCACTCTTTTCAGGTGGCCACACTATTCAAAGATCACTCAGACCTGCTAGAAGAGTTCACCTTCTTCCTGCCGGACTCTGCTGCCAGTCACCTACCCCAGTGGCGCGGGGTGGGCCCACCCCCTCCCGGAACCACTGCTGCTGCTGGCAGTGCTGCTGGCGGTGCTGCTGCAGGGGCAGCAGCAGGCGCATCAGGGCTGTCAGGGGTGACGGCTGGACCGGGAGCGAGGGCGGGTTCAGCAGCTGCTGCTACAGCCGACGCTGCACCTGGGGCTGCTGGTGCTGCTACAGCCGCTGCTGCTGCTGGTGGTGGAGCTGCGGCTGGTGGCCGGGCAGAGAAGGGCAAGGTGTGTGTGCTTGACAGGCTGCGGGTCTTAGGATCTTCTCTGTTCTTATCTTGTCTTGAGGCCCTCAAAATGAGGGTGTCAGCGCCGTCCCTCTCACCTTATGGCTTTCAAGAGTGCTTGCCTGATAGAACCTGTCTTACCTTGCTTGCGTGCATGTTTTCTTGCATGCTGTGTGGCATCTGTGGCTGCTTCTGCTGTTGAGTGGTGATTTCCAGCGAGCTCCGTTCCAGCTACATGCCATATAGTCCTGCTGTCCCTACAGATGCCTGTCCTTACAGACTGCCTCCTGTGTTCCTTGACTCCTTTTGTGGCTGATGTGCAGAGGGAGAAGGATGGGGACCACCCGGAGAGGAGGAGGAAGGGGGCGGAGGGGCGGGGCAAGGAGAAAGACGTAGAGGCCCGAGGGAAGGTGAAAGAGGAGGTAGAGGAGGATGCAACAGCACACCATCCGAAGCGTCAGCCGCAGCAGCATTTGGAAGCTTCTCATCCCCATCTGCACCAGGCTCACCCAGCAGCGGGTTTAGCCGGGGGATTGCAGCAGGCTGGGGAGGAGGGCGCTCACAGAAAACAGCCTCTGATGCTGGACCTGCAGAAACCCCCGAGGGAGGCAGAGATGCATCTAGAGGAGAAACGGGTTGGGCTGGTGCCGTCACAGCTGCAGCAGCCGCAGCCGATGCAGGTGGATGGGGCTGGGAAGGAGGGGCATGGGGAGTGGGGGCAGCAGCAGCAGGAGGAGCGGGAGGGAGGGGCGCATGCGGTGGTGCAGCCGCCGCAGCAGGCGCAGCAGGGGCCGAAGCGGAAGGGGCGGAAGGGGGAGGAGGGGGGGAAGAAGAAGGAGCCTGGGGGAGCGGCGGTGGAGGGTGCAGGAGTGGACGACAGGAAAGGGAGCAGGGGTGAGTGGGGCTGGTAGGGGTGAATGCAATGGAATCGCTGGGGTTTTCATGTGACTCGCCAGCAACTTTTGAGTCCCACCCCCCTTCCCTTCCACCCCTTCTCCTTCTTTCCTCCCATGCAGCCCTGGGCATGCACAGGGAGTTGGCGTTTTTCGAGCGGGTGAAGGCCCGGGTTCGCAGCAGGGAGGTGTATCAGGAGTTCCTCAAGTGCCTCAACATCTTCTCCCAGGAGATCATCGCCCGCGCCGAGTTGCAGAGCCTTGTGGGGGACATTCTCGCCAAACACCCCGACCTGGTGGAAGGATTCAATGAGTTTCTGGCGCGTTGCGAGAACCTAGGTGAGTTGTTAGTCTCTTATGGTATAGTATTAATGTGGCATCTGGTTGACCCAGACCCGAGTTGCAGAGCCTTGTGGGGGACATCCTCGCCAAGCACCCCGACCCCGTCGAGGGATTCAACGAGTTCCTTGCACGATGCGAGAACCTAGGTGAGTGTTCGTGCGGTACTGGGGAGGTTTTTTTCCGAGGCACGCGGCATGCCTAGCCTAGTTCCTTACTTTGATCTGATTTAGCATAATCATACGTGTGTATCTACATGCGGATACAAATTTTTGTCTGTTGTGGATATGTGTTTGCTGGCCTTCATATATTTTTCCAGACTTTGAGACTTTGGAGTCAGCAGGGGGAGGGCCTGGGGTGAAGGTAGAGGAGGAGGAGCGGAAGGAGGGTGGAGAGAAGGAGAGGGAGCATGACAGAGCGGAGACGAAGGAAAGGGAGAGGAAGGAGGTGGGGGAACGCGAGAAGGAGGGAGTGAGGAAGAAGGAGAGAGAGAGGGAGCGAGGGAAGGACCATGGGCATGTGGAGAAGGAGGTAGAGGAGCGGGAGAGGGAGGAGAGGGAGAGGGAAGAGAGAGAACGGGAGGAGAAGGAGCGGATTAAGGAGAGGGAGAGGGAGGAGCGGGAGCGGGAACGGGAGAGGGAGCGGGAGAGGGAAAGGGAGAGGGAGGCGAGGGAGCGGGAACGGGAAGCAAGGGAGAAGGAAAAGGAAAAAGAGCGAGCAGCAGCAGCAGCGGCGGCGGCGGCGGCAGCAGCAGCCAAGTCAGCTGTAGCAAGGAAGGAGCAAGTGCAGTATAAGTCCATCTGTGAAATGGACCTGTCTGCTGCTGAGCGCTGCTCCCCAAGCTACCGCCTCCTCCCAAAATCGGTGAGTCCCCTCTTTCTCTCTCCCCTCTCAAATTCCCTCCCTTTTTTTGAGGCGACTCTAAAGAAACAACCACTCACACACGGCCCCCCCCACACACACGGGTGTCCTCCTGTCTCCAACCATCCTGTCGGCGTATGTGCACGAAAATGCTGATCTATGGATGAGTGCCACACTGGACCCCCTTGCTCTTTCTCCCCATTCCCTCACTTATTCCCCTCGATGTGTTGCAGCAAATGTGCGACGTGTCGTGCCATCGCACGGAGCATGGAGCTCAACGACGTGTGGGTGTCTCTTCCAACCCCCACTTCCTCTCACCCCATCCCTCCCCTTTCCTCTCTCTTCCCATCCTTCCTGCAGCAAATGCGCCCGGTCTCATGCCATCGCACGGAGCTGGGAATGAAGGTGCTGAACGATGTGTGGGTGTCTGTGACGTCAGGCAGTGAGGACTATTCATCTTCTGATTCGCCCCTTACCTCCCCTTTAACCTCCCTCGACGCCTCTGCTGCAGCAAATGCGCCCCGTGTCATGTCACCGCACGGAGCTGGGGATGAAGGTGCTGAACGATGTGTGGGTGTCTGTGACGTCAGGCAGTGAGGACTACTCCTTCACGCACATGCGCAAGAACCAGTACGAGGAGTCGCTCTTCCGCTGCGAGGACGACCGGTGAGTGCCACCCATTTCCACCCATGCCCACCCTTGCACACCCGTTCGCACCCGTCTCCACCTGTCCCCACCTATGTCATGCCTCCCGCCACCTGTCCGCACTACTCCTTCACGCACATGCACAAGAACCAGTATGAGGAGTCGCTCTTCCGCTGCGAGGACAACCGGTGAGTGCCACCCACCCACCCATGCCCACCTGTGTGTGCTTCCAACCTAGATTTACCCTTTTTCCAGACTGTTTGACGGCAATCTTAACAAAAAGTTCTCCCTTACCCCCCCCTTTTGCTCGCCATCGCCCTCGTTCAGTTTCGAGCTGGACATGCTGCTTGAGTCCACGGCAGTGACGGCGATGCCTGACTGACGTGTTTGGCCACCAAACCCTCTACACCCCCCCTCTTCCGCACCCCCCCCCACCCCCCCTGCTTTCCTCCATCACCTTCACTCAGTTTCGAGCTGGACATGCTGCTGGAGTCCACGGCAGTGACGGCGCGGCGAGTGCAGGAGGTGATCGATCGCATGCACGGCATGACGGACGCTGAGAGGAGCGGCTTCAGAGTAGAGGAGAACCTCACAGCCATCAACATGCGGTGCATCGAGCGCATATACGGCGACCATGGGCTCGACATCCCCCCTCCTCCCGGCCCCCCTTTCCCTCACGCTCCCACAGTTTCGAGCTGGATATGCTGCTGGAGTCCACGGCAGTTACAGCGCGGCGAGTGCAGGAGGTGATCGATCGCATGCACGGCATGACGGACGCTGAGAGGAGCGGCTTTAGAGTAGAGGAGAACCTCACAGCCATCAACATGCGGTGCATCGAGCGCATATACGGCGACCATGGTTTAGACATTCAAGAGCTGGTGAAAAGGACGCCGGCGGTGGCGCTGCCGGTGGTGCTGCAGCGGCTGAAGCAGAAGCAGGAGGAGTGGGTGCGGTGCCGTGTGGAGATGAACCGCGTGTGGGCGGACGTGTATGCCAAGAACTACGCCAAGTCGCTCGACCACCGCAGCTTCTACTTCAAGCAGCAGGACAAGAAGAGCCTCAGCATGAAAGGTGCGTGCGGGTGCCAGCATGAAAAGCGAGAAGGATGCACCTGATTTTAATGAACCGCACTAGTATTGCTGGACCACAGCACTTCTACTTGAAGCAGCCAGACAAGACAAGTTTCTTATTCGCTGTTCCCACATGCCCCTTTCATCACCCCTCCCCCCTTCTTCCCCCTCCCTCCCCACAGGTCTGCTGTCTGGGATTCGGGAGCTGAACGAGCAAAAGCACAAGCAAGACGACGTGGTGGCAGCACTAGCTGTTCCCACACGCCCCTTTCATTTACCACCCACCACCTCCCACCTCCTGCCCCCCCAAAACAGGGCTGCTGTCTGAAATTCGGGAGCTCAATGAGCAGAAGCACAAGCAGGACGAGGTGGTGGCGGCACTAGCTGTTCCCACACGCCGCCCGCTCATCCCGGACGTGCGGATGGCATACAACGATGCCGCCATCCACGAGGATCTCCACGAAATCGTCACCACTCTTGTGGGAAAGACCAATGCCTCATTCTTGGTCCCCCTGTCATTCTCCTTGTGTGCCTTTTGACGTGCCTCCACATTCCTATCATTTCCCCCCCATCAGGTCTGCTGTCTGAGATTCGGGAGCTGAACGAGCAGAAGCACAAGCAGGACGAGGTGGTCGCGGCACTAGCTGTTCCCACACGCCGCCCGCTCATCCCTGACGTGCGGATGGCATACAACGATGCCGCCATCCACGAGGATCTCCACGAAATCATTAAATTCTCAACAGAGGAAGTGTGCAACTCGCCCGAGCAGTCAGCTAGGGTTATGAAACTGTGGACGGGTTTTATTGAAATGTTTTTGAACGTGCCCGCGGTCTGGTCAAAAGTTGTCGCGGAGGAGAAAGCTGCCCGGGATGCGGAGATTGCTGCCCGAGAAGCTGCAAGGGCTGCCCGGGGTGGGACGGGGGGAGGGCGTGAGGGGGAGGGGAATGGAGAGGCTGGTGGGGGAGAGGGGGAGGGGGAGGGGAGGGAGAAGAGTAGAGATAAAGGGAGAGGGGAGGAGAGGAAGCGGGAGAGACAAGGTGGGGAGGCAGAGGGGCAGAGGAAGAGAGGGAGGCATGAGGGTGAGGGTGATGGGGCGGGTGGTGCTAGTGAGGGACAGAGACCAGGGGGTAGGGAGGCAGGGTGGGATGGGCTGGAAGAAGGTGAATTCAATCCTGAGGGAAAGGCGTCAGAGGGAGCAGGAGGGGGAGGGGGAGGGGGAGGGGGAGAGGAAGAGCCTCATGTGGTGAGGAAGAGCAGAAGCAGCTTGGTGCACGTGGGGGGAGGGGGTGGCAATGGGGGAGGAGCAGGGGCGGGGGGGATGGTGAATGGGGCAGCGCCGGGGGGAGCAGGTGGGGCAGGGGCGGTGGGGAAGGGCAAGGATGCTAGTTCACGCGCTGCCGCTGCTGCTGCTGCGGCTGCGAAGAGGCGGAAGAGGGGGAGGAGGGAGAGGGAGGAGGGGGAGGATGAGGGTGTGAGATCGGAGGGATCTAGTGCGGGCGAGTCTGATAGTGGGGGCGATGAGAAGAGGAGGCAGAGGAGGAGGAGGAGGGAGAGTGAGGGGCATCGAGGAGGGGAGAGGAGGAAGAGGAGGAGGAAGAGGAGGAGGAGGCAGAGGACAGGGAAAGCGGAGGGGAGATGGGGGAGGAGGGTGGGGCAGGAGACGAGGAGGAGGAGGATGAAGAGGAGGAGGAGGGGGCGAGGGGGTGGATATCGGGACTGGGACCTAAGGAGCGGCGGCACAAGAGGGGGAAGAAGTGGGGGAAGCATTGGTACAAGGCATGTCGCCCTGTGGTGGCCCATAGGGATTCGTTTGAAGCTGCTCGCTTGGGAGCTGGTGGTATACCACCCGCTAGTGGTGTAGCAGCTGGTGGTATACCACCAGCTGGTGTGCCTCTGCTGCTCCCTGCTGCTGGAGGAGAGGGTGTGGGGCGCAGAGGGGGGGATAGTGGGAATGGGAGGAGGGGAGAGAACGGCGTTGGTGGGGTGGGAGAGGGAGGGAGGGTAAGGAAGGGGAAGGGGCGAGTGGAGGCGGAGGAGGAGGGCAAGGAGGGGCGGGAGAGGGAGGAGAAGGAGGAAAAGGAGAAGGAGAAGGAGAGGAAGCGAGAGAGGGAGCTGTCTGAGGAGCTGTGGAGCAGAGCACAGGCGGAGGCAGGGGCGAGCAGAGTGATGTATGGCAACGACAGCATGTACATGCTGTTCCGATTACACCATGTGAGTCATCATCTGCTCTCGAGGCGTTCATGAAAGGAAGGGAGTGATTGTGAGTTTCTTCAGGCGGTTCGTACAAGGGGCGAGCAGAGTGATGTATGGCAACGACAGCGTGTACATGCTGTTCAGGTTGCACCATGTGAGTGACTGCCTAGTCTTGAGGCTTTTACGTGAAAGTGGGTGAACGTTTGGCCTTGACGCGGGTCTGGAAAGGGTGAGCAGAGTGATGCAAGGCAACGATTGCACGTACGTGCTGTTGCGGTTACACCATGTAAGTGATAATTTGTTCTGGAAGTGGTTTTTGAAGGTGAGTGGTCGTGAGTTGTTGTTCTCAGAAGGGGCGAGCAGGGTAATGTATGGCAACGATAGCATGTTCATGCTCTTCAGGTTACACCATGTGAGTAACACAAAGTCATGCCATGCTGAGTAGTATGTATAGTTGTGCTTTTTGCACAAGATGACTGTGTGGCTTGAAGGATAGGTGTTAGTAAATTCCATGGCTGAAATTGACCTGTCACATTCCGTCCCATTTCGACTGGGAGACTGTGGCTGGAAAGGTTTCAGCATTTGTTCGACCAGCTTTTGATCGAGTGGAGTGGGTTAAGGCTGTGATTGTAAAATATACCATGTCTTATATTCTGCAGTCACAGCTTTAGCCCACTCCACTCGATCAAAAGCTGGTCGAAGAGACGCTGGAATCTTTCCAGCCACAGTCTCTCAGTCGAATTGTGGAGGCGTTGATGGCAATGTGGCTGCAATCGACCTGTCACATTCCGTCTTCATCATCTCACCACCTGTTCCCCTGCCTCTCTCCCTCACCTCCTTTCTGCGCCCCTCTCCACCACCAGACACTGTACGAGCGCATTCTGAGTGCCAAGGTGAATGCGCGGGCATCAGAGGAGAAGTACCGTGCACTCAACCACTCCGACCCGCCCGACCTCTACGCCAAGTGAGTGCCCCTGCACCACACAAGCGTCTCTGCACCACTCGAACCCTTGAGTTTCACGTGTCACAAAGGTTGGAGAAGTACCGTGCGCTCAACCACTCCAACCCGCCTGACCTCCACGCCAAGTGAGTGCTCCGCTACTTCTACCACTTTGGGCATTTTGCGGAAGTTCCTTGTACAAGTCTTGCAAGCACCAATTTTTTAACGGAAACCGTTTTTGGAGCGCCTCAGGAACGCGCTTCTCAAGCTGCTGGATGGTCAGAGCAGGGCACATGGTTTGCTGCGTGTGCGCTAACTGTTGATTTTCTTTACTTCTCCCTATGACTGAGCAGGTTCCTAGAAGTATTATACAACCTGCTGGACGGGCAGATAGACAACACGCGGTTTGAGGACGAGTGCCGTGCCGCCATCGGCACCCAGTCCTACGTGCTATTCACCATTGACAAGCTCATCTACCGCCTCGTCAAGCAGGTGACTGATAGGATAGTGTGGGCATGAGAAGGTGAGGTGCGCTGCTGCCAGTCTCTGTCTCATGTTACTTTCCCATGTCACATATGACTCTCTCGTCACTCTCTTCCCATCGGCACCCAGTCCTACGTGCTCTTCACCGTCGACAAGCTCATCTACCGCCTCGTCAAACAGGTGAGGCTGCTGCGTGGCATCCCCTCATTTCTCCCACGCCTTGACGCCAATCACTCGCTCATGTCATAATTTCCCTCTCCCCATCCCCTCCTCTCCCACCCGTCCCCTCCCGCTCCCCCTCCCCTCTGTTCCCCTCTTCTCCCCATCAGCTGCAGGCGTGTGCGGGGGACGAGGTGGGGGCGAAGCTACAGCAGCTGCACGACTACGAGGTGGCCAAGGGGGCGCGCGGCTACGTGGACCTCGTTTACCAGGCCAACGCGTGTGCTCTCATGCATGACGACTCTCTGTACCGGATCGAGCTGGTGAGTGAGGGATAGGTGTTATAAGGCTTTCAAGGGGGCTCGCGGCTATGTGGACCTCGTCTACCAGGCCAACGCGTGTGCTCTCATGCACGACGACTCGCTCTACAGGATCGAGCTGGTGAGTGCGGGACTTTTGTTTGGTTGACAAGGTTTTTCAGGAGGGGGCATGTGCTTACGTGGACCTCGTTTACCAGGCCAACGCGTGTGCTCTCATGCATGATGACTCGCTGTACCGGATTGAGCTGGTGAGTATAGGACGGCTGTTGCTTGTCTGATTGGCAAGGTTTCTCAGGAGGGGCACGCGGCTACGTGGACCTCGTTTACCAGGCCAACGCGTGTGCGCTCATGCACGACGACTCACTCTACCGGATCGAGCTGGTGAGTGGAGGAGGGCCAACACTTTTCTGATAACTGAAGGATGGGTGTTAGAAGGCTGCCAAGGGGGCACGTGGCTATGTGGACCTCGTGTATCAGGCGAACGCCTGTGCGCTCATGCATGATGACTCGCTCCCTCCCCTTCCCTCTCTGCAGCTAGCGCAGCAACCAGGCGAGGGCGAGATGATAGTGCAGCTGATGGAGGGCATAGCATGATTGTCCCCACCAATTCTCACTCACCACAACCATCCACGAGCTATTAAGCCCAATTTCTTCCCCTCTCCCTCTCTTCTTCCCCGTTCCCTCCTTCCCTTACGAATCACAGCTGGCGCAGCAACCAGGTGAGGGCGAGATGACTGTCCAGCTGATGGAAGGGGGGCCGGAGAAGGTGGAGGTGCCGGCAGCAGCCATGGAGTCCGCCTTCCTGCACTACCTCTGGCACTTCCTGCACTCGCCGCCCTCGCATGCACCATCCCGCGGCCATGTCTTCCTTGCCAGGTACAGGCTTGTCTCTCTCTTGTCCGCATGGGTTGGGACTTGTGAGTGTGCCCTGTGCTGCCGGCAGCAGCCATGGAGTCCGCCTTCCTGCACTACGTCTGGCACTTCCTGCACTTGCCACCCTCCCATGCGCCTGCACGCGGGCACGTCTTCCTTGCCAGCTATGTGCCTTTCCCCTCTCTCCTGATCTCGTATTTTGGGTCTTTGTGTGCGCACACATGCCACCCACTCACATGCCCCCCCTTCTCATTCCACTCCTTTCTCAAATGCTGCCGTGTCTGTGCGGTGTGTTGCCAATGCATGTGCACTACCAGGAACGTGAGAAAGGCATCATCATCGTCATCATCCTCTGCAGCAGCAGGGAAGAGGGGCCGCAGCAAGGAGGACGAGGAGAGGGCTGCGCTGGAGAGTGTGCTTATAGTGAATGGCCTCGAGTGCAAGCTCTCCTGTGTCACCTCCAAGGTAACTTCTAACCCTTTTTTTCCACCCAGGTGGAGGTTACTTGCCCTTGGCCCGCATCCTGTCTTCATCCCAACCAGGTGTCCCATGGGTTCAACGCAAAAGTCCCACTCCTCACAGCCCCCCCGTTTCCCCCTTGCCTCCGTACCCCCGTCCAGGTGTCCTATGTCCTGGATACGGAGGATTATCTTTTCCGCCACAAGAAGCACCGCCGCCCCAAGAGTGCCAGGGCACAGGGGACAGCTGGCACGCAGGGATTGGCCGAGCGCTCGCACCGAGCAGCCAGGCGGTTACGGCGTTACCAGCAGTGGATTTCGGCAGGAGTGCCCCCGCCCTCCTCGTGAGGGGTTTACCCTGATTAAGTTAAACGGGCAGCTTGGGCGAATATGTGAGTGCTGCTGCAGCCGTTATGTGACTTGGTATGTGTGTCGAACTCGACTTGACACAGAATCCCTTGCCATGTGAAGGTGAAAGCGCTGGTGCTGTTTCATCTGTGCTGCTTGCAGATTCACCTTGTCTGGCCCTGTTCTTTCTGATCCCTTCCCTCTTTCGCCTGCATCCGTGTGTAATCCGTGTGTACTGTGTGTCATGCAGAGCTCTCCTTACTGCTGCTCTTATGCGAGCATCAGGCTAGCTGGGTTGAGGGTATAGAAGAATATGCAGACGTTGTTATGCCTGTTGTGGGATAAGCAGGGAGGCCTCCCTGTGTGGCCACTGCATTTTGTGGCCCCAAATTATGATGTAATAACATTGTGTCGACAATGTGCACGTCGAATTGGATCGTAGCAAGATACAGCAGAGTTTGATCGCACAGGGCATTTTGGGGCGGGAATGTGATTAAAATGACGATAGACATGCTCTCTATACGGTATGTGGCATGAAACATTTACAGGTCAGATTTGAATACACGAGTCAGGCAATATCGAGTCTGCACAAAACTTCAGTCCACCCCCACTAGCCCATTTGAGGTCAGCGTGGCGTCAACTGAACTCCTTTTCAGAAAGTCTTTCGTCAGACTGAAGCGGAATTCCTAAACGTTCGCTGCTCATTGTCGCACGGAGCAGCAACGAAGCACCTCTTCCTGGTCGCCTCGCTACGTTCCCTTCCCCCCCCCCCCACAGTTCCCGCGCCCCCTCGCGTCCCCTCGTGAGCGTCAATGGCGGCGGCGGCGGCGTCCGCGGCGCTGGGCGATCTGCTGCTGCTGCAGGGGCAGGCGAAGCGCGACCCGGAGGGGTACCGCGAGGAGTTCGAGCGGCAGCACCGGCACTACCGCGCGCTGCTCGCCGTGTTCTCGTTAAAGCCCCACGCGGAGAGCAAGGAGTTCGGCGACCTAGTCATGTTCCTCGCGCAGGTGGGCTTTAAGCCGCTTCCTTGAGCGGCGACGACGCCGCTGCCCGCCGCCGTGCGTGCCTTCCTGCTGTTCGAGCCGAATAGTGACGACACTAACACATAGTGATGCTGACGTGTGTAAGGGTTTCGATCTCGAACGGAGATTAAGCGTTGGGGGACTCTCGGCCATGGGCGGCTAAGGGTTTATGAATTAGGGTTACCAAGCGTGCGTGAGACTCGCGATGAGCGTCGGGGTAGGAGGGAGTGAGAGGTTCAGTGCACGGAGTAGCTGGTATCAGGTTTAGGGTTCCGGGTTTGGGTTTTTACAGCAGCGGGTTGATTGAATCTGGCGGTAGGATTATTCTATGCGATGTGGTATGACCTATGCCTGCCTCAGTCGGGCCCATTCCACTACAGCGCGTGTAAACCCGAAACCTCCCATCTCCGGCCCTTAAACATGTCCGATCCCCCCTTCCCCTCCTCCACAGCTCGCGCCCTTCTACCGCAGCGCCATGGACAGATTTCCGGGCGAGGTGATGGGTCTGCTGCAGTCGCACGTGGACGTGGGTAGGATACCCTCAACCCAACCAGTTCTCCCATTCTCTTCCCTTCCCACCCCCCCTCAGCTCGCACCCTTCTACCGCAGCGCCATGGGCGGGTTCCCAGGCGAGGTGATGGGGCTGCTGCAGTCCCACGTGGACGTGCTTCACCCAATGCTGCGCCGCCAGCTGGCGCACGCGCTCATCCTCCTGCGCAACCGCCAGGTGCCCGCTTGCTTACTTGCCCTTTCGTCGTCCGCCTCCGCTGCTGCCTGCCCTCTTCGTTTTCTCTCCCGCGGGGTTGTTAGACTGACTGTGCCGCTTCAAATAGCAGACTGCCTTCAGACTGCCTTCAGACTGCCTTCAGACTGCCTTCAGACTGCCATTTGAAGTCCTTGGGGGGCTCGGAAGTGGGCCTCCCCTGTCCTGCGCTGCTTCCTCCCCCCCCGCTCCCATCTTTCTTCCCCTCACACATCGTCAATGACTTATTCTCTCCCTTCCCTTACCCCACACTTTCCCACAACCCTTCCTGCCGTTCTGCACCCATTCCCCTCGCAGCTCCTGGGTCCCACAGACCTCATTCCGCACTTCTTCCGTCTCTTCCGCTGCCCCGACAAAGCCCTGCGCAAGCTGGTGTTCTCACACATCGTGAATGACATTCGCCGGCTGAATCAGAAGCACCGCCACGAGGGCGTCAACAGACCCATCCAGAACATGCTCTTCTCGCTCGTGCAGGTGCGGTTGCGTGTAGGCCATGGTGTTAAGGGCAGGGCAGAGAGTGAGACAAGTGGGTGAGGCAAGTGGGTGGGTCATTGGGTGAGTGGGACAAGGCATTGCGCAAGCTGGTGTTCTCACACATCGTCAACGACATCCGGCGCCTCAACCAGAAGCACCACCACGAGGGCGTGAACAGGCCCATCCAGAACATGCTCCTCTCTGGTCCAGGTATGGTCCCTCCTCTCCCCCACGCTCACTTCTCTCTCGTCCAGGTACGGTTGACATTACTTACCTATATGTTTAGTACCAAGAGTAAGTTATTGTAAGATGTGAACTCTTGCAGTCGCTCGCAGTGTTGATAGAGCTCTACCGGCGAAAGATGTGGACCGACGCCTGTACTGTGAACGTGATTGCGACAGCGTGCCTGCACCCGTGCACGCGCATCATGGTGGGCGCTCTCAAGTTCTTCCTGGGGGCTCTCTCACCCTCTCGAGGCACTCTCTCTCTCTCTCCCCTCAACCCCCCACCAGGAGGAGAACGAGATGGCAGCGAAAAAGTCCCTGGCGGTCCTGATAGAGCTGTACCGGCGGAAAGTTTGGACCGATGCCCGTACCGTGAATGTCATCGCGACAGCGTGCCTGCACCCATGCACGCGCATCATGGTGGGCGCACTCAAGTTCTTTCTAGGGCGGCCGCACTGAATACTTTCAAGCTTCTCCCGCCCCTCTTCCACCCACAACAGGAGGAGAACGAGATGGCGGCAAATAAATCACTTGCAGCAAAAAAAGTCTCTGGCAGTCCTGATTGAACTCTACCGGCAGAAAGTCTGGACTGATGCGCGCACTGTGAACGTGATTGCCACCGCGTGCCTGCACCCATGCACGCGCATCATGGTGGGCGCACTCAAGTTCTTCCTGGCCTCGTGTCTCCCCCCATTTCCACCACACCGACAACAGGAGGAAAACGAGATGGCAGCAAAGAAATCCCTTGCAGTGTTGATCGAGCTGTACCGGCGGAAAGTGTGGACGGATGCGCGCACAGTCAATGTCATTGCGACAGCGTGCCTGCACCCGTGCACGCGCATCATGGTGGGCGCTCTCAAGTTCTTCCTGGGGGCGGACCGGCAGGGCGAGGGGGAGGAGGAGGAGGAGGAGGAGGAGGACGAGGAGGAGAAGAAGAATAGGAGCAAGGAGAATGCTGCTCTTGCACTTGACAGGAAGACTGTTTACACGGTGGGTTGTGGGAGGGTATGATGGGTGGTTGGGGTGGGTGGGACAACTCTTTGAGGCACCTCAGAAGCAGGAAGGCATTTTACAGCAATCTTCGCAGTGAACCTTACCTTGGTGACTTTTGAGTCGACTCAAAAGTCATCTTCGCAGGTGAACCTTGTATTTTTTTTTTTTAGATTTTTCAAAAAACATACGCTTGTGACTGTTCTCCCCCTCGTGTATCCCCCCACCCCCCCTCTCCCCTACTCCAGGCATACCATAAGGGAACACCAGCCAGCAAGCGCAAGAAGCAGGCGAAGCTGAAGCGAGTGATGAAGGGGCTGCGGAAGCAGCAAAGGGAAACCGCTGGTCACTCCCTTTCTTTCCCCCCGCTGGCCCCTGCCTGCCTCTGCCTGCCTGTGTTCCCTTGGCCTCTTCCCCCCCCCCCCCAGGTGTACCACAAGGGAACGCCAGTCAGCAAGTGCAAGAAGCAGGCGAAGCTGAAGCGAGTGATGAAGGGACTGCGGAAGCAGCAGCAGAGGGGAACCATTGATCAGTTTATCCCTTTCCAACTCCTCCCTCTTCCTTTGCATGCCCAACCCCACTTCCCACTCAGGCGTACCACAAGGGAACGCCAGCCAGCAAGCGCAAGAAGCAGGCAAAGCTGAAGCGAGTGATGAAGGGACTGCGGAAGCAGCAGCAGGGAACCGCTGATCATTTCCTTTCTTTCCCCCCGCTGGCCCCTGCCTGCCTCTGCCTGCCTGTGTTCCCCTTGGCCTCTTCCCCCCCCCCCCCAGGCGTACCACAAGGGAACGCCAGCCAGCAAGCGCAAGAAGCAGGCGAAGCTGAAGCGAGTGATGAAGGGACTGCGGAAGCAGCAGCGGGCCGTGATGGGTGGAGGTGGGGAGAGCATGGGGGAAGGCGACGGGAACATGCACTTTGCTGCTTTGCACTTACTGCATGACCCGCAGGTGGGTGATTGGTTGTTGTTACAAGGGGTGCAGGGGGTAGTGTGGGGGGAAGGGTGATGGGAACAGGCACTTTGCTGCGCTGCACCTACTGCATGACCCTCATGTGATAATTGGTTGTTTCAACAAGGGGTGCAGTGCAGGGGGTAGTGTGGGGGAAGGGTGATGGGAACAGGCACTTTGCTGCCCTTCACTTGCTTCATGACCCTCAGGTGGGTAATTTGGTGGTTTTTCCAGGGGGGAGGACGTGGGGAGGACGGGGGAAGGACGGGGGGAGGGAGACGGGGGAAGGGCTAGGACGCAAAGGAGAGTGCGGGAGACGGCGAGGGAACATTCACTTTTCTGCGCTGCATATGCTGCTGCCAACCACCTGTTTTCCCTAACTCACCCCACTCCTCCCTCCACTATCCACTCCTCCCACCCTCTCCTCCCCCTTCTCTCCAGGGCTTTGCCGAGAAGCTATTCAACGAGAAGTTTGAGGTGTCAAGCTCCTGTCCCCCCTCCTTCACCCCCTCCCCCTTCCTCCCACCCCTTTCTCCCGCTTTTCTCCAGGGCTTTGCCGAGAAGCTATTTAGCCGCGTGTCCAAATGCAACGAGAAGTTTGAGGTGCGTGGGTAGACCACCTCGGAACATTTGGGATTGATTATCTTTGAGAGTGCATGTGAGTGAGGGTGTGTAGACCACCTCGGGACGTTTGAGATGCGTGGGTGAGATAGGCAATCGCATGGGAGCAACGAGCGTCAGAGGGGGGTGGTGTGAATTAAGTGGAGCTCGGAGAACAAAGTTTTTCTTGTCCTTGTTCTTAGTACAAAAACTTATAGCTCATCAGTACCACCACTCCCCATACCACTTGCCTGCGTGCAGGTGAAGCTGCTGATGCTGAACGTGGTATCGCGGGTCATAGGCACACACCGATTGCTCCTCCTCAACTTCTACCCCTTCCTGCAGCGCTACCTCATGGTATGCCTTTCCTGCCCTCCTGCCTCTGTTCAGATCCCACCACCCCTTTTTTCTGAATGGTATGTGTTTTTCGTGCTGTGTACTTTTCCTTAGTTAGCCCTTATGCAGCTGTTTCGCCTGGTGGACTGCGCATCTGTCCGGTTCTAATCATCCTTCCCATCCCATCCGTCCATTGCTGCCCGTGCATCCCATCCGTTGATTGCAGCCGCACCAGAGGGACGTGACGCACCTGCTTGCCATCGCCGTGCAGGCCTGCCACGATCTAGTGAGTGGCTGTGGCTGTCACGACTCACAGCCTGGTGGGTGGGTGGGTGTATCGTGGTTGGGCTGACCTGAGGTAGGTTGTGTGTGAGAGCCGCACCAGAGGGGCGTGACACACCTGCTTGCCATCGCAGTGCAAGCCTGCCACGACCTGGTGAGTGTGTCACAGCCTTTTGGTTGGCTTTTGTGGTTGGGCTAAACACTGTGAGGAAGGTGTGTGTGTGTGGGAGCTGGTCACCTCTTCTCTCCCCTATCCCCACCTATCCTCTCTCAAATGGTCCTCTTTCTCCCCTCCCATTACCTCTTCCCTCCCCCAGGTCCCCCCAGACGCAGTGGAGAGCATGGTGAAGCAGATAGTGAACCTCTTCGTGCACGACCGGGCAAGACCCGAGGTCATAGCTGTGGGGCTCAATGCGGTGAGGGAGGTGTGTGCGCGCATGCCCCTGGTGATGGGGGAGGAGTTGTTACAAGACCTGGCCATGTACAAGAAAGCACGGGAAAAGGCCGTTGCTGCTGCTGCAAGATCGATCATTTCACTGTTCCGAGAGGTACGGAGCGGTACAGGGAGGTCTGGTTGGTAGGGTTTGTGATGGAAGTGACAGGCCAGGGAGGTGTGTGTGTGCGCGCATGCCCCTGGTGATGGGCGAGGAGTTGTTACATGACCTGGCCATGTACAAGAAAGCACGGGAGAAGGCCGTTGCTGCTGCTGCAAGATCTATCATTTCCCTCTTCCGAGAGGTATGTAGCGGTGAAGAGCGGTACTAGGGAAAGAGGGACAAAAGGAGGAGGCAGGGAGGTGTGTGCGCCCATGCCCCTGGTGATGGGCGAGGAGTTGTTACAAGACCTCGCCATGTACAAGAAAGCACGCGAGAAGGCTGTTGCTGCTGCTGCCCGGTCAATTATCTCGCTCTTCAGAGAGGTACGGAGCGGCACAGGGAGGTCTGGTAGGTAGGGTTTGTGATGGAATTGACAGGCCGGGGAGGTGTGTGTGTGCGCGCATGCCCCTGGTGATGGGCGAGGAGCTGCTGCAGGACCTGGCCATGTACAAGAAAGCACGGGAGAAGGCCGTTGCTGCTGCTGCAAGATCGATTATTTCCCTGTTCCGAGAGGTATGTCGCGGTGAAGAGCGGTACTAGGGAAAGAGGGGTGAAAGGGAGAGGAGGCTGGGAGGAGGTGTGTGCGCGCATGCCCCTGGTGATGGGCGAGGAGCTTTTACAGGACCTGGCCATGTACAAGAAAGCACGGGAGAAGGCCGTTGCTGCTGCTGCGCGGTCTATCATCTCTCTCTTCAGAGAGGTATGTATGTTAGGTGTGAAGAGTGCTTGTTGAGACAGCAGTGCCCCCTGGTGATGGGCGGGGAGCTGCTGCTGCAGGACCTGGCCATGTACAAGAAGGCTCGGGAAAAGGCCGTTGCTGCTGCCGCAATATCTATTATATCACTCTTTAGAGAGGTAGGGAGTGGTACAGAGCAGTACAAAGATGTACAGAATGGTGCAGAGGGGTGCATGAGGGTTGAAGAGCTCTGGTAGGATTTGGAACGTGTGTGCCAGGGAGGTGTGTGCCTCCTGCGCCCTTTCCCCATCACTTACCCCCACGCACCTTCCCCTCCTCCTCCTGCCCCCATCATTTTCCGTTCCTGCTTGCGCCCGTCCCTCATGCCCCCCTCCAGGTGAATCCGTTGCTGCTGCAGCGGAAGGACCGGGGCAAGCCAGGTAAGGCAGGGGAAGCAGTGCAGCCAGTGGCGTTTGGCCACGTGGCAGTGTCTGATCACGTGCCTGGGATTGAACTGCTTGGGATTCCGGAAGAGGAGGGTGATGGGGAGGAGGGGAGTGAGGAGGGGAGCGAGGGGGAGAGTGAGGGGGAGAGTGAGGGGGAGGGAGGTGAGGAGAGTGATGAGGAAGGGGAGGGGAGTGAGGAGGAGTTGGAGGAGGGAGAGGAAGGGGAGGAGGTGGAAGGGGATAGTGATGAGGAGGGGAGTTCAGGGAGTGAAGAGGTGGAGAGTGAGGGAGAAGAGGAAGAGGAGGAAGAGGAGGAAGAGGAGGAGGAGAGAAGGAGGAGGAGATGGAGCAAGATAGGTCAGGGATTTCCAGAAAAAGAAAGGCAGAGGGAGAAGCGAGTGGAGAAGGAAAGTGGAAGGGAGAAGGACCGGTGAAAGTGGAAGGTGCTAGTCTGAGGCAGCTGAAACGGCTGGCAGCGCAAGGGGACGGGAAGGGCGGAGAGGAAGGCGGGGGAGCGAAAGCAGGGGAGAAGGGGGAAGGGGAGAAGGAGGAAGAGGAGAAGGATGGGTTCCTGTCAACGGAGGATTTCAGGAAGATCAGAAGGATGCAGGCGAAGCAAGCTGCTGAGTCGATGCTGCGACGCAAAGGCATGAAGAAGGCGGCTAATGCTCTCGCTCACTCGCATGCCCATCGTGCTCACTCGCTGGCTGACCGCCGAGTGGACCCTTCAGACCTGGAGGTGAGTCGTGCCAACATGTGATGCATCTGGTTGACTTTTGAGTCAACTCAAAAGTCAACTTAAAAGTCAACTGGGAGAGGATCTCAGGAAGATCAGGAGGATGCAGGCGAAGCAAGCTGCTGAGTCGATGCTGCGACGCAAAGGCATGAATAAAGCGGCTAATGCGGTTGCTCACTCGCATCAAGCGCGCTCGCACTCCCTCAGTGACCGCCGCGTGGACCATCTGACGTGGAGGTGAGTCGTGCTGATGTGGCGTGGGCTGCTGCTGGTTATGGCATCGACCTGTGGTCGCATCCTATCTGTTGCACCATTTTGCACCTTTTTGTTTCGTTCCATGCTGTATATGCACGTATGCGGTGTCCCCCCACCTACACGCTCTGCCTGCATTCCCGCTCCCACTGCACTCCCCCCCCCCCACCAGGTGCACATAAAGGCACGGAGGGACAAGGAGGAGCGCATGGCAGCAGTAATGGCGGGCAGAGAGGATCGCAGCTTCTTTGCCAAGTCGGCGCTCAAGCAGCAGAAGGTAAGTCTGCTTTCATTCTTGAGACGTCTCGAAAGCAGTGATGGCGGGACCGAAGCTTCTTTGCCAAGTCGGCGCTCAAGCAGCAGAAGGTACGCAGAAGCTGCACAGTGCTCACATCACATCATTATGCACGTAACGCGTTGCTATGCTTTCTTTCATCAGCGCACCATTAGGCTCATCCACAGCTTGTGACACATTTTAAGCGGGTGTTTTGTGCCTTGGTTATTTGCGTCTCCTCGCAGGTGGGAGGGTTGTCCAACAGGGAGAAGGAGAAGCGCAAGGCAGCACCGATGGCAGCACAGCGAATGAAGCTCAAGAGGCGCACGCAGGGCAAGCGGCGCAAGAGTGGGAAGAATTTCCAGGGGAAGAAGGCCTGGAAGACGTGATCTCTGGGTTCTGCAATTTCGTTACCACCTATTGTTAGTTTGTTTCTATTGGTAAGATTTGTTAACGCATATTCGCTAGAACTGTATATTCAGCTTTTATTTCGATCAATTCCCGTAGGACTTCCCCTCCACTGCGCATGATTGCTCTCGCAAATCTGATCGTGAGAAATGTTTCCACTGTTTCCAGCATTCAGTGAGCGATGTGGCTCGGTTGGGGGTGGCAGGTGAGGAGCGGATGTTTGAGGAGTTTTTCCGCACGCCCGAGGCTACGACCTTGTTGGACCCCTGGTTTGCGAGAGCAGTGGATCTGCTTCCACAGTCGGTTCGGCAGGAGATGCCACCCCTTGCCTTGTGCACCGCTGATCCGCCTATGCTGCTCTTCCCCACACAACACCGTCGCCTGGCGGTTGAGAGCCTCCAATCTCTTCGAGGCATGGCCCACAACGATGCCACCCTGGCCCGTTTGACATCCCTTCAGGGCCCGGGGGCTGGGGCGTGGGTTTCTGCCGTTCCTTCGCACGAGGAGGCTACCTTCACCGCAGCCGAGTGGAGCATCTGCGCGTCCATGCGCCTAGGCCTCCCTATTCAGCAGCTGATAGTGGCCGGCAAGTGCGCGTGTGGGTTTGAGTTTGCTGATCCCTCTGACCCGCATCATGCCCTTCGCTGCAAGTATCAGTATGCACCTTCTCGGGTTCACGATGCGGTTAAATTTGTGGTGGCGAAGATAGCTAAGGGTGCGGGTGGGATTGTGACCATGGAAGACGACACGTTGCTCCCAGGGAAGAGGGTTGATGTGGCGGTTCGGAAACTGAGGGAGGGGGAGGAGCACGCGCTGGAGGTTAGTGTGGTAGATCCTATCTCGCTATCCGTGCAGCATCATGGACAGATTGGTCGCAAGGTGGGTTTTGCCGCGAGAGAGAGAGAAAAGCGGAAGACGGCGGACTACAAATCGCTTCTACAGCGGCATGGGGGAGTGCAGTTCACACCACTCATTGCTGAGACATGGGGATGCTTGGGGGGGAGTTTTGGACGGTGGCTTAAGAAGCAGGGTGACGCGCAGATCGAGATAGCAAAGACGAAAGGGGCGGCGCGAGCTACGGGAAAGGGTTTCTCGGCTTATTTGCTCGGATCGCTCAAAGCGGCTGTGGGTGTGGCTTTGCAACGGGCTCAGGCGCGTGTGATCTTGTTACGCGCTGCGTCGATGATGAGAGGCCCAGAGGCTGTTTGGGTGGAGCGGGAGGATGTTGAGGAGGAGATGGGATGGGATGCTCCGTGGGCGGATGCACCATACTTGGTAGACATGCGGGTTTAGGGAGTGGGTTTAGGGGGGGAGGTTTGGTTCGATGGGAGTGCAGTTGGGGTGCTTTGATGGGAGGGCTTGATGGTGTTTTAAATGTGTGTGCTATTGGGGTTTTCTTGGGGTTGTGTGTGCTGCTTTTTCTTCCTTCTTCCCTGTTTTTCTTAATTCAGGCATGGGCATTGTGAGAGGGGGCATCGTGAGGAGGAGCATCGTGAGAGGAACATCGTGAGCGGAACATCGTGAGCGAACATCGTGAGCGAACATCGTGAGCGGAACATCGTGAGTATACGGTAACGTCGTGAACGAACATCGTGAGCGGAGCATCGTGAGCGGAGCATCGTGAGCGGAGCATCGTGAGCGGAGCATCGTGAGCGGAGCGTCGTGAGCGGAGCATCGTGAGCGGAGCATCGTGAGCGGGAGCATCGTGAGCGAACATCGTGAGCGAACATAGTGAGCGAACATCGTGAGCGAACATAGTGAGCGAACATCGTGAGCGAACATAGTGAGCGAAACATGGCAGGAATCTCACCCAAGGGCCTCGCCGCCTAGCTCGTTGCCTTAGACTCGACTCAGAAGAACTCCCCTCGCGCCCTCGCGCCCTCGCGCCCACGCGACTCTCGTCCAAGGCCTATCCATGGCGTCCGTCAAGCGCACTGTCGCCGTCGCATTGGCTTTCGTCCTCGCGCTCGTCGCCGCGTACACCGCTGTCCACAGCTTCGCTCTCCTCGCACCCACGCGCCCGATTTTTACGGCGCCTCAAAAGTTCGTCACCACATACACCGCTGTTCACAGCGTCGCTCGAGTCGCACCCACGCGCCAGCGCAACTCCCGTCCTCTCTCCTTTCAGAACTCGTTGATTTCTGAGTCGACTCAGAAGAACACTGCCCGCTCCCTCGCGCCCGCGCGCCCGCGCGACTCTCGTTCTCTCTCCTCCAAGACCGCATTCACCGCACCCGTCGGTAACGCGCAGTCAAGCGTGAATGACGCCGCAATCCCCGCTGTCGTCCCTAGGCCCGCGCCGCTGCAGCTGCAGCAGCAGCCCGCGTTTCAAGCTCCAGCCGACAGCGCTCCGCTCGAGCGCGTGTGCGGCTCGCCAGCTGTCGACGGCTACGCGCACGTGAACGCCACGTGTCTCGAGGCGTCGCCCACGAATCGCCTGTGGTGGTCCGTGCATCCCCAGGTGCGTCCCCTCTCTGCCTCAGGTGAATTTCCAGGGGATTTTTGAAGACTCCTATCGGGCAAATCACCTGAGGGCTTGTTTCTGGAGCACAGAACAGCACGTTCGTCTCTCCCTGCCGTGTGGCTGTGACTGTGCGCGGAGGTGACAGTGCGTGCAGTTAGGCCAAACCAGGAAGGTAGAAAGACGGAATGGGGTTTGTTCTGAGTCATCTAAATACATTGCGGTGTGTGACTGTGTGTTATGTCTGTGTGTGCGATTCAGTGCGTGTGATTGAGTGTGTGTCTGCATGTGCCACGTGTTTACACATGACTGTATGAGAAGGGAGGGAGGAGCGGGGAGGGGCAGGAGTGCAACATGGAGCGGGAAGTGAGCCTAGATGGGCTGACTTCTGAGGCTCCGTTTGAGGCGCATTTTGAGCTCTCTCAGACGCTGTGTGCTGCTTTGGCTTTCTTGTGCGGGCAGGGAGGGAAGAGCGGGGAGGGGCAGGAGTGCCACATGGAGCGGGAGGTGAGCCTAGATGGGCTCGCCGTGCGGTGGGGCATTGGCCACAAGACTACCACTCCAGAGCAATGCTGCCAGGCCTGCAGGTACCTCTTACCTCCACACACGAATGTGCCTTTTGAGTCAGCCCTAGAGTCACCTTAGATGAGCTGGTGGTGCGATGGGGCATGGGCCACACGACTGTCACTTCAGAGCAATTCTACCAAGCCTGCTCCCTTTGAATCGAGTCGACCATAGAAATTGCCACTCATTATTCCTCCATCACTCCGTCTGCGCTCTTCCTTCCCACCCTGTCCACCCCAGGGACCACGAACCAGGCCCACATGTAGGGGGGCCCTTCGGCCACCTCCCCTGCAACGTCTGGGTGTTCTGCTCTGCTCCTTACTGCTTCGAGCCCGACACGCACACACACACGTTCGGAGACTGCAGCCTCAAATTCTCCTTTCCTCCCCTTCTATCCTCCCACCCCTTCACTCGCCCCTTCACTGGCTCTTTTACCACCAGAGACCACGAACCGGGCCCACACGTTGGGGGTCCCTTCGGCAGCCTCCCCTGCAACGTCTGGGTGTTCTGCTCTGCTCCATACTGCTTCGAACCCGACGCGCACACACACACGTTCGGCGACTGCTGGCTCAAATTCTCCGAAGCCCCGCAGAGCCCTGAGGTGAACGCTCGGGGGGAGTACCCTCGGGAACTCCGTGCAAGGCATGCGGAGGCGCCCGAGCGGTGCCAGTGGGTGTCGGGGGTGCTGCTGCCGCCTGGACAGACTCTCTCAAACGGAACGTGGAGCCCGAGGCATGAATGGTGAAGGGTGGAGACATTGCTGAGAGGTCTCAAGAGTGTGACAATGGCACGTGGAGCCCGAGGCATGAGTGGTAGAGAGGGCCTACCAATGCATACACAAAGGCAGCACCTTTCATGATGCCAAGAGGATCAACGATTAAGAGAGGATTGTGTTTACATACACACTGGTACGTGCATGTGGATTTATGCATAGCAAGCCCCTTTTTTTGTGCTTGATATGACTTCCAATAATTATGCTGCTGCCTACTGTGCATGTGCAGGCTTCCTGGATCCTCATGTCTCAAGAAGATGCAGGCAAAATAGGAGTTGTTGCCAGAAGGGACTCAGTGAACCTCCCGCCAGCTTTTGTTAATAGTGAATCATTTCACTTTCCATCCATGCCCTGTTTGTCTGGTTTGATTGACCAGACACCCTCTCAAAATCTTGCAGCTTCAATTTCCTTTGAAAATCTGTCATTCTTACACTCAATAACATTCAATAACATTCAATTCACTGTAGTATCGGTTGCTGCATTTGCCGCCATCTCCTGTCAGCTCTTTTGAAAGATCGCCCTTGGTGTTGTCAACTGACAGATAACACGAGGCGAGACTTGTGATCAAGGCCTTGTGTACGGATTTCTTTGACAGTGTCTAAATGAGTAGGCTTCAGAAATCGGGAGCCGCTAATCAGCGTCGTGTACGTTAGATAAATCCGAACAAGCGACTACTCGTTTTCCGAACAATCTACTAACCATTGTCGCTGTTGATTAGTCAGTCATGGCGGCGTTGCTGCACGCGATCTGGTTGAGGTATCTCGACTCGCTCAAGCATCGCCCGATCCTCACCAAGGTGCAACGCCCGTGATCCCACCATTCTGATCATCACTCGCATCATTCTCTCACTGTCCGGATTCACGCGTCGCTCCCACGCGTTTCCCCCGTACACTTCTGATTCTTCTGTAAGCCATTTCACTTATTCCTCGCCGGAATCTGTATGGTCTCGACTCCGTAGCCGTTACTTTCGCCAAATTTCACCGTTCCCGTTGGTCAGGCACTGACGTCGGCGTCGCTAGCGGCCGTGAGCGACCTGATGGCGCAGCGACTGGCGTCCCGCAAGCCCGTGGAGCTCAGGCGAACGATTCTCATGTGGGTGCGTGCAGGAGGGTGCATGCAGAGGAGATCACTCGTTGACAGGGAGGGTGAAAGCGGACATGCCATGCCAAAAGTGGTGTTGAGTCCCACCTTGCTTCATCTTTTTAGTCCACTCACGATGCGGACATGAAATGCAAATGTTGACTGCGATCATCCCTTGCTTCTTCGTTTCCTGAGCTCATCTGACCTTTCTCCCATTCTAATCCCTTCACAATCCTTTCCGATTATGGTCGACGTCCATTATCGGTCCACCCCTCAATCCACCCCTCATTCCATCCCTCACTCCACCTCTCAGCTGTTCGGGCTGCTCTACATGGGCCCATCGGCGCACATGGTGCATCGTGCGCTCGACGCCATCTTTGCTGCCAAGAGAGACACCAAAACCGCGCTAAAAAAGGTAAGCACAACAAAGTAAATGATTAGCGACAGACGGGGGCATGTATTGGCGAACAAGACGAGGAGGGGAGGGGCGGAATGAGAATTACTTCTCTCAGAGTGTTTAGAGTGTGTATGCATTACCCTGGCCATGCAATCCACCGTTATATTGTACAATGAAAGGTCAAAATTTCCAGATTCAGCAGGATGCATGTGGTTTCGTGTTTTCAGGTGGTGGTAGAGCAGCTGACATACGGCCCGTGCTGCAATGTGGTGGCCATTATGTGGATTGCCTATGTGGTGGAGCGACGCTCGTGGATGGCATCCAAGAGGCGGCTCTTTGCTGCATACCCAGGAATCCAGATCAATGGATGGAAGGTATATCGAATGCATTGCTCACAGCTTTTTTGTTTCGTCTTCATCTCACAGTTGCTCTTCACTTGGCCATTTTTTTGTCATTTTGCGTTTGCTTCAGGTGTGGCCACTTGTAGCACTGATTAACTATAAGTTCATCCCATTCAACCTCCGTGTGCTCTTCTCCAATGTTATTGCCATCTTCTGGTGAGTCATGTAAATTGGGTGTGATTGTCTTGCTTGCACAATCTGCATTTTTTTCAGTCGCTGAGTTATTTCATAGCGGCATCTTATTCCACATTCCAGGTCTACTTTTCTCATTCTAAAAGCAAGAGGAATCAAGGACAAGCAAAGCTTGGAATAACGCGTGTACGCGCCCTTTTGCATCAGTGTAAATACTATAGAATGTACAGACTCCTGATTTTAGTCGGCTAACACTTTTTTTCCACACTGGCCAGGGCTTGGACTGCAGAATCATTTTGGCCATATGAGTTTGGCTAAATATGTAGGGATTGGCTATTGTGAAGACGGCAAGTATGTTGAGTTTCAATAGCGAGGCTTTCATTGAGCAACACACACGGGGCCGACAGGGCATGCGACAGTCTCGCCATGAGCTCTCTCGCCAGGCGAGGGTGTCGTCGTCGGTCGACCTCTGACGGAAACACGCGCCGCTAGAATTTGCTTGTGTCAGGAGGGGCAAACGAGCGGCGTTTGGCCAATCGTATTAGGTAGCGCCTCGTTCGCTGCCTGTCAGCCGGTGGGAGGGAACATGTGGAGGCAAACAAACCGCGTGCGACTGCTTCGCATTCCGTTCTGGAGGGCTTCGCTTCGCCTTCGTAGGTACAGTAGCACCTGTCGAGGCTGATGGGTAGGTGTGGAGAAGGTGGTCAGGCGCGCCAAGAAGCAGGGGAGGCTGGGAGGCAAGCACGCTAGACGACAGAACTGAACCGAGCAGAACCAGGCAAAAACCATCGGTTCGGGCAGGTCAGGGCGCCAGAGTCTGCCTCGGAGCAGCCAAACCTGCATCAGATTCCTCCTCACCACAGTGGGGATTCCAAACCAAAACAAGAACGGTCCCTTCCTCTACCTCAAATTCCTTGTTCGTGCCCCTCCAACTCTCGCCCGCAGTCAATTCCCCTTCCTTCCCTCACGCTTGCCGAGCGGCTCATCCCAGAGCGGCTGTGAGTCTTCTTGACCCTTTTCGCACTCCCAACTGTTCGTCACCGTCCTTCTGGCTTGCTGCTTGAGCTTTCTCCGTCCAGTTGTCCCGCGCTTGACTTGTGTGATTCGCGCTCCGCTAACTGCGCGTAGTCCCAGTTCCATCATCAAATTGCACCGCCGCCATGCCCGAACTGCATTTCCAGTAGTTTGTTGTCTACTAGTTCCTAGACGACGTTACTCAGTCCAACCCAAATAAATTAAAGTGTTATTTGTCCTTTTAGTATTCGTTCCGAGCTCACTCGCCATGCATCGTAAGCCGGTTCTCCTCTCGCCCTCCAAGGAATGGCGCGACCCAATCTTCGCCGCGCCTTCACCATCTCGAAAGGACACCGGACCTCTCACCACCCCGCGGCACCGAGAGCCGCCGCTCTCCCCGTTCCGCTCGCCATTGATGGGCTCCGCCAACCCAGCAATCCCCGCGGGGTCTCCGCTCGGCTCGCGCTCCCGGCGCGCCTTGGCCTCTCCGGTGCGGGACGTGCGCCAGGCGGACCGCGGAGACCACGGCGGCGGGGGGGGAAACAGCAAGCGGCTGGCGCAGCTCTGCATTCTCCGCACAGCGCAAGCGCAACTCAACTCTGCGCACCTCCCGCGCCCCCCGTCTTCCGCGCAGCCGTCCCCAATGTTCTCCGCCGAGTCCCCCAGCTCTCTGCTGTGTCAGGCGGGAAGCGCGCTATCGTCTTCCGCGCAGGCGCGCGCGTCGTTTGAGTCGGTTCAGGCGCCGTGCAGCGCGCCGAGCGGCCCCAGGTCCGCGCGGGAGGGCGCAGCGGACATGTTCGACCCTTTTCTCCTCCCCGCGCCCGCCTTTCCGCTCCGCGACCAACCCTCCTCCCCTCCGCCCCTGCCGGTGGCGCAACCCGCGCAAGTACCGTCGGCTGAAGACACGGGCGCAACTTCCGCAGACCGCGGAGACAGGTGTGAAATATTGGAGCCTCCCCGGCATGCTGATGACGATGCCACGGCAGCAGCTATGGCGGCGGAAATTGCGGAGAAGAATGTGACAATGGCGAGGGATGAACGGAGTGGGGAGAATTTGGGGGGGCAGGAAGGGAACGGGGTCGGGCGGATTCGGATGGCGGGCGAAAATAGCGGGCAGATGGGCGTAATGCGGGCTGAGAAGGCGGCTCTGGCGGAGCCTTTAGGTACGCGCGCGGGCTCCGAGTGCGCGGATCGCGAGAACGTGGGGCGCATTGACAGCCGGGGGAACTTGGGGGGGAAGCGGGGCGACAATCCGGGCGCGTGCAGCCGCGACGCGCAGAACGCGTCAGTGCGAAGCACGCTCATGGAGCTGGCAGCCAATAAGAAGCTGCCACATGGCCCGCGCAAGGGCGACCCGATGTACGAGTGCAAGCGCTGCCCATTTGCCTCCCCCGCCCGCTCCCCCCTGTCCCACTCCGCCGCGCTGACTCCCCCCGTGCACCTCCCCTCCCGCCTGCACATCCCTCCTGCGCTTACCGGTCTGACTTGCGGGGGGAATGGGGGGGTGGGCATGGGGAGGCTGGGGCTGGTAGCGCCTGGTAGCTGTGGGAGCAGCCCGAGAGGAGACTGTTCCTCCCTTTGGAGTCGGCAGCTTCAGCAGCAGTATGGGCAGCAGCAGCAGAACCAGCAGCATCAGCTGTTGGTGCAGCAAGTAAAGCAGCTACAGCAGCACCAGCAGCGACACCAGAGTGAGTCACACTGCAAAGAAGATATTCATAACTCTGGTGTGAGTCATCGTTTGCTGCAGTCCAGTCATGCCAGCACAGCAGTCACGTGTCCCAATGGTTCCGTTGCTCCACTCCAAGCGCAGCTCGTGTCAGCCTCGGCTCGCAGGCTCGGCCGGAGAACAAATGGAAGTACACCTGCCGTACCTGCTGTGATGGTTGGGATGGTCGGAATGGGCGGAATGGGCGGAACGGGTGGAATGGGTGAAACTGGAGGAATGGGAGTTCCTTCTACATCAAGGGAAGGTAGCCGTGCGGCCTCTCCTAACCGCCCTGCTAGGCGTGCCATTCTGTTTGGAAGAAATTGAAGCAGTTGGAAGTTAAATGAGAGTCCTCTTACCCTTTTCAGCAGCAATGTTCACGTGCAAACGTCCTAGTGTGGCTTGTTCAGGTAGGGCTTTTATAACACCTAATTAGGTTGACTGGTTTTTCCAATGTACTGAAAGTTCCGAAAGCTATGTAGGTCTGAATTTGACTTGCGTGTAGCGAAATCAATACAATTGCACTATCGGAACTGTTTCCTTCACAATCGCACCAGTCTCCTTGTTCTCGGGAATATTTCGTGTGGCTCGATCCCATCTCATTCATTTCATTTCTTCCTCACGCCACCATCTCCCATTTTTTCCAGCACGTATGACGCTCGCTTCGGTTCCACAGCTCTAGCTACGATGCCAGCCGCTTGCGCCTCTACCCTGAGTCGCCCCGCTAGCAACGCCAGATTCGATACCGCTGCTCCTTCGGTTCCTTCGCGTCAACGCCCAGCCATGCTTTCTCTTTCCCGTTCCGCGCAGCGCGTTCTGCGGGTCAGCGGATCCAGCGTCGGCACCGCGCTGATTTTAACGAGAAGTACAATAAAGCGTATAATCCCGGCAGCGTTTTACTCGTCAGATCAGTACGGCGAGAGGAAGGGACAGTATCGGCCGCAATCGCAGGGCTACAAGGCGGGAAATCAGCAACGGTCATATGAGAAGTCGTCGTATGGCGGACAAGAGTACCCGCAGTCGAGTCAGTATAAGCGGTCCGATCAGCAATCGTCGAACCAGTTCTCGCAGTACGACCAGCAGCCGTATCAGTCTAGGTCTTCCCCGGGTTCGTATCAGCGACGGGGCGAGCAGCAGCAACCGCCGCAACAGCCGCCGCCTCCGCCGGCGGCGCAGCAGCAGCAGTACGGGCAAGAGGAGGCGAGCGATGAAATCGAGACCATCGAATGGCAGTCCGAGCTGTCGAATTCCGTGCAACTGATTGGTCCGTGGATCTGTTCTGTGCGTGCATCTTATCTTCTATTAGCTTTGAGGAGCCCAAAGACGTGTCGAATGTCGTGCCCAAAGACGTGTCGAATGTCGTGCCTAATGACGCGCGTTCCGTGTGTTCCGCTCATGTGTCACATCCTTATCCCATGTGATGTCCAATCCCCATCCATACCCCATCCATATCCCATCCACGACCTATCCATGACCCATCCATGACCATGACCCACCCATACCCCATGCATGTCCCATCCATACCCCATGCATGTCCCATCCATACCCCATGCATGACCCATCCATACCCCATGCATGTCCCATCCATGCCCCATGCATGACCCATCCATATCCCATCCATGATTCATTCATGACCCATGCACGGCCCGTGTAGGCATCGTAGCAGCGGAGCCAGCTCTGCGGTTCTTTGACAATGGCAACTCCATGGCGCGAGTGAAGCTGGCGGTGGGGTGGAAGAAGGCGAATCCTTAACCCGTTCGTACCATCATATGACATGCATGACCCATGCGTGAACCATGCATGACCCATGCGTGACCCATGCATGACCCATGCATGACCCATGCATGACCGTACAGGCAACATAGCAGCGGAGCCAGCTCTGCGGTTCTTTGACAATGGTAACTCCGTGGCGCGAGTGAAGCTGGCGGTGGGGTGGAAGAAGGCCAACGGGGAGAAGCGCACCGACTGGTGAGGACTTTCGAGTCGGCTTAAAAGACAACCGCGGGTGGTGTTGAATGCATGACTGGCAGGTGGTGTTGCATTCGGTGCGGTGGGGTGGAAGAAGGCCAACGGGGAGAAGCGCACCGACTGGTGAGGACCTTTGAGTCGGCTGAAAATATAACGGCAGGTGGTGTTGAATGCATGACTGGCGGTGCGGTGGGGTGGGGTGGGGTGGAAAAGGCGAATGGGGAGAAGCGCACCGACTGGTGAGGACGACCATGAGCCGACTGTCTTTGAGCTCTGTTATCAAGTTGACTTTTGAGTCGACTCAAAAGTCACCTCGAAGCGCACCGACTGGTGAGGCGCACCATGAGCCGACGGACTGTCTTTGAGCTCTGTTATCAAGTTTATCTCAGGACGCGATGGGGAGGAGCACACTACTTAAGGAGGATCATGGGGCAATGGGTGTGGAACACTGGATCAGGAGCATGGGGTTTAACGAAGGGAAGTTTCTTCATCTGGCTCTTCCTGTTTGCACGCCTGCATGTGTCCGTGCCTGCATGTGTGTGTGCACGCCTGCACGTGTCCGTGCCTGCATGTGTGTGTCCGTGCCTGCATGTGCGTGTCCATGCCTGCATGTGTGTGTGCATGTCTGCATGAGTCCTCATGCAGGTACGCAATAGAGATGTGGAACGATATGGCAAATCTTGCGCAGAACCTCAAGAAGGGAGCGCAGGTGTATGTGAAGGGGCGATTGCACATGGAGGAATACACAGACAGAAACGGGGTGCTGAAGCTGGACCCCAAGGTATGGATTCTTGTGCATGGCTCTGGGTTGCCCGGCTGTGCCTGGGTGGGCGGGCGGCTGGGCCGCTGGATGGGTGGGTGGGTGGGTGGGTGGGTGCGAGGGGGTGTGCAGGTGTATGTGAAGGGGCGATTGCACATGGACGAATACACAGACAGAAGCGGGGCGACGAGGCTGGATCCCAAGGTATGGCTTTCTTGTGCATGTTATTGGGTGCCTGGGTGTGAGGTACCTGTGAGGCTGCGTGGGTGGGTGGGGGGGGGCGTGCATACACATGTATGTGAGCGGGCGATTGCACATGGAGGAATTCACAGACAGAAGCGGGGCACTGAGGCTGGATCCCAAGGTGGGTGGTGAGCGGGTTGGTGGGTGGGTGGGTGGTTGGGCGGCGGGTTGGTGAGTGGGTGGGTGGTTGGACGAGCGGTTGGGTGGGTGGGTAGCTGGCTAGATGCGTGGAAGCACAATTGTATGTGATATGGTAATGGTAGTGGAAATGATAATGGTGATGGTAATGGTAATGGTAATGGTAGTGGAAATGGTAATGGTGTTGGTAATGGTAATAATAGTGGTAATGGTGATGGTAATGTAGTGGAAATGATAATGGTGTTGATAATGGTAATGGTAATGGTAGTGTTAGGGTGTTGGTAGTGAAAATGGAAATAGATAATGATAATGGTAATGGTAATGATAATGGTAATGGTAGTGGTAATGGTAATGGTACTGATGATGGTAATAGTAGTGGTAGTGGTAATGATTGTGGTAATGGTAATGGCAATGGTAATGGTAATGGTAATGACCGATTGCACATGGAGGAATTCACAAACAACAGCGGGGCACTGAGGCTGGATCCCAAGTTAAAGCTGCTAGTGCAAGGCACTGGTTGTGCAGGTGTGCTTGGGGGGGCGGGACTGGATGTCGTTCTCTTCCTTCTGTCTTCTCTCCCCCAGGTGTGCTCAGGGGGGACGTGAAGGAAACATTCCTCGTTGCCAGCAGATTTAGCAGCGCCAGCCTCCTTCTGACGCGGTTGAAGACCAATTTTCCTTCTCCCCGACCTTACCTCTCCTTCTGTCTTCTCTCCGTTGCAGGTGGATGTGAAACAGATATGCCTCGTGGCTAGTAGATTCGGCGATAGCAGCAACAACCAGGGCTCCAGCAACTAAGCCTGTCCCTTCCTTCTGCCTCCTCTCTCCCTCGCAGGTGGATGTGAAGCAGATATGTCTTGTGGCTAGTAATTTTCTTTCTCTCCAACCTATCCTTTCCTTCTGTCTTCTCTCCCTCGCAGGTGGATGTGAAGCAGATATGCCTTGTGGCTAGTAAATTCGGCGCCAGCAGCAGCAACCAGAGCAGCAGCAGGGGGCGTGAAACCAGTCCTGGGGGTTACAATAAAGGCAGTTACAACCAGGGGGGTTACAACCAGGGGGCGTACGCCCCTCAGGAAACCACTTATTCTGAACAGAACAGTTACAGCAGCAGTCAGGGCTATGATAACCAAAACTATGGTAATCAGGCAGGGAGCGGTGGGCAGGGGGGAGCGATGGATGCACCGGTGGTGGTTACAGATGAGAAGGGGCTGCCTCGGATTCCACGATTTGATGGCAAACTGAATGGTACGTTGGAAGAAGAGAGGTGAGGGGGGGTTGGATGGAGTGGTGGGCAGGGGGGAGCGATGGATGCACTGGTGGTGGTTACAGATGACAAGGGGCTGCCTCGGATTCCGCGATTCGATGGCAAACTGAATGGTGCGTTGGGGAAGAAGGAAGCTGGGCGTGGGGTTGAGTGGTGAGCAGGGGAAGAAGAGGCGCGAGAGGGAGTTGGGATGGAGTGGTGGGCAAGTGGGGAGCGATGGATGCACCGGTGGTGGCTGCAGATGACAAGGGGCTGCCTCGCATTCCTCAATTTGATGTCAAACTGAATGGTATCTTGGGGAAGGAGAGAGCAGGGGAGGGGGAGTGGTTTGAGTGGTGAGCAGGGGAAGAAGAGAGGTGAGGGGGAGTTGGATGGAGCAGCGGGCAAGGGGGAGCGATGGATAGACCGATGGTGACTTGAGATGGGGGCCCATGCTTCGGATTCCTCGATTCGATGGCAGACTGAATGGTGCGTGAATGGGGAGTGGCGAGGGAGTTGGTTCGAGCTGGATGATGTGGGGAGTGAAATGGGGGGGAGTGTGGGGTTTAGGGGGCAGGGGAAGTTGAGAAAAGGAGGAATTAGAATGGAACCGGGACAGGGGGAGGGATGAACTTACACTCTGTCCCCCATATTCACGCCCATTCCCCCATATTCCGGGAGAGGGGGAGGGATTAACTTACACTCTGTCCCCCATATTCACGCCCATTCCCCCATATTCCCCCATTACTCGCTCTGGCAGCGGGGCAGGTGGAGGCATTGTGGCGGGAGTTTTTCCAGGACCCAGTGCAATTCTTTGACTACCGGGAGATGAAGGTAAGCCATGCAAGGGTGTAAGGCAGGCTAATCGTGGGTCTTTGAGTTGCAGGTGGAAAGCAGGTGGATGCATTGTGGTGTAACTGCTTTCTTGGCCCGTTTTTGTTCTCTTTCCTTGCAGCAACAAAGCGAAGTGCGTCCCAAGTACCCGGATTTGAAGAAGATAGCCACGGGCCAGCCGCTGTGGGTGGAGAGCCGCGGCAACCCCCCCTTGGGTGCACGACTCCTTGCAGAAATATGGCGAGTGGCTTATGAACCCTCCCTCACTATCTTCCCTTCTCTCTCCCGTCGCAGCAACACAATGAAGTGCCCTCCAAGTACCCGGATTTCAAGAAGCTAGCAACGGGCCAGCCGCTGTGGGTGGAGAGCCGGGGCACCCCTCCCTGGGTGCACGACTCCTTGCAGAGATACGATGATGCCTTTGCCTTAGCCCTGGCAGGCATGCCGCTAGAGGGGCAGGAGGAGGGTGCGGCTGGGGCAGGTGGTGGGGAGCAGTTTCAGGAGGAGTTTGGGGGAGGGGCGATGGACGCTCGTGGGTTTTAATCGGGAAGTGCTTCGGGTTAAAGCCTTGTTGTGGGTGCAGAGTTGGGACACCCCCCCCCCCTGGGTGCGCGACTCCTTGCAGAAATATGATGATGCCTCTGCTGCGGCCCTGGCAGGCATGTTGATCGACGGAGAGGGGGCTGAGGAGGGTGCGGCAGGGGCAGATGGTGGGGAGCAGTTTCAGGAGCAGTTAGGGGTAGGGGCGATGGACCAACGTGGGTTTTGATCCTCCCGTGCGTACTCAACGCGTTACGGCGCCATTATGCCACCTTTGTGGGTCCTGCACATTGCCCTACAGCACCATTAGAGGTTCTCGATTGATGCCATGCGTGATGTGATCATATAGTGGCACCTTTGTTGCTAGCCATGAGCCTGTGCATTGTACATTTTGCTGCCTGCATGAGCCTCTTGATTGATGACTTAATTACCACCTTGCAGAATTAACCTCGTGAGCGCTGTCTTCTCTTGTGCACCTTCAATTGGATGCTACCGTTAGTCAGGATCTTGTGCACAGAGTTACCGTTACCACTGGATCTGCTGGCTGGTATGGTACTGTACCTACCGGTACATTATTTTGTCCAAATAGAACAGAGTACCAAAGAATGCACTGTTTCCCAAAGCAATGGTAATCAACAGCTCACGCTCAAGACAATCTGTGCATGATATATAAAGAGAGGCAGCAGGTGCATGACGACAGCCATCACCACATATATTGCAGAGTATTACTAACTACACCTCTCCAATATGCCTCAAGGGAATCCCATGTGCCAATACCGTAGCATCGTGCTAGTGACTATCAAAAGAGGCAACAGGTACACATAAGAAAGACGGCTTGTGCACGCCTATATCATTGTGGAGATGATTCTAAACAGGGGAAGCAGGTATATGATAGCAATCACCGCATACTGCGGAAAAGTGTACTAGAAAACGTCATACCGTAATCCCCCGTATATAAGACCCTAGGGTATTATGATAATCACCCCTAAAAAGGCTGGGGGGTATAATTAAATGGTGTATTTTTTATAAGACCCGGGTCTTTTCATTTTGACATTTATACCGTAAACTGTCAAACTATATGTACTGCATATTGTCTAGGCTGTAGTGGGGTAGCCCATATGGGGTACAACCCAATTAGGGTTTACTACTTGTACTCCTGCATCCTGTTAGTTCATCCATTCCTGCTGCTAGATTCTAACATGGTATCAGAGCACTAAGGTCCGTAGGACCGTTTTTTTTTTCGGGCCCACCTACCGTTGCGGTTACCGCGCTACCCCACGTACCTGCCTGCCTTGCCTTGCCTTGTGACGTGCTGCACTACGCGCGCCGTCCAGCAGCCCTAGCGCTGCCTCCTGCTGCCCTAGGCCAGCGCGCTGCTTCTAGAGGCCCGTAAGGCCCGCGCGCCGCCCCTACACGCCGTTCAGGCCCGCGAACAGCCCCTGCAGACCGTTAGGCCCCTTGCTGCCGCGCGCTGCCCGCACCGAGCCCGCGCAGCCCGCACCGAGCCGCGCGCAGCCCGCTGCAGCCGCGCGCAGCCCGCACCGAGCCCGCGCAGCCCGCTGCAGCCGCGCGCAGCCCGCACCGAGCCGCGCGCAGCCCGCTGCAGCCGCGCGCAGCCCGCACCGAGCCGCGCGCAGCCCGCTGCTGCCGCGCGCAGCCCGCGCCGAGCCCACGCAGCCCGCGTCGAGCCGCGCGCGGCCTGCTACGGCCTCGCGAGGCCCGCGCGCGGCCCGCAGCAGCCCGCGCCGAGCCGCGCGCGGCCTGCTACTGCCTCGCGCGGCCCGCGCGCGGCCCGCAGCAGCCCGCGCCGAGCCGCGCGCGGCCCGCTACTGCCTAGCGCGGCCGCGCGCGGCCTGCAGCAGCCCAGCGCGCTGTCAGCGCAGCCCGCGCCGAGCCGCGCGCGGCCCTCTGCCTCGGCCCCGACCTGCCGCTGATGCGGCCCCGCCCTGCAGCTGCCACGGCCCCGACCTGCCGCTGATGCGGCCCCGCCCTACAGCTGCCGCGACCCCGACCTGCCGCTGACGCGGCCCCACCCTGCGACTGCCGCTGAAGCGGCCCCGCCCTGCAGCTGCCGCGGCCCTACTCTGCAGCCGTTGTTGCGGCCCCGACGTCGCCACTGTCGTGCGCCTACTCGGCCGCCGCCCGTCGAGCGCCGACCCTGCTCGCCCGGCGAGCGCCTGCTCTTCCAGCCTTGCCTGCCTGCCTGCAGGCCTGCCTATCTGCCTGCCTGCCTGCCTGCCTGCCTGCCGGCCTGCCTGTCTGCCTGCCTGCCTGCCTGTCTGCCTGCCTGCCTGCCTGCCTGCCGGCCTGCCTGCCTGCCTGCTTGCCTGCCTGCCTGTCTGCCTGCCGGCCTGTCTGCCTGCCTGCCTGCCTGCCTGCCGGCCTGTCTGCCTGCCTGCCTGCCGGCTTGTCTGCCTGCCTGCCTGCCTGCCTGCCTGTCGCGCCTGCCCTGCCCGCGCTACTGCTACTACTCCAGGTATTAGCAGGTGGCCAGATGCAGCTCCAGCGTCGTTCCTGCGTGTCTCTCACGCCCCAGCAGCTTGATGAGTGGTATAGGGTTTGGGGCTGTCGAGGTGGCCGTCGTAGCAGTCGCCCTGGAGCTGGTCAGTTGGGGGCGTCTGGCAGTGGCCAGCTGCAGCTGCAGGGGCGTCCTCGCGAGACACTTACGCCCCGGCAGCTCCAGGAGTGGTACACTCAGTGTAGCAGGTCTACGCGTACCGTTCGCTGCCCGTACGTCATTCGCACAGGTGTTAGGACTGGTCAGCCTTGCGGGACGCTTGGTCACACACAGTCCCGCTGCTTCGCCCGTCTGAGCGACGCCTGGCGTACCGTGTTTGGAGACGAGGCTGAGCTCCCTGCCTGGCCAGAGCTGCTTGGACAGAGGGTAGATATCTTTGCACTTGACTATGATGCTATTCTCACTGCCATGTATGCATTGCCTACTAGTGTCGACCGTGCCTGTTACCTGTGCGTCCCGCCTGACCCTGGTGAGGCTGCTGCTCTAGGTGCTCGTGCGTCTCCTGCTCTAGGTGCTGGTGAGACTGCTGCTCTAGGTGCTGGTGAGTTTGCTCTTTCTGGTACTGCGCCTGCTGCGGTCTTGCACACCTTCACCCTTGACTCAGGAGCTTCTCGCTCTTTCTTTCGCGACTGCACCACACTCACGCCGCTCAGTCGGCCAGTTCCGGTCTCCCTGGCGGACCCCTCTGGGGGTCCAGTCCTTGCCCACTACTCCACGGTTCTGCCGTGTCCGGCCGTCCCGTCTGGCTTCCTGTCAGGTCTTTACCTCCCCTCGTTCTCTACGAACTTGGTGAGTGGAGCTGCCCTCCAGGATCACGGGGTTGACCAGTTCACTCCTGCGAGTCAGCGAGTGACTCACTGCACGTGTGCTAGGACGGGCCGGCACTTGGCCACGTTCACCCGTGCACCTGGCTCGAGTCTGTACACACTGACCACTGAGTCCCCTCAGGTAGCTGCGTCTGCGTCTACGTCTGGTCAGCTGGCGGCCCCCTGCGAGTGTCGCGCTTTGTCGCACGACACTCTCCTGTGGCACCACCGCCTTGGTCACCCCTCCTTGCCTCGCCTGCGTAGCATGCACTCTCGCTCCCTGGTCTCTGGTCTTCCCAGGTCTCTGCCTGCCCTCCCTCCCTCGCCTGCGCCGCCCTGCATTCCTTGCATCGAGGGGCGGCAGCGCGCCGCTCCTCACTCCTCCTCGTTTCCTCCCACAGAGGCTCCCCTGCAGACGCTCCACCTGGACGTGTGGGGCCCAGCCCGCGTCCAGGGACAGGGCCGCGAGCGGTACTTCCTGCTGGTCGTCGACGACTACACGCGTTACACCACGGTCTTCCCCTTGCAGAGCAAGGGGGACGTCCCTGATGTTTTGATCCCTTGGATCCGCACTGTTCGTCTCCAGCTCCGCGAGCGATTCCGGCGGGACTTTCCTGTCCTGCGTCTGCACTCTGACAGAGGTGGTGAGTTCTCCTCTGACCTCTTGGCAGCCTACTGTGCGGAGCACGGCATCACCCAGTCGTTCACGCTTCCGGCCTCTCCACAGCAGAATGGGGTTGCTGAGCGCCGCATTGGCTTAGTCATGGAGGTCGCTCGTACCTCCATGATCCATGCGGCTGCCCCCCATTTCCTGTGGCCGTTTGCGGTCCGGTACGCCGCGCATCAGCTCAACCTCTGGCCCCGTGTCTCCTTGCCGGAGACCTCGCCCACACTGCTGTGGACGGGGAAGGTTGGCGATGCGTCGCGTTTCCGGGTCTGGGGTGCTCGTGCCTTTGTCCGCGATACCACCGCGGACAAGCTCTCCGCCCGCGCTGTTCCCTGTGTCTTCCTTGGCTTTGTCCCTGACGCGCCTGGTTGGCAGTTTTACCACCCCACCTCGCGCCGTGTCTTTGCGTCTCAGGACGTCACGTTCGACGAGTCGGTTCCCTTTTACCGTCTCTTCCCCTACCGCACTGCCCCGCTCCCCCCCCCGCCGCTCTTCCTCGCTCCAGGTGCTCCCCAGGTAGACCCCCTCCCCGCTCCAGGTCCTGCTCCTTCAGGTGTGTCTCAGGTAGACCCTCCTCCCTTGACTGCGCCGGTTGAGGTCACTGGTGACTCAGGTCCTACTGAGGGTGGTCCTGCTCGGGGTGCTACTCCTGGGGGTGCTGAGCCTTGGGGTGCGGAGCCTGGGGGTGCTGAGCCTGCGGGTGCGGAGCTTGAGGGTGTGGAGCTTGGTGGTGCTGAGCCTGAGTGTGAGGGGTCTGGGGGTGCTGAGCTTGGCGGTACTGACGCTGGAGGTTCTGGAGCTACTGAGGGTGCTGGAGCTGGAGGTTCTGGAGCTGCTGAGGGTGCTCGCGCTGGAGGTTCTGGAGCCGCTGGAGGTACTGGTGCTGAGGGTACTGACACCGGAGGTTCTGGAGCCGTTGGGGGTGCGGGCGCTGAGGGTTCTGAGTCTGCTGTTGCGCGGTCTCCTTGGAGTAGCCGCCTTCGTCCACGTGTGCCTCTCACCCCACAGCAGC